TCAGGCTCTGGTGGTGGAATGGACACTAGCGCAGAGGATGCGTCACGGGGCGAGTGGTAGGCGGCAATATCAAGAGCTTCTTGGAGGAGCAGATTCGAATGCGCTAGGTCGGCGGGATGAGAAGTGCTGCTACGTTGCAAGGCGTGGTCGAGGTTGGGGTTCCAAAGGTTGAGGTGTGCCTCCTGTGCCGGGTAGCTGGTTGATGTGCGGCGGTTTGACGGTAGAGTTGCGGCGCGGCGAGAGCGAAGACCCCGCAACTGCGGAAGCTCGGGCGGTTGGATGGAGAGATGTTGGTCGGCGCGGTTTCTAAGGCGTCGTGAGATGGTGGTCGTCTTTGGCTGTGGTGGTTGTGTGGGAGACCGTGGGGTCATGATCAACAGGATGGAGCCGTCATGTGTTTAAAGGTCGAGCGGTGTGGGGGTAAACATACAATTGGGTTCCTGCATTGGCTTGAGCCTATGTACGAGGTTTATAGAGCAGCCCTATGGAGAGAAGCTCGCAAGGCAGACTCGGGAGCTTGGTCTTGCTTTCTCGAGGTGGCCTGCGCCATGCCCGGGGTTGCTGGCAGGTATATACGGGTATAGGGCCCTGAGGCCCAGTAACATTACATCTGCGAGGCCAACAGTCCCATTCCCGGCAAAGCGGCTGGCACTGGTTGGTGCCTTGACGGATTGTCATCCCAGGCGGCCGTGCGGCCAAGCTCCCGACCGTTTAGTGTCACAGCGCTCCAGCGCCCAGCCCTTGCCGCAGCGAGGGCCCCGGACACGGACGCTGCGAGACGGTGCAGTTCGTCCCAGGACGCGGTGATGAGAGGGGCGCCGCCATGTGCTGCTCACAGGACGCGTGCCGATGCGGCCCTCGACGACGGCGACCTTGGCTGCAGGCACCGCGTGCGTCGAGGGCGTCGAGGGCGTAAGCGTGGCCGCGGGCGCACATGCGCTGTCCTCTGCCAGTCCCCCAGCGTGGCCGTCCACGGCTGTAGCGCGTGCCGCTGCCGTCGAGCGGGTGCGATGCTGTTGGTGGCGAGCATGGGGCGTCGCAGCAGGCGAACGAGTCTGGCACCGGCTCGAGCATAGCGTCCCAGGCCCGCGCGAGCAGCTAAACTCAACTGCGGAAACAGTCGCAACGAGACGAGGTCGCGCGAATGGCGCGTGCGAGAGTCGCGCCCGTCTAAGCCTCGACGTCGCTCGCGCTGGTCGGGTCGTCGTGCGCTGGGGCGGGAGCTTCCACGCCTGGGCCGCTGCTGCTGCTGTACATGGCCGTTGAGAAGGCGTCGTCCTCCCGCCGGCTGGATGCTGGAACAGCCGCTTCGATGCAGCTTCCAGAAGGCCCCGAGCGGTGACCCTCCCCTGCTATGCGGGTGCCACGCGCTGCTGCAAATGGGGCCTGTCATACGACGCGACCCATGACCGCCTGGGGCATGGCTGAGAGGTGAGGCCTGAAGAGCACCGCTAGACTTTCCGCCCCGGCCGCGATGCCATGCTGAGTCCGAGCCGCCGTCTTCGTTAGTCCGTGGGGGCCGTCGCGAGCGCAGTGGACACGGTGACCTGCAGAGTGCAGACGACGTCGTGGACCTTTTCCGCCGCAGTGGGCGCTTGTACCGCGTCCGCATTGTTCGACCTGCGCGCCTCGCACCTAGCGCCTGGAACCGCACGTGACCCGCGCCTGAACGAAGTCCACCCGTGCCTGCTCTGCGTGTCCGTCTCCGCCGGCCGCCCGTCTTGCTGTGTCGTCTGCGTTGCCAGGCGGTGCGGCGAGTATGAAACACCAGAGCGTGCATCGTGTTGGATCATCGCCATGTCTGACGTGATGCACAAGCTTGCTTTCTGCTCCGTCTCATTGGCTCCTGCACCACTCCCCCAACGCACCTCTTCACGCTTTGTTTCGTCTCGACATTCACCCTGCGAAGACCCGCCCTTGCGGATCTTGGATCCTACCGGCCAACTTCCATGGGCACCAATGCCCATGTGCCCAAGACGCAGTGGGTCCTGGAGGTCGACCGCTTGCACTCTCTATTATCCGCTCCTCGAACGACACCGACGGACACTAAAACGCCGAGCATTCGCCCCTAGGAACCTAGGAACATACGTCTAGCGCTGGACATTGTCGTTGCGGCCGAGAATAGCAACGCAGGGCGCTGCGCGTGGGTAACCGATAGTCAAGCTTCATCCCACGATCGATGCCTCGCCGACTAAAGTACTTCCCCATGATGGCATCGGAAGTTTCGTGATCCTGGGTCGATCCCGTATTAGAAGTCCTGACGGTGGCATCCGTACCATGGCATGATTATCGTCGACAAGAGGCGCAGTCACTGACGGCTTGCTCAGGAGATAGGTTGCGACACGCGCGGGATACTTCTGCTTGCGGCAGTGCACAGTGCGCACTCCGCCCGCATCAATCCAACCAATGCCATGCACTCGTTCGTTTGTTTCCTACACCCACTTGTTGACCCCAAAACTATGTGTGTTTGGACCACTTGTGTCCTGGGTGCGGGGGGCCTGACATGCGACCGTTAGGCTAGGACCGTTGTTAGGAAGCCAGAAGAAAGATGGCGCTTGGCTTTGCGTTGCGTCGAAGCAAGCGAGATTGTTCCTCTGCTATTATAGCCCGCCCGGGTATGGCTGGAATGCTCGGTAATGTTCTAATCGCAATACAAGCCAAACATAGTGATAATTACATCGTGGATAGAGGTGGCCGCAAACTATGCCCAACACCTATTGCTACCAGGACAAGAGTGCGAAAAGACAGCATGGCGGAGATGATTCGTCCTCAACATATCAGTTCGCGGGGGAATTTGCATAAAGTGAAACAGGGATATCTGGGTTTTTCTTACATGAGGTCTGAGACCTCGCAGTCGAACTGTGGCTCATCAGTGCGCTGAAATAGCCCGTATAGCGAAGCTTTTGATACCGTACGGTGATTGCACCACGATGGCGCCACATCGACTACCCAATCTAACGTTCAGGTCCAACCACTCTCTATGGCATGATGGCGTCCATGGACATGGGAGCAGACAACGTGGCCATTCTCAGCAACTCCGTTGACAGCGGTGCTCGGCGTATCACCTACATGCAGCTACATAATGTTCATTTATCCAGCGCTTAACAATTGGCCATGTAGTACGCTCGGGCACTTCACCATGCTCTGGTATGCAGGTGACCCTTTCTCGGATCCCTCCACCCGGCGGTTTGGAGCGACCGACAAGTAGCGGAAATCGCCCCTGAACGCTAGCATGGCCTACCCTTCTTGTCTTCACACGTCTTGCTGTCCCGAAGTACAAATTACGACCAGTCCAAAGGATTCCATCCCAGCCCGCGCGGGCGTCGAGCATCTATGGCCCGAGCCTCTTAGCTACTTCCAAGGCGGTTAGTCACGCACCACTGCCATGGACTGGTTGGAGAAGAAGTCGGCGTTCAAACTTTACCCACGGGGAAGGATTAGCATGGCGATGTGTGGACTGTTTTAAAACGCACGAAGCAGTCCTGCACGGGGCCGGCCCATCTGGCCCCTCACTTAGCTCTGCCGCGCACGGCACGACAAGCGTTGCTGTTGGAGCAGCATCGCTACTAACGCCTTTCCGGTATATTCCTTCGAAAATCTCTCAGTATTCCATGGACATGTCATTGTTAAAGACGGTATGAGACCATCCATGACTCGTGGACATAACGCCTCGTTAACGTGCCATCTGTAATGTGAATGGAGCTCCACTGATTTCTCATCCAATACAGTATCGCTCAATGCTGGGCTGATCCCAACATACTTGCTCGGCCGTACGTTGGCACAAGTGCAGCTTGATAGTGAACAGATGGTGAATGAGTCGTTGACCGCTGTTACGGCCGTACTTCGTCAGTAAGTGAGCAGTCTGCTCAAGGCAGGGATATGCTTGCATGACTGCTGATTGCCGCTTTGGCTGTCTCGATATGCGCGGAATGCCACGGTGGAAGTACCGGAAGCTTGTAGCCGTGCAAATCTACCTGACTTCAAGGAACACGGCGCGATCTTCTATATCATGAAGAGACACCCTAAATAACCTAACGCTATGCAAGGCGGTTTTTACGTGGTGTTATGGTAAATTACTTGTCTATGAAGTCGTCCAGCAAGCATGTACGCGCCACCACTCTCAGCATCAGAAGCAGAGCCAGCTTCGACTCATCACCTCGCATTCGTAAAGTCTATCCCAAAGCAGTAATACACATTTTGCATGTATCCTCCCAGCTTTCAGCCTGTTTGTATGCACCATCCTAGGCACCCAACGATTGTACCATCTATGGACCCTACTTCACACGGAAAAAACGAGACGGAACTATGCGTTCATGCAATTCCAAAAATAGATCACGAACTCGCAAACTCCCCGTTCGTCTAAATCTTGTCCGTTCGATCGGAAATTCCACTTGTTCCACAGTAACAAATCCAGTTACAGAAAAGCTCCGATGTATTACGCCAAAATTCATGCACCATCAAAGAAGTAGCAAACGTAGTCGACCTGCACCATCGCCTAGCGCAAGGGCCGAACTGAAACATTCCTAACGAGGGAAGATAACCACTTCTCCAACAGCGGAACCTGTTCCCACCCGAGATCAATCTTCTCCAAGATCAACGGGTCCACCTTAAGAAACGCTTGATCAGCCAGCCACAGCTATGCATGGACACCAGAACAGCAGGCGGTCGAGTAAACGGAGGAACAAAGGCACTGATCATCGCGGCCGTACGCATGAAGGAAGCCGCCGACGCGCACTGCAATGTGGCTTGGCTGTCGAGCGCCTTGGCACCAACCACCAGACCTGCTCACGTTCTGCTGTAGATCGGAGGTTAGGCTTTGCGAACACGAATCCGGGAATCCATCGTTCTGATGTAAGACAATCACATACATACATGGGTTGAAGGACTCCAAGATGAGGCACAGCCCCAGACATTATAGGTTCAGGTATTTATTCGGACTAGTGTACGCTAAAATACTTTGCGAGACTCGCTAATACGTGCGAGCGATGCTGGAATCGGTTTTAAGCAGTGGTGTCTGTGATGGCTTCGAGAGCCCGCTGGAACGTGCCGACCAATGTGCTCGTTTCTTCTAGGCCAACGCTGAAACGCACAAGATCTGCCTCTACGCCCCATGATGCTGCCTAGATTCGTGCGTTAGAAGGACAGTCAGGGATGATATAGCAATCATAGAGAGAAGACTTACCCAGTCGAGTTCGTGGTAGTGCGCTAGAATTACGTATGGGGAGCTGTTGTGGGGTCAGCTGAGCGCGATGTCGGTGAGGTGAATGAACGATTGTACCTGAGCGTAAAGTTCGTGCCTAGACTGGGCCCTTTCACGGTGTCGAGGTTGTCGAAGAACTTGGCTGCGTCCTGCTTGGTGTGGAATGTCGCAGATAAGAGGCCGCCGTAGCCACCATTGGGATTTCTGCATCTCTCGTAGTTTTGACGAGTGTCGCTGTACTTGGGGTAATACACCTTCTTCACTGCAGCAAAGTCAGTCATGACCAATGGAGCTGGCGTTTATACTGCTGTAAGTTACCTCTTGGATGCGGCTTCAATACTTCGGCAATTGCTCCGGCGTTGGCATTAATGCGCTCGATACGCGATACGAAGTCCCGGCTGTTGCGCTCAAGGAAGATGCTGTCCTCTGCCCAGTGATTGTCTTCGTAGTCTGCGTCCCAAGCGCGTTTGAGAACTTTGTAATTCTTTGACTTGGGGTTTAAAACAAGACTGACAGCAGATTAGATTTAGCATTGTCAACATATGGATGCACTTGCCCTCCACCCATGACATTGCTGTCGCCACTGAATACCTTCGTCAAACTGCTGACGACTATATCCGCAAGAGGTAGCACGTTAACATTTAGGAAGTTCCCAATCGTTTCATCGACTACGACGTAGAAATCGTATTTGTCGGCAAGATAGCGAATGCGCTCAAGGTCGGGGGAACGCAGCAGAGGATTTCCAAGGAACTCCGTGAATAGCGCCAGAAAGCGCTCACCACCTTCTAGTCGCCTTTCTAGGTCATCTAACTCTTCTGATGACCCAAACCCGCAAAAGTGGCATCCCGGACCGAATTTCTCCACGATCTTCAAGGTGTCGATGTATGGGAATCTAAAGCGATCAACGTCAATTTACTCTTAAAGTGGAATAAGTGCCATACCCGTAAACAATACTCTTCAGCGGCGTCCTTGTCGACATCATGATTCTGTGAGCATTGAATATAGAGCTCATGCCACATGGATAGAGGTAGACGTCATCTTCAGAGAAATCAGGAACATCGCGAGTCCTGTCAGCATCCTTCTCTACGGACAAGGCCTTGTCTAGTCCAACGTCTGCAGTCAATGACCCAGCTATGCGTCTTCGTACGGCCAGCTTTGCGTTCTTGGTCTGTGAGATATCAAGGTTGCGCCCGAACCTTTGCTCGACGAATTGTATGGAATCGTTCTTCTCACTTCCAATTGAGTGGCCATTAGAGCCGGTGAGGTCGATAGAGGTCTTCTGCCTGTATCTCCGAGGTCCTTTGCACACTTTCGGTACGTCTTCGGTTTCCTTAGAGTCTACTAAAAGACCTTCATCATATAGGCTTTCGCAGTATTCAGCACGCCGACTCGACACACCCTCTCCTGAATGCTGCCAAAAGGTTTTCGCAACCTTAAAATGAAATCCAGGAAAAAGCACTGCCGAGACTCTCGGCGAAATTACAGAGAACTCCTCAGAGCGTGCCTTCTCGGAAGTTGGTACGAGATCTATAACCTGTAATTGCTGAGCGTCCAGTTCCGGAGCCTGGCGCAGGAAAAAGTCCCGACATCTTCCTGCAATTGCCGACGTTGGGAAAAGCATTGCTTGATCGTCTGGCTGTCCATATTTGGCAGCAACCTTGGCGGCAAACCTTTGTATGATTTTGTGGACGAAGAACCTAGCATTATTAGAAACACTGCATACAAAGGTAGCAAGAGGAGCTAAGACAAGACGTAACGAACCGTGGATATCCGGTTACCATCTTGCTGACAACCCATTCTTCTCCTTCTTCGTATCCTACGTTCGCCCTCCAGGTCGGTAACGAAACGCTCACAGCCTGTATCTATTAGTAACAAAAGAACGATATGAAGTCGTGAATCAGTGACTCACGTGCGGCGTCTGGGGAGGCAGCGACTCCCCCACTTCAACATCGTTCACGGCGGGCGTTGAATGGGGCATTTTCGAGGCAAGTGTGGCTCCAGCAATGTAGATCAGAAGGTGACAGTCACTGTCTATATAAGTTTATCACTGTTCGCTGGCCGGCGATGAGGCAATGTCAGTTTGCTAGACCGAGTCACTAGTCTGGTTCTCCGACGTCGGGCGTCGGTAGTTCCTCCCCAAACTTTTTATTGTGTTATCGATAGGGAAGGCACAAGGCACCCGCGGCAGGCACCTGGCACTAAGCACCCATGCGCCACAGCATCCGCCCGAATTTTTTTGGGTTCGCGAAATCAGACGCGAAACAATCCACCATGGCGCCGGCAACAAAGCGCAGGAAGCTGAAGCACGAGGACGAGAGTAGCGAACCCGACGGGAGCGCCGCGGACAACCATGTTGACGGCGCATTTCCGAGCGACAATGATGAGCGCGACGTAAACGATGGCTCGATGGATGATCTGGAGCTTGTCAGTGATAACGGGAGCTCAACCGAGGCTTCCCTTGAGGAAGATGACGAAGACGAGGATATTGAAGAGGAAGAAGAGGTGGCGATTGAGACTGTAACAAAGCAGCAGAGAGTTGCAACGAATGCACAGGATGGGGGAAAAGCGAAACCGCACAGACATTCAGATGCGCAACTGCAAGACGGAACTTATACAGCGGAGACATTCAAGTCGAATGTGTTCAAGCTACAAGTCGACGAACTTCTGGATCAGGTGAAGCTGAAGTACAGCAAGAAGGAAGCATCAGCGGAGAATGCCATGCGGACGCTGAAAATCATTATCGAGCAACTTCCGAGCCGGGAACCACAATTGGTACGCTGCCAAATAAGCTAAAACTGTGGAAAATTCTCTAACAATGTGTAGCTCGCTGGAGCAGAGACGAGTCTTAAAGCATCCGGTGTAGCGATCCCGTTCCCAAGCCCGCCTCCGCCGACCGATGTAAAATACAAATTTCGATATGAGCGCCCTGCAAGCATAAATGCTACCGGCAGCTACCCACTGAAGACTGCGACCCGGTCGGAAGAGGGCATAGGTATCGACCTTGTCGTGACAATGCCGAAGGCTATCTTCCAGGAAAAGGACTACTTGAACTACCGATATTTCTACAAGCGCGCATTCTACCTGGCATGTTTGGCAGCTGGCATAAAGAAGTCGAAGGAGCACAAATTCAAGTTGTCGTTTGATTGCTTAAACGGGAATCAGCTGCAGCCTATACTTGTCGTTCGACCGAACGGCAACGGCGATGGCGATGACTTTTCAAATTCGAAGTGCCGCATTGACATCCTCCTAGCAATGCCTGAAGGCATTTTCCCGGATGCGAAACTGCTTCCAAAGGCAAACTGTATACGGCCCAAAGGCGATGACATAGAAAGCGACAATAAGCCCCTCACTTCGACTCCATTCTACAACAGCACCCTTCGATCCGAAGTGACCGTCACTCCTTATCTCAAACTACTCCATTCCAGCGCTGCGAACTGTGATGCGTTTCAAGATGCATGCATCTTGGGCAGAATCTGGCTGAAGCAGCGCGGATTCGGTAGTGGACTTCGCAAGGGAGGCTTCGGTAACTTCGAGTGGGCAGCACTTATGGCTCTTCTAATGCAGCCGAATCCTGGAGCTGGCGCGCCTCCTCTTTCTAGTGGCTACAGTAGCTATCAGCTGTTCAAAGGTACCCTTCAGTTTTTAGCCCGGCACGACCTCTCAAAGAAAGCGTTTTCACTCCAGGCACGCGACGTTGCTTTCCCAAAAAGCGGACTAGCTCCGATATTCTTCGATGGTCCACGGGGCTTGAATATACTGTTCAAGATGACAACATGGTCTTACGCGCAATTGCACCTCGAGGCTAAGATCTCTGTTGATACATTGGGAGATGTATTATTCGACCAATTCGATTCTATCTTCATTTTACGCACGGATCTAAAACGTTACCGGTACGACGCAACCCTGGAACTGCCCATAGGCGCACTTGGGCTTGATCCAACCCAGAAAAGTTACGAGGATCAACTGGCCGGCACTTGCCAGAAAATCTATACTACCCTAATTCGAGCACTTACCGACAGAGTGACGGCTCTGGACTTGTCACTTCGCGCTCATTCTACCTGGTCGGTCACTACGAGCAGACCCAGTGACGACGCACGAGACCGCCTTCTAATCAACATCGCGACCGATCCAGCCAACGCTAATCGAACGGTTGATCATGGACCATCAGCGGAAAACAAACAAGAAGCTGCATCTTTCCGCAAGTTCTGGGGCGATAAGTCTGAGCTCAGACGCTTCAGAGACGGTAGCATCCTCGAGAGCGTGGTCTGGTCAACAAAAGATGCATCTGTGTCCGTCCTCGAGCACATCGTCCTTTACATCCTCGCCAAGCACGTCAACGACGGTATTCGCGAAAACGCACACTTCACCTATGACTCTTTTGCTGGAGTAATCTCATCTGGTCGTTTACAAGGGCAGTCAGGCGTCACAGCATTCGCACCGATTATGGCAGCTTTTACGCAACTTGAAAAGGATATCCGCGAGCTGGAGGAATTACCACTTTCTGTTCGACATATCCGGGGTGCTGATGCGCAGCTGCGCTACACTTCGGTCGATGCCCAACAGTCCACACCGGCATCTATCGTACTGCAACTTGAAGCCTCCGCACGGTGGCCTGACGACCTGTGCGCCATCCAAAGAACGAAGATCGCGTTCCTCCTCAAACTTTCCGAACTGTTGTCTGCTAGCCACAAAACCTACAAGGCTCAGGTTGGGTTGGAGAATCCATCACAGCCATCGCAGAACCAGGCTTTCCTTGATATTACCCTCAAAACAGGAAAGCACGGCGTGCCAGACTACGCATTTCGGCTTCGTATTCATCATGATCGTGAAGCTACATTGCTAGAACGACAATTAAAGGACAAGACGTTGGATGCGCAATCGCGTGAGTCCGCTGCTCTAGCGCTTGCGCTATACAGCCGAGACTTCCTGCGCGTGCTATCCCATACGCAAACGGTTCAGAACCTGTGTACACGCCACACGGCGCTTTCGCCGGCTATACGATTGACAAAGCGATGGTTCGACTCGCATCTTCTATCACCTCACGTTGCTCCAGAACTCATCGAGCTTCTAGTTATTCGCACGTTTCTGCAACCGCACCCCCTGGCCCGTACCTTCATGTGCCACGACCGGCTTCTTACGGACGCTGGCTTGGATTAGCCGCTGGGACTGGCGCCACACCCCCCCCTTATCGTCGATTTCTCATCAAACGCTTCAGATGATTCAGCCGACTCAACCGCAGGTACTGGTCGCATGAAAGCAGAAGATCTTGAGAAGATCCAAATGCGTTTCGAGGCGTGGCGACGTATCGACCCAGCCATGAACCGCGTAGTGCTCTTTGCAGCCACGAACCTTGACACGGATGGAAACACGTGGACGGACAGAGGCAAACCTGAGAAAGTGGTTGCTGCGCGGATGACGGCGCTCGCCAAGGCTGCCACGGCTGCCATTAGAGCTTCCGAGGATACCTCTGCTGTAAATGGTGAGCCTAGGGCAGCGCATGTTACTGGAGAGTCGTTTTTCGTACCCCAGCTGCAGGACTTTGACTTCGTTATCCATATTGCATCGAAATACTCCCACGCTCGCAGGAAGAAGCGTCACGATGAACCGAAGTTCAAGAACATCGAGATCCAGCAGGTGATTTCTCAAAATAATTCTACGCAGCTTGCGCGTCTATTCGCTGAAGACGTCCAGAGTATCTATGGGGATGCTATATTGTGGTTCTGGGATAATGAGGATATGTCAAATGTAGCAGGCCTGTGGAACCCGGCTGTGACTGCTCAGCGTACGTTCAAAGTCAAGCCTGGGTGGAACAGCGTGCCAGTGAAAAGGAAGGTGGGGGAGAGGAGGGAGGACAAGGGTGTGGATATCATGGTCAATAAGGAGGCCGCGTACAATGAGATGAAGAGGCTGGGTGAGGAGTTGGTCAGTGAGATCGATATCAATAGGTAAAGGGGTATGATTAGGTTTACTACCCCAGCTAGACTTGGTAGGAAGACATTTTGATCATGTTGTAGCATCGAGTATCGTGTTTCCTCCTGTGGCACGTTTGATGGACATACCTTCTCCTCATGAGTGGCACATTGCACCATCGTCTCGCATATTGAGTGCGCATTCAGGTGGCCTAGACATCTACAGTAAACGAAGTCTGCCCAGCACATGTCATCGTTGTGCCCGACTTAGGCACTGGCGGATGAGTTGTGGCCCACCAAAGTCCACCTTGAGAGTACCAGAACCCTCGTACAGACACAGCGCCCCGACGACTGAGGAGAATTGGAGGTGTATGTATAGGAGTTTCCAAGGGAGTGAGATCATTTGTGACGGCCACAGTTGGCCCTTTCTACGCCGCCACGGAACGAAACAAGATCCATTCCCCCCACTTTGAGTTTCAAAAAACTTGCCACGTGACCTTATGCATGCGTAACCTGATGCTAAAATATACTCTAGTGCAAGACGAGTACTTGTTCAGAAAGGGAAACTTTGTTTGGGAGGTTTATATTCGGGAGGTTTGTAATCGGGAAGCCCTCCCACTACAGGGTTATGCGGCGTTCTTCACCTTTGCCGTGGGTTGGGTGGGGGCCATTCTGGGCGTGTATCAGAAGTGGTACACAAGGCCTATTGGTGGGCCTGTTGGGCTGCCGATTGTTGTTGCCGTGGCAGCGATTGTGTATCCTTTAGCTAGGTAGTTGCAGCTGAAAAAAGCCAGTAGTAGACGTTGTTGCAACCTTTTGAGCCGGCTGGGAGGCCATAGACGAATGTCATGGTACTTTCATATGAGCATTGAAGGCAGCGAGTCGGACTTTCAAGCCATTGATACGCGCATCATTCTTCCGCGTTAAGAACCTATCGTTCAAAGTCCGAAAAGGGTCAGGTCGCGCCTTTCCCATCCATCGGCACTTTGTTTGCCTCTCCCCTTTCACCTCACGACGTCTCATCACCACACCCACCACACACACTCCCTCAATCCAGTATATAGATAGAGTATCTCGATACACAGTATATACTGCCATTTAAACTTGTTATTTTGAAAGATATTTGACTTCCGACTAACACATAAAGAGCGTAGTGTAGTTGGGTGAAAGCACTCTGTTAGTACTCGCTGACAGTGCACCGGCTCGAGGCCTAATCAAATCAGAAAAGATAGAGCCGGGGTGTGTGGATGGGATGAATCTGTTTCTGCCTTTGTCTTATGCTGGTATTCGCAGGCTGGATCCTGACTTGAGAGAGGGTTGGCTGCAAACTCTCGACGGAAATCACATAGGCATACGATCTCCTAATATCAGGACTAACTTAACAAGTACGCAATGTGGATGTACACTATGTCTATCCGAGCTTTGGGTAGCGTCAATGGTGAGGAGCGTAAGTTGACCCGGATCGAGTGGTCGATAAGGGCAATGTTGAAAGGTTGTCTTTGAGGCACTAGATCGTTCCAAATATGAGTCCAGCATCGTGGTAACTACTCAACGCGTAAAGTTCTTGGTGGTGACATTATCCGCAGTAGGTTCAATATAGGCACACCGAATATTCTGCCGAGCATTCGCTGGTTTGGAAACGTCATAAATGCTCAAAATAACTTTTCGACACCTACAGAGAGACAAGCAGCCGATCTTGAAACTTTGTCTTTCGCCTCGAGCTAGGCTGGATCCTAGTCTGTTCGCGATTATGAAACCAAGTCTAAAACCCAGGAAAGGATAACCGAAGGCTGAGTATGCTTGCTGTTCAGCGTGCGCCGATAGCGTGCTGTACTGATGAGCAATCCACAGTGCTTATTTCGGTGAGCAGGGGCTCGGACTGATGCTTTCAATATGGAAGTTTCTGTTCAACAAGACATCGCATGCCATAGGCGGTTCGCAGGCAGGTGGTAATTGAGCTCGGACCGAATTTTGCAGTCTATAGATCGCGATACGAGCATCGACTCAATTTTTCTTGTTCTGATTTGCGAGCTCAACTGACCAGTCCTTCGAATAGCGCATCTCGTCTTCTCCTCACGTTGTCCAGGTTGATCTCCAGCTTGCCCACCTCTTTCCTCGCAACCTCCCGATCTGCCGGCAAGCCAGCAAATTCGTCTACTTCCCTCTCCAATCCTTCAACCCTTTGCCTCAACGCATTCAAAGATGTCTGCTGCTCCAGCATATCCGCAATCGCTTCTGCCGAGCTGACGCCTTTCGAAGCTGGCGTAGCCGCACCCTTTGCTTGATGATGCTCCAGTGACAACAGCCTATCCTCGTATTCTCGTATCTTGGCTCGCACGTGTTTCGTCTGGCGTGCTTGCTCAGTGGTTTGGCGCTGCAGCGACGGAGGGGCGGAGAAGGCAGGATTAGATTGCAGTTCCTTGAGCTGGACGCGGAGGAGGGTGTGCTGTTTTTCGAGGTATCTCTGTAAAGTTTGTATATGTGTAATGCTGGTCGAGAGGGTCTGCGATGTGGATGTGTGCGCAATGAGCGCATATGCAAGCGTCTCTGAGTTCGCGCTTGTCGTATCGAGGGCGACCGCGGTCGATGCGAGAGCACGCAAGGACTCTGAGCCTTCAGGCGTAAGGTGTGCTTTCGTGGCCTCAACTATCTTTACGTCTTCTTGGTTGCGAGAGGCCTGCGCATATCAACGTCTGGACATCAACTGGCAAAAGGCAGAGGCGAACCTCTCATACCTCATCCGCCTTCAACTCCTTCAACGCCTCCCGCTCCACCTTCTCCATGATCATCCGCTCCTCATCTGCGCGTTCATTTGCCAATGACAGCTCCCTGAGCACCTTCATTGTCTCCTCGTTGCGCTCAAAGGTGGGGACGGTGCGGCCTGCGTATTTGTACGACAGCCATGAGTCGATGTGTGCCCAATCGGCCGCCTGTGCACGCTGCTGTCGAGCTTTGGAAGGCGAGAAGAGGTCTTGCGGCGTCAGGTTGTCCATGGTGTCGTGGAAAGGTGGTTTAGCGATTCGGTGTTTGTTTTCGTCTGACCCTGGCGGCAGGGGCGAGGCGAGGCGAGGCGGGTGGGGCAAGAGCTACCCCGGATTCCAGCCTTATGGAGACGGGTGAGGTGACCTCTTTGTTATTATGACGTTGATTGCTCCGCTCCTCTATCAAGGATCACTTCTCCCCTTACTGTCCTTACACTTATGGTCTCTGCTTGCTTGATGTTTCGCTCCTAAGCACGTGTAGACTCAAAACCCACTTCGCTTTGGCCGTTATACACCTACCTTCGAAGCTTCTTATCGCGGCGGTGCTCTGTCTTGTCAAGCTGCCTTTCTTGAAGAACGTCCTCCGCTCAGCAGGCGGTACTCAGATTCGTAGCATCGGGATGGCGTGGCGAAGCTCCGGCACCACCAATGAAGGCCTGATAGCGAATCTGGCGCGCAACGGCCTTATCGAATCGGCGCGTGTCAAGGAAGCTATGATGAAGGTAATCCTCATATTACCTGATAGCTTGCACAGACATACTAATTCATACAGGTCGACCGCGCCCACTACGCCCCCACCCACGCCTACGAAGACTCCCCTCAACCCATCGGCCACCGCGCCACAATATCCGCCCCGCACATGCACGCCTCGGCCTGCGAATCTCTCCTCTCGCACCTGCAACCCGGCGCTCGTGTCTTAGACATCGGTTCCGGCAGCGGCTACCTGACTGCTGTCCTCGCGAATCTCGTCGGCCCATCCGGCACTGTTATCGGCATTGACCACATCCAACCCCTCGTTGACATGGCGGTGGGCAATATGGTCAAGTCAGAAGCCGGGCGGGCGATGCTGAATTCTGGACAAGTAAAGTTCGTAAAGGGTGACGGAAGGAAAGGCTGGGCCGAGGAGGCACCCTATGACGCGATCCATGTCGGCGCTGCGGCGGCCGAGCATCACAAGGAGTTGAGTGAGCAGCTGAAGGCTCCGGGACGAATGTTTATTCCGGTAGAAGAGGGACATATGCAGCATGTATATGTGGTGAATAAGAAAGAGGACGGAACCATTGAGAAGAAGAAGCTGTACGGTGTGCAATACGTGCCATTGACTGATGTACCGTCAGAGTGACTGGCTGGAGGACGAGCCGAAACGAAGCTACGATTTGGGAATGGACATAACAACGAAATCAAGCGAGAGTTTAGCGCGATTTAAGGAGACTGAGACACCTTTAAAGCTGAGAGTTGCAATGTGTATAGAATGAACCTCAACATGTGGTAGAATGAAGGCAGCGGGCTACGGCTGTAATACACACTTCAACGCAGAAGGAAGAGGAAGTCTCAACAGAACTTCCTCCCCACTTCGCATGGCCTTCCCATACCTGCCAGAAGTGCACACCAACCCCCAGGCTTGTCTAGTGACCACAGACACGCGCCGTTCCTGATAATCCCCTGTAATCACCGCAGAGACCCTGCCCGGATCGACTCGTTGGATACTGACCTTGAGCTATGCCATATCAACATTGTTAACCCGGTTCCCCCAAGTAGTGCAAAAGTTGGAAAGAAATTCCCAATGTTCCATTTTTTCACTAAAAAAACATCCACCCGAGATGTAGGAAGACAGCCAAAAAGGCCATTTCACCCGAAGGCCCAGCTCAAGGTTGTTTTGCTTCGGCTTCATACTGGTGCACTATCAACAAATACGAGCGAGTGGTTTCACTCCACTATATTAGCCTTTCTATGTGTCGGTCGATGGACAAGAGCATTACGATTTGATAAGTATATGTAGGTGTTGATACAAAAGTCTAGATACGCAGATTTTCATTTGGATTTCGCCCAATGCTTGCAATGATATTAGGGAGATAGGGGCGCGCCAAATGTACCCTTTGCTTATCTTAAGGTAATAAATAGTATTACACGTTTACAGCCGTCAAGAGAACGCCTGGCATACTCAGTTAAAGAATGTCCGAAGCTGAAAGACACGTTGAGCCTTCTCCATATAAGTCAATCGACAGGCTTCAAGTTTCTGTGTACGTCTACAGTACAGAGCTCAAACAAACATCTAGAAGTCCAAGACAAGTCACTCCGCTCTACGCTACGCAAACAAGCAAGAAACTTCTGCTCGAACGGCAGACAGATCTAATCCACAGCATACTCAGCTTTCATTCCTCTTAGCGCCCTACGTCTATCCTCATATACGCACGCCAGGTGCTGCAGCACCAGCGCCATTCTCGGCGTCACGCCCCACACCCAGACGTCATTAAGCATCGTCGAGCGGAAGTGAGCGACCGCGCTGGCGAGGGAGCTGCCGTTGTACTCACAGTCCGTCTCGGCGAGTAGATGCTTATAGCCGCGTAGAAGTTCTTTCTCGTCTGCATCAAGCGGCGAGCTGGCAGGGGAGGTTTCGAGAGTGTGTATCCATTTGGTGACGAGAAGAACTAACATTTCATTAGTATTGCTAGGAGACTGATTGCTAGGAGACGAATCCGGAAAACTTACTTCCGACCCAGTCCGTTACAGCGTGTTCCAAGCTCCAGCTAAGCGCCGCCGTCTTCCGCAAGAGACTGTGTCCCAGCTTCACCAGCACATGGTGTCTGTCATACGATTTCCTCATAAAATCCGTCAAGCTCGCACATCTCTGCAGTGGCGCCTCAGCAAAAGAGTACGCGGCCGCGGCTATCTCGTCGGGGTTGTCGTTAATCAGCATAAGTCTGTTGAAAGCCCTCATGTCGAGGAACAGGCGCACATGCGCCATGTGAACTACGCCCTGGCAATTGAACATCAGCGGGCCCTCTGCCTCGGTCCACGGCGTTGTGGTGTCTTTGCGCTGGCGGGCGGCGGCAAGGATGTCCTCACACGCTGAGAGCGCGGATGTGGTCGGATTTATCAGTGTATCGTGCAGGTGCACAGGGCTTAGCTCGACGACCTGGCGTATACCTTCTATATGAATGTTCATTGCATGCATGAGGAGAAGCATCGTCAGGACAGATACTTCAGGCGGGCCGCCCGCATCATGGTCTTCATCGAGCAGAATGCGGCTCAAAATGTCTCGGACGGTAGAGCGTGTCTGGGACGTATCTGGGGCAGACCGCCGAAGATACCACCACTCCTGCGCTGATGAGGCATTCCAGAAGCGCCCCTCGTCCAGGTCCTCAAAGTCCAGATCGTCCGTGTGCGAAAACCCTGGCATGACTCCGAACGTGGTGGAAATCAGATTTGACACAACGTACATACCGAAAAGCAAGCGCTTGCTGCTCTCACGATAGATCCACTCATCCCAGTCCAAGCCTTCTGTGCTTGACCGCTTGAGCAGCGCTTTCCTGAGGCGGTAGTCAATGGAATGGAGTCCGAGGTTCTCGACCGTACGTAGCACAACAGAGGTCATGCCGCTGAACATTCCAGAGAGCGAGAGCAGCACGCGCGTCTGCATGACCCATAGCGGCGCAGGTTCTGGATTACCATTTACAATGGGGAGTCCATTGTGAAGCGCGTGCGAGCTCATGGTGCCAGCTAGGACGAAGAGATTCTTCGCCTTCTCTCTGCGGAGGCGGTACTGCGCGCCGATGCTGCACATGGCCATTATTAGGGGACTGGGGACCTGGTATGGGTCGAAGGAGTGCAGATGGATGATGGGGAAGTGCCGGTGGAAGCCTTCGAGGTAGCCGGAGAAGAATTGCTGCAGGTCGGTGAAGGTGGGGAGGAGGGTTTCGGGGAGACCCAGGCCCATGGTCCGAAGACGGATGTCTTCGCATATTCGCCGGTGCGTCTCTTCGCTGAACTGGAGGTTAGGGAGATTCCGCAGGTTTGCACAGGCTTCGGAGTGGACCCGTAGCCTTTGAGTGGAGGTTTGGTAATTGGTATCTGTGCGGTTGGCCTGTTCGGTCTCCATGTCGAACAGGGCCAGGTATTCGGCAGACAGGTCAATATTTTCTAGGTTTTCCCAGGTTGGCGACTCATGTGGAAGTGACGGTTGAACGAAATGTGCGTCCTCTAAATTAGGATCAATAGCATCGTAAGTCTGGACTCCGAGCTGTGAAACGGGCGTTTCTACTACGTGCATGTCCGCGTTCACGGGTGTGGCCATGATGAGCGGGTCGATTTCAAACCGTTGCCGTTTCGCTGGCGGCTCTTGGTAGTAGTCTGCATCACCATGTAATGAGAATACAGTACGCGGAGCTGGCATTGGAGGTTGCCGGAATTCCGCGTTCATAGGGGGGAAGTCAAAAGTAACTGCGTCATCACCTGGATGGAACGGCCTCCCACCGTCGCTGGACGGCGAGCCAGACGATGACCTGAAGGGTGCAGGGTGGTCGTACGAGAGGCCTGGACCAGCGCCGGGAACATGGACAACAGGCGTGTACGTTGTTTCGAGGTTCAAAGTGTAGTCATCTGGAGGGGTCAAAGGGGGAAGCGGGTGAGGGGTGCGTGGTGATTCGGATCCGTCTGACAATCGACTGCCCGACCCAAACTCTTCCGGATGCGCCTTCCTGTACTGGTCGGCATGCAATGTCCGTTCGTGGCGCTTGACGAGGTCTCTGTGCATACGTTAGTCTGCAACGGCCACGACGGATGTTTCTGGGCCATGCAACGTAAGGGACGCACTTTCTGGCATATTTGCGATCGCAATAGGCACACGCGAACGGCTTCTCCTGGGTATGTACCCTCTCGTGTCTTGCGCAATGCTCACTGCGCTTGAAGACTCGAGCGCAGTGTCGGCAAGTGTACGTTCGCTTCATTTCGGCGTCTCTTTCTTGTGTTCTTACCACGTGCGGAATGGATGTTGCGACGCTGATAGAGGCCAGCCGCGGTCAGTATCGACTGCCAGCACGGGCGCAGTCTTCCGGCAGGGCGAGGGCGAAGGGCGTGGTGATGCAAAGCGTTGAGGCTCCTCACAGAGTGGCGGGTGACAGCACGAACGACCGGGATCTGCTACGATGCGCGAACCGCTGGCCAAATCATGGAGCCATGTTTGCGGGGGAGCCAATCGGCGCTTGAGGGGTGAGTGCGGGTGAAATAGCTCCGGGGACTGGGGGAAGCAACTGCCGAGGAGCGGAGACCGCCACCCGTCGGCCTTTGTACCAAGGCACCGCAGAGGCGGACAAACGCAAGCAGTTGAAGAAATCGTTTCATAACACGCCAATTGACCCCGTCGCATGCCAACCTGTCAGCTATACCAACGCCGTCCCCAAGTGTTGTTCTCGCATGTCCCAGCACCACGCAACCACCACCTCTCCACATCGCAGTGCTAGCTCTTATACCTCGGCGTAAGCTTCACGTCCAGCGCACCCACACTGAGCGTGAAAGCGTCCCGCGACTTCTTCACTACTGCCTCACCCATGTCTCCGGCGAAGTCAATCTCAAACCATCTCATCAAGTTCGCCACCACGACACGCATCTCCATCATAGCAAGCTTTTGGCCGACGCAGTTGTACACTCCAGCTGAAAAGGGAATGAAAGCGCGCTTGTCTTTGACGTACTCCGGGGCTTCGTCAGTCCAGCGCTCAGGCATAAACTTTAGAGGCTCGGAGAAGGAGCGCCCGTCTCGTTGTATGGTGTGAATGGGCATCCAGATCGTCGTTTCGCTGGGGATGTAGGTACCATCAGGCAGTGTTATCCCTGCCGCGGGCGTTTCGCGCATTACTCCTGAGGGTACCGCTGGGTGGAGGCGGAGAGATTCGTTGATGGCGCCGTCGAGATGTGGACAATCCTTGACATCATCGACGTCTAGGAAGGATTTCTCGGGTACAAGGTCGTCAGTGATCTTGCAAAGCTTAGCCTGGGCATCTTTGTGTGTGCAGAGTTCCCAGATAAGCCAGGTGAGAGTTGCGTGTGTAGTGTCTGAGCCCGCAACCATCATGAGACGAGAATCGGCATTCAGCTGTTTCGGTATTTCTTCTGCCGTCTCGTCGATGAGATGACTGAACACGTCAGGCTCGGTTGGAGTGATCTGCAATTTGATCAGCACGGTAACGTCTCCAAAGGTGATGAACCAACTTTCTTCCGCTCCATGAGAATATCTTGCGTAAGCTTCATGAAATTGAGCAAGTCCTTTGCCCCAAAGCTCGTCCGCAACATGATCCCAACGATCCACGGAATATGCCCAAAGATGCTCAAAGGAGCCATGCTCTTGTGAACAAGCTCAATCATTTCATCCTCTTCCCCCTTCTCAAGCATACCGAAACCTCGGTTGTATCCAATGTCGCCCATAACATCGAAGGCGTAAAAGCCGATCCAGCTCGAGATGCGGACAGACGACTCCTTGACATGCTCCTTCAGCTTATCGACAAATACACGGGTGTGTCGGTTGAGGCGAGGCTCGTAGTCGCGCAGAGCTTTCGCATTGAAGGCGCGATCCCAAGCCTTGCGTCTTTCTCTGTGGTCTTGATGGTTACGTGTGCTCTGCAACGAAGCACCCTCGATGTGGTAAGAACCACTATACCAGACTCCCTTTCTACACTTGGACATGGGTCCGTAGATGAGAGGAATCGCTTCCGCGCTTGCGACACTGAGTTCGCGAGGCCCTGTGCGAACGATATCGGTGTTGTACTGCCTGTGTAACCCCTCGATAACATCTGTGCAATGTGAGTCTATCGATTTTCGAAGTGCAGGACAAAATGTTTACGGTATAGTTGATAATCGGGTACAACACGGCTTATGGTGTCAAGCTTCGTAATACGAGCGGGAAAAGGGCCAGGGAACTAGAACGTCAGCATGCACTGCTTCACAATAGGAGTCAGAGTCTCAAGGACCTTTCCCAACCGGTGGAAGTACGCGCGGTAAATGATGATGCTTGCCGTCAATGTTCCCAGGTACACTGCTGCCGCTGTTGCCACGACCTGAAAAGCCTGGGAGTAAGAGCCCACCAGAGGATCGGCCACATATTCGAAAGCTACCAATGCGCCGAAAAGTAGAGGCCCGCCTGATACCAGAAGATGAGCATGGTGATCCCATTCTCCGCTGTTTGCAACGAAGTGTGTGAGCAGGCCCAGGGCTGCGGCTACTGCTTTGCTGCGAAAGAGGTCCGCCATGGATGTGTTGAGTCGAGCTGTCTCTTTTGCTTCTGCTTGGACTGGCCACGGGAAATCGTGCAGTGTTTAAGCAAGTCTTGTGCTACGCTGAGCTGCTAGCTTGCAAGGAAGGGCCCGGCTGTGGTAACTGGGGAAGTCGCTTCCGTCAGAAGCCTGAACCACTCATTGAGCACGCATCGGTACGTAGATAAAGGCTTCTGAACTTGCGACGCATCTCACGTCCAAGAGCTCATCAGGTATGCGGGAAACAGAACATGTTCATACGTTGGGCTAATTGTTAGTGCGGGGGGTTACATCTTGGGCGGCGCCATCGGACCCTTCTCCAGTGCATAGTATGTGCCTCAGAAAAGCAAGTCTAAAGGCACGTGTGCTAGCCGAGCTAACGAGCTTGTGTACAGTCAGTGCATGCTTGTAAGCAGTCGAGCTTCGTTCACAGTCGCCTCAATAGCTGGTAACCCGTCCAGCTTATCGTGGCCAGCAAAGGTCTTGTCCGCGCCCCTCCTGTACCGATCTTGCAGCCTGTATTGGGCGAATCTTGTGTCTAACCTTGCACCGCACAATCAAACCCCCTCCGATAGGTTACAGCACCGACGTGGAAACTGACTAATGGATAAAGAATGATTCAGCCAACATCGGTGGCCTCAGGTTACGGTCACTCCGTCGTCAGATCGCTAACGTCGACTGTGATGACATCTGGACTCGGCGAGGCAGCGTAAAGTACGACCAACAAACAGCTGGTACCGCTTCGTACCAATGTACAAGCTGAAGCTGCTACATATTGATTGTTGTATCAATATCGTAATGACGATATCTGTTGCAATGATGCGCTCTTCTCATCGTCCTCGCAGCACGACCCTGGCGCGAGTTCTTTTCAGGTTTAGCGTCTAACGCACCCATGTCTAGTGAATGTCTCCACTGTGCTTTCCGCTAGGTTCGACTGCATTGCCGCTTTTTCGCATCGCAAGTCTCTCTAAGTAAACTGACCTGCGCTCAACCGCACTCCCTTGATCTTCTTACCCGCATAACAAAATGGTCATTATCACCATGCAAGACTAGTATCCGGGCACGTAGTCTCCGCTAATCCACTTCGGAGCAGACTTGGCGCAATGAATGTCCTTGAGCTGCTTCATACTTCATCATTACAAAGTTGTGTGGGTACGGTTTTGCTCTCGCTTATTGCTTTAGACAGGCGTATTGCAATCATTGCGAGATCTTCCACCCATGGATCAAGCCTACAATATGCTAACAGCACCTCACTGCTGTCAAGCACAAAGCGCCAATCCCGGATCTCCATCGAATTCGATACACCAAACATCGTTCTCATTCAACGTGCTGGGACGATCAACAGAGAAATCGTGATCTGAAGAGAGGGCTGGCGCTTCCAAATTCTCGTTGAAAAGAGGCGAAAAAAGGACGATGGGTCGTTACCATCCGTCTTTCTAAAGTTCGCAGAGGGTTGCGCTGAAGTCTTCTGATCGAGTATACTAGGGCGGAAAGGGTACCTTAATGGTTGCTGTCTGGTTTGTCGCCAACTCTGGGGCCAATTCTGGAGCATCTATATTGTCTAGATCAATTGCGTTATCAGCCATGATGGAATCCGTCCGAGCTGATGCGCGTTCTCTCACAAATGCTTTATACGATGTGGATTATCTTGAAAAGCTCGGTGTACTGAGGACCGAAAGTTTGAGGAAAGCACCGTAGTAGACAATCATCATTATCTGATGCGAGGATGCCATACTGCGAAAGAGCGACGGCCCTTCCAGGCGAGTGCGGCTTGAGTTCCGGTCACTCGCATCTACTGAGGTCTAGCAAAGCCTGTCGCGACCTCCTTGGCAGGCTCGAGGCGCGACAAGATGGATTTTCTGGAGTATTTGGTAATGAGAAGGGCTAGTAGTCCCGCATATCCAAGGTCGTGGTACGGTGGTAGTGATCGTTTTGCGTACCCGAAACTTGCGACAGCGTCTGTACCAGATCTGCCAAGATCAAGTTCGACATTGTTTGACAGCTTGTAACTAATCTCTAGATCGGCCCAGTCGATAAAGTCTGCTAATACCTTCCCGAACATGATCACGCGAAAGATGCAATTCGAGCATAGATTCCTGGCTACAGCGCGCGTCTTCCTAGACTGCAATGTCGATCTCGCCAACCGCACATTTTAAAAGCGCCTTTGAGTAAACCAATGGCATCAACCTACGCGGATATGTCGTTCTCTCCGTCTTGATGCCGCTGATGCTGTCTCTCCTTGCTTGTATTCGCTCGTATTGAACATTGTGCGTTGCCTTGTCGAGCTCCACGCTCTGGACCTTTGCGTGCCTTCGTTCATTGATGAGATGTCGACAATGCTGGCATAACGTTCAGTAGGGTAGGCTGTACAGTGCATAGCGATGTGGCGATACAACCCACTTCCAATCTACATAAGGGATTCGAAGCGGGGCATTCGTCTTGCAATCGTCCCACCGCATCAATGTTCAGTGCACAGGTACCTGGATACCGGCGAAGAGTTACCGGTATTGCTTTGGCCACGCGGATGACCTACCACGGTAGGGTTCCTGTGTCCAAATATGGATCAATAGCGTGGTCCCTCAAAGGAACAAGGCGGCGGTCGAGCTGAAACATGCTTGCTCGACGAGAGGGCGACCCTTTTAGCGGAATATGTGCACCGAACAACGAGGGCGATGCATCAGCCGACAAAAGAGAACTGGCAGTACAAGGTAATGCGGTTCAACTCCACCTGCGATTCTCGCCTCGCGTCTGTCGGCCCGAACTGAACGAATAGGAGGCTGCCCCAAGCGTGACACTACCGGCGACTTAACCTCTTCGAGCACCATGGATCTACAAATGTCCATTGGCTGGTGGCAACTGACATCATCTTCATGCATCTTCCTTGAACATCGATAGACCAACAAGTCTGTGATGGACCCTGCGTACAACAATTAGGTGTTCTAAGTCAGTTGGCTGTCACTAACAGCCCGGCTTGCGGGATGGGACGGCGCCGATTTCTCCGACTTGTGGAGTAGACTGCACTCGGGTCCTCCTTCGATGAATGAGCTGGCACTTCGCACAGCCCATATGAGGGGGCGTGATTTCATACCGTAGCATGCCGAGCTTTCAGCCTCAATTTCGATCGCGGTGGCTCGACGGCGAGATTGAGCGGGGCAATAGAATATAATTGTATAAAACCAGACGACGTTTCTTCAAGTGCTGCGACCATCAGCATCGTGTACAGTCTTCGTTCCAACGCTCTCCTCCTACTTTTGATCATAATCTATAAACAACACCACCAATACACAACCATCAAAATGCACTTCACCACCGCTTTCCTCACCTCTGCTGCCGCTTTGACGGCGTCAGCGCTCCCGCAGACGACTCCCGTCTCCGAGGGCACAGCATTCGGTGTCATCACCATCCGCTCGGGCTCTGAGATTCAGAACAGCGGTGTGCAAGCAGCCCGCTCGTCCCTCCTAGTAAACGCTCAGTCTCAGAACGCGTCTTGCGACGCCGATTCCAACTTCGCAACCTTCTACATCAAGGATGAGGAGCTTCACCTCTACGAGAGCAAGACGTCTGCCAGGCCTCAGACTATCTTCGTGGACCGCTCCGGAATGGGTATGTTTAGCGCTCCCTCTGTGTATGTTCGTAACGTATTCGGAACGCACTCTAATGCTACTCATAGGCATGGGCAAGATCGGCTACGTGACCGGTGCTGAGCCCCTTGGCAAGAACTGGGAGACTAAGGGATGGACGGTCGACAACAATGAGCTCAAGTTCAAGGAGACTGGTATTCAAGCTTGCCCAGGATCCATAGATGGTGCCTGGTCCGTATGGCTCCAAGGGGTGGATAAGCCGGCTTACCTTGAGGGATGTGTTGGCGTGACTGGGTCTGTGATCAAGACCGACTCCCCAATCGGCTGCTGGTATACCGAGTAGAGATCGTTTGTGCTCTGAAGTTTCTGCGCAATAGTGAACTTTAGCAGTCGCATTGAATTCTGTACATAAATAGCATGGATACGGCGTAATCTTTGGTTAGACCTAATGTTTCATACATGCTTATTTGATCGAACGCTGGATAAAGTTTCTATGTCTTGGTATGCGTTCCAGTCCGTGTTCTTGATCTCATAGTCCGGCTGATTGGTGAAGTCTAATGCATCTGTGTATGGCATGTGCATGATTTGCGAATATGCTCGATTGCGGTACTGACGGGTGTAACGTTATCGGTTAGTAGTTCTTCAAGTTCAGGCAACGGTACTCGGTGACATGTTGCTGGGGAAAAGAATCTACGTTTCCGTTCAAAGACCCTCCCCCCGCGCATAGCGACGGTCGCACATTATTGTCGCCGCAAATAATATGTCTCGAGCGAATCTCATCTGTAGCTTGGTGACGCGTGTGTGAAGTCAGTCATCGAGCATGCGTAGCTCTTTAATTGTGATTGATCAGATGTCCAGCTCATTGGCGTCTTAGGTGGCTCGCATAAATCCTGTCGCAAAAGCACGTGTGACTAGTGCTCTTATGCCAGAAGGTCTTCACTGCAGTATTATTGGTGTTGTATGAAGACACTCTCGTCTGCCTTCGCTATTTAGAGATCGTTGACCGCCTTGTTCAAAGCTTGTTAGGGTCGGTGCTTCTTGCAACGTCGGCCTTAGGGTGCGGCAGAGTCGCTTACTGACAGTAAAAGGCCTCGCATAGTAGAGTGTCCGCTTGGATTCGAGAAAATCTGAGACGACTATCGGAACTCTTGGATGCGCGAACATACTCTTATTTCGACTTTCGAGACCCGGAGTCAAGCCGAGTGATTTGCGAAGTTGAAGTAGGGTTGTTTGGTCGAATGCGCTGGGAGGTAGCAAATATCAACTTGTCAGGTCGGCACACACGGAGTAGAGAGCTCAGACAGCGCTGGGCTCGCAGCCCTAGAGGGGTACGTGAGATCAATCTCCATAAAGTAGAGCTCGAAAGCCCCGACAATCCGCTACTGCGGTACGTACATTGTCGCTCAACGCACGTTTGTCTCGTCTTTGGCTGGAAAAGTTTCTGGTGTTGGCCGTTGCGGAGCTGACAGCCTTTGTGAGAACGGTCCATACCGTCGCGGGCTGTAGTGACTCTGCTGTGAGATCTCAAAGTGGCGGTGCAGCTGTACGTGACTGTATCGTACTCTTTCCGCTTCTAGTCCACACGGTACGAAAGAGGGCCCATCGCGGTGCACCGCTCCAACACTGCGCCCCACCCCCCCCTCTATCAACCCTTAGCTTCGTCAGTGTCAACAGTGAATCCGTTGCTTGAGTTGACGCGACGTCACCCTCAGGTTCGCCCTGCTCGTAGCAGCGCCCTAGAATCACGAAACCGCACCCTCAAGTCTCTTCCACTCTCTGTACCTCAATAACTACCTCGAGTAGCCCAGATTGATTGACATCACCAGCTAACCCAGACGTTCCTTGAGACAACTGCTTGGACCGGCTTTACTTGACGCCTACCTTTCGCGTGCCATTCACCCACCTCCCTTGAGGCACTTCTACGCTCATACCGTTCGTCTTGTCAACAACCTCATCAACCCAACACAACCTTTTGGGTAGTCGGTAAGTCCATTCGCATCCCATCATTGAACTACTGCGCAACTGTTCATTTCTGTGTCCTTGCTCTATCTTCACGTAACTCTTTCATCCCTTTTGCCGGCGACCGCACCCACTTCCGAACCTAAGGATCATTGAAACTATACCGCAACTAAAAGTTGGGTTGTAGGAATCATGTCGTCCACCAACCGGCGTGACAAAACGGCCGCCCTCCCTGCCGAGCAAGCCAACAGCGGCAGCATACCTACTGTGCAGCCTGAGTCCGTGATGTCGTCCGAACAGGACGTCGTCGAGCCCAAAGGTCCTGGAAATGCCGTGGCTCACTCCTTTGGCACCTACACTGACGTGATGTCACCCGAGATGAGCCACCTAGAAGTCGTTTCCGTCCCCAGCTCGCTCGCTTCCTCTTCCACTCAGCGCGCGCCTTCGACCTTCTCAGACAACGCCCGCGTTGATGCCAACATCGCCCGTGATTCGCTTTTGACCACCTCGGCCATCCGTACATCAACGACATCATCCAGAGAGGCTGCCACTGCTGCACACAGTGCCCATTATCCGATTGCCTCCTCATCTGATGCTCAAGCAGCCGAGCCATCGGCTGCTGATGGTTATGAGGTTGCCATTGCACGGATCCATGGCGAGGATACAATCGATCAGCAGGAGCCTAATGGTCTAGACAACACCTCGGCCGTTGTGTCTCGGAAGCGCTCCAAAGCTCCAGCTGATGAACCTCGTAAGCGCTCGAAGCACTTGGTATCGGCGCATGACGAGCCGGCGCAGGATACTGGAGAAGGTGGCGGTTTGGAGGGAAAGGCGATGGCTGATAACGATGTAGTTGGGGAGGAGCAAGAAGAACAAGCGGACCAAGTCTTGCCTTACCGCTCGTTCAAGCCGATCAAGTTGCCAAAGCGCTCGAATCAAGATGCATCCAAGCTCTATGATAGGCAGCCTAAAGCAGAAGCCCCCTCGACGTGGTACGGCACGATGTCTTATGAGGACTCAATCATCACTTTCTTGTGCGACGAGGAGGGCTTGAGCTACCAGGACACCGTGAAGCGTTTCAAGAAGGTGTTCCCAAATGGGCTCAGCGTAGAAATGATTCGCAAGCGTCATATCGCTGCTCTCGACAAACAGCTTCAGGAATACGGCCTCAAAGATCCAGAGGACGTCCCTGTCGCGACGGAAGCTGAGGAGCGTAGAGGTAAGAAGCGCGGGGCGAAGAAGGAGAAGGCATCCTCTAACACCAACGCGAACAACAACCAAATCAACCAAGCTGTTCAAGGCAAAGGCCAGGCTTCGAGTGCCCCCACCACGGCCGAAACCGCCCAGGGTACGATTGAGGCCGCTCAAGGACCCGCTCGACTCAGCCTCGATGGTGCCCAGCCGCGTTTTGTCCGCGACGCTCCCTTCAGGCAGCTAGAGATGACGGCGATCGTTGTGTGTAGAGACCTCTTCGGGATGGAATTTCCAGAAATTCGCGACTTGCTGAACATTAGGTTCAGGTGGTCCCTCAGTCCGAGCAAGATCATTCAGTACTACCATTTCGCGCGTCCGGCAGCTTACGGCAGCCTGGAATTTGGCTACCGTAATATCGAGGACTTCCCTGAACAAGGTGAGCTGGATGAGAAGAAGCGTATTGAGGCGGTCGCTAATATCCTCGTGGGGCTCTCTCGGGGAGGTGCTATGGGTGAGCAGCAGGTCGTCAAGAACCCGCAGACCAACAGCAAGGCCGGCGACGGTCAGGAGGCAACGGGCCCCGGTAATGTCGACAGTGCTAACTCCAACGCTACACAAACGTATCACGAGCGCGAGGTCGATGTGGGCAAGGCTCTGTTGCAGTTGCGTGCCCAGCCAGTCGAGAAGGATATGACGGCAAAGTCCCGAGAGGCGACCATTGCCAGGCATCATGACTATGACAACAAGGATCCGACCGGTACACGTGACCTGTCCGCTTAGCCTCGAGCATGACCAAGCCTGTGGTAAATGTTTTGTGTCATCCATTCCATGGATGCCCTCAGCCTGCCATTGCGGTGCGTTATTTTTGAGCTAAAGGATCATACCTCACACTCACGGTTTCCGGTTATCCCTTTCGATCGCGTTGATGCTCCTCAAGGGCCGCGATAATTGTTTTGAGGCTCTCGCGCGAGCTATAGCGGCATAAGTGTTTTGATGATTTTGAAAATTTGGGGTGTTTGCTCTCGCCTTGTCGCTGGTGCCATCTGGTTCCACAACGTCGGCGACTGCTGCTCCCAGCCTTTTTACCTGCCGACGTTCACACAAGAGTTACATTAGATAATCGAATACAAATGATACGAAGGTACTGCGCAATACTTGACGATGATAGTGGTGCTGCTGCTACCGAGGTCGAGTTGTAGTTGCAGCGGGGGACACGCCGCTTTCCTAGTGGAGCGGGTACCAATGTGCCGCAGTCGTGGCTTCATCTGTCAGCACGCAGCATGATGCACGATTACAATGCCTGGTACGTCCACCTGCTTATCTGTGCTTAGAGCTGAACGAAGAAGCAGTCTTGCAGATGCTCCATGCGAAACACGAAAAAAGGAATCACACATTTGGACAACGTCAAAACATGAAAAATTTAAGAATCGACTGTTTTGAAATGTGTGTTAAGCTAAGAAGTCTGATTTTTCCGGTCCATAGTCTGGAACAAGCCTTCCATTCGCTAATTCTTCCGCTCCTCTTCTGCAAAAGCATTCTGAAATCAGTCATTCTGACGGCAACACCCTCTGCATGGCCAAGAGTACGTGAACCGGGCTAATTTTCTGAGCGCCCCAGTCATGCCTTCGACTATAGTGTCGCGTTAGCAATGAGCACACGATATTGGTGACCCTTCAACTGACCATTCTTGAGGTAACATCATGTTTCCAGGTGGTTGAGCAAGTTGCCGGAAGTGTAAGTCATCAGACAGGCAGTACTACGAAGGGTAAAGTATTCTAAGGATCTCGACATCTAGATTGGAAGGACGCTCGTTGGTGCGAATAAGCTCCGAATTCTGATTCGTAGCCTGCTTTGGCGGTTGGAAATTTGGCCCACCGTTCCTCCATCGTCGAAGGGGGACTTTGGCGTTAGCAAGATCGTTTGGATTCCAGTAACGTGCCCCCATGGATGATCCATAATGCATAATGGAATGGACATCATATTCGAATCCATGGCGACGGCGCAATTCAAATGACACGCCGCCTCTGATACGAAAGGTATTAGGTTTGCTGTAATTCTCGATCCGACCGAAACCGTACTTCTTAGCCACGTCAGGGAAGTAGCAGACTTGTGACATCTTATCTTGGGTTCTTCCTGCTTGTTGCTCTGCTTGTAGTCTCGCTTTAGCCTCTGGGTATCCCTCCAAGCCGGTGCAGTCAAAAAAGACGTATCGGTCGCGGTCTTCGCGTGCATGCTCATGTTCAAGCCCGAAGACATGACCAAACTCATGAGCAATAGATGCCCTAGCAGTCTCCATGCCTCTATGTGGGTTATTTCTGAACATATTGATCAAATTGGGATTAACCTTCATGAAGTGCCGTCCAGCAGTCGGTAACCCAAAGTGAGTCTCTTGGCGGCCATTGGAGAATCCTGGGTGCGAAGTGGCAGACCCCGTGCTTGCATCGACCTGAATCAACAATGTCTCTTCCGGGATGTTCTGATTCCAGACGAATGGAGAATTTTGGTCGTTCGGGTTGCGCCGGGTGTAGCAAAAGTGCAGCGGGTGTTCCACGACGAGAAGACTGTGTTGTGAATTTGCCCCTGCTGGACCGAGAGCATTCGCCCAGAGTGCCAAAGCTGCTGAGATAAGGTCCTTGAGCTGATTCTTGTGCTCGACCGTAGCATAGCAGTAGTATATTCGGGTATAGCGGTCCTGCCCACGCGGCCAACGTGTCACGCAGCTCTGGAGATCAGTAACGAACTCGGTCCAGCGACGGCCGAGCATCCTGTTTAGATGCGGGTGGTCGACGATTTGCGGAGCTGAGTGGTTGAGGAGCGACGGACATGCTGCGGCAAGAGTCGCCAAAGCAACGTAGACGAGGAGCAATAAGCGCACCTGCATCCTGAAATAACAGAGCAGGATATGCAAGACTAGTGAGGAATAGATCGAAATTTGCGAAAGGTTGACGGTACCAGACTTACGTTCGAGTACGGAAACGATGTGTCGTACGAGCTAGTAGTTCTTTCACAATGCTTGCGAGAGTGAAAATTCCCCTCGACAGCTTTGTGCGCCGTCGGGTACTATAAGAGTTGCTCCTAGTGTTTCCGCTATTGCGTTTGTAAATGAGGCGAAGGTGAAGGCGAAGATCAAAGAGCGTTCCACTCGCGTAATATGCCCGTCCTCAAGCTTTCACCGAGGACGTCAGAGACATCCTTATAATCTTCTGAAAGTCATGCCATTATATGACAGACCTTCACGCAAACCTACGATTCCGATGCCTGGTGCTCTCACATGCGACATGCAAGCTTGCGGACCGTCACATCCAGACATGTAGGATTTCTCGTTCATTCTTAGTTAGTCTGCACTGAATAGAATTTTTAGGGGATCTTCAAATCTGAGCGAAACTACAGCGACGAAGTAGCGGCTATGCTGCACCATGTTTTGCGTCCTATGCATTGCGTCCTATGCATTTGAGGTGTGGGTTGATGCGATGGACGACGCGCCTATCGAACGGGGCGGAGTGTGAAAACGGGGCATCAGCCATGAACAAGACGTCTCGAAATACTAGCATCCTTTTCAAGCCAGAAAACAGATTCAATATGACCTATGGTGAGTATCTTTTGCCAAGCGGCCATCACGGTGCTCGACGTGCACTAAAATCTACCACTTCTCTCTCATCAGAAACGATCCTGTACAACCACATGTGTTATCCACATGATGAAGTCATTCTTCCTGTCCAGCCTGATCTTCATAACGTATGCCTGCTCATCACCAACCATCGCCCAGCATGTCTGCAATTTCATTGCAACAACATCGATCTCACAGCTCCCTACCTGCGCAAAAGACGAAGCTCGACAAGTTGAAGAGAAACAGCGGATCCTAAAGCGATTAAATCTGTCCCAAGGCATATGGGAAGCACGCCATCCGCGATACAGGCTTCTGGACGCATTGCATGGTTTCCTCAAGCATCATGAGCTGGTTTCGAAGGATGTGAACCGCTGGAGAACAATGTATCGAAATGTACCAAAACACCAACGAAAGGTATGGTCCTGTGGCTGGTGAGGAAAGGTTAGGATAGCTAACATTTGGAAGATGCTCGAGCGAACTGTTCAGTATTCACAGAAGCTGAATGAGAACGATCATCTGCTCGACAGCAATAAGGAATTGCAAGACAAAATCGTGCAACACGCGATGCAATACTATGGGATCGACCAAGCTGAACTAAAGGAGCATGTAAAGTCGGCTGAAAAAGAAGGGAAGGTTCCTGAAAAGGTCAGTGTGGGGCAAGCGCTGAAGCACTTGGTTCGGGATTGGACTGCGGAAGGCGACGCTGAGCATTACGATGCATTTCCTTGTGTGATAAACACGCTTCTCAAATTCTCGAATGCCAGTCGGATAGCGCCAGCAAAGGTTCTTCTACCCGGCTCAGGCTTGGGGAGACTGGGCCACGATATACATGGGCTGGGAGGTAAGTGATACGGTCAATACTTGATGCGGACTTGGTACAGCTACAGCCTAAAATAGCCTACTGACTCAGGCAAGGATTCGAAGTATCTCTCAACGAGTACTCCATGTACATGAATGTAGCATATCGGTACCTAGAATCCCTGAAGGCCACAAACTCAGCCGGGCTGCACCCCTATATAGACGGATGGTCGCACCACGCAACCACAAGCGACATGCAACGACGCGTATCATTCCCAGACCACCCGCCAGCTAGTCGCTCCGTCGTACTTGTCGAGGGTGATTTCACCACCGTGTTCAAAGGTCGAGAAGGATCCTTCGATTACATCGTCACGCTCTTCTTCATCGACACGGCGCGGAACCTGCTGGCGTACTTTGACAGCATTCACAAGCTCTTGAAGCCTGGCGGGATCTGGATCAACTTTGGTCCACTGCTGTACGGTTCAGGACCCTTTGTGCAATTGAGCCTTGATGAGATGGTCACGGTGGTTGAGGAATGGGGCTTTGAGTTCTTGGATGGTGATGAGTCGTGTGGAAGGCCGACTTTGCCAACGCGGAAGGTACGCGGGAAAACAGCGTCGTACGCGTTCAATGCGAAGGACTTGTCGATAAACGCGTACCAAGCCCAATCATGGGTAGCACGTAAAGTCGTATAGCTGTGGCTCGATGCAGGCATGGATGAATATCATCACGTGTTGGTAAGCGCACCTGGGCACCTGCCCTGCACCTTGGAAAGCGACTCTGTCACTAGCCCCACGAGGCGATTGGCTACACACGTGGCGGGAGCGATGATGTCAGGTTGGGGAAGAGACACCATGGACCTCGATGGATCCGACGCTAACACGTGAATGTTCTCGCCCCCTGCGAATTGTTTCCAACGCAAAGCTGCGTACAGTCGACAGCTAATCTGCGTGTTTCTATGTCGGGAATGGTGTTTGAAGATCACCATGGCCATGCACTGTCGTCGGTCTGGTCTCGCGGCCAATCAGACGAAGCGCGCCTGCTGTTTGCGTGGACGCGGCATGAGCTCTCCTCCACATCTTCACACTGCTTGCTGTCATGACACCCTTTGCTTGTGCATAGCCCGCGCCGTCGCTCCCCAAGTACATTGAACCACGCAAATACCCACACTGCCTCCCTTGCTCGCCCCAACAGTACACATCGCCGCGATACACTGCATCGTCACCCTCACCCCGCGCACCCCGCACCCCGCACCAAACATCTTCCTCTGATATCGCACGGCCGCAATGGCGGACCACGCGGATCCAACTGGCACCGGAAGAACCGATGCGCCGCTGCGCTCACTCGCCAATGCGTCGTCGCCGAGGTTACCGCCCGCACCGCTCCAGATGGCTTCGAGCCCGCACGCCGCCCACCGCTCAAGCTTCGCAGAGAATATGCGCGGGCTGCCGCACTCGCCGCGTGCCTCGCGCCAACCATCCCTCTCACAGCAGGCCCTGCAAGATCTATTGAACAACCCACCTACAAAGGGCGGCGACCCCAAGTTCGCAGGGCGGGATTGGAAGACGGTGCACGTAGGCGAAGTCGTGGACGAGAAGCAGGTGCGGTTCGCGGAGCTCGATACCAGCGTCGAGGAGGCGACAAATGTGAGTATCGAGACAACGGCATGGTGGGGTCCAGCGGCAGGCACTACCAGAGGTGCTTCACAGCGGCCAGCCCAACCACTCCAAGCTGCATCTGAGGCACAAGTGCTAATTGGAGACAGTTACTCATAGAATCTGGTGCACCCAACGTTATCCTACTCCGCCAAGACAAATCGTCGTCTGTGGCTATCGGCACCTTCGACTACAGCGACTTGAATAGCTACCTCCTGCTTGTTGTCGGCTTAGCACATCCCGACGAAGGAGACGTCAAGTCTTTCGATGAGCTTGCCAAGAAGGGTCGCGAAGGCAAGCCTATACCGCTCAAGGATGTGAAAGAGCTGGGCCGGAAGGAACCTTTGATAACGCTGCCTGCCTCAGCCGACTTGACCAAGGCCATGGAGGTATTCGGCAGCGGTGTGCATCGCGTCTTGGTCGTGAAGGAGGGGACTACCGACGTGATTGGCATCCTCACCCAGTTACGCCTCCTGCAATTCTTCTGGGACAACAGGCAGAGCTTTCCAGTGGTGAACCAGCTATATCCTTCGCTTATCAAGGAATTGAACCTTGGGACACAGTCGGTCATCGCAATAAAGTAAGTGATCAAGCGCTGTTACCTGGCTTGTGTTACACCAGACTACCTGGTGTAATACCCAAAGTTTCATGCCCATGCTAACGAGAGCCAGCGGCGATAAACCTCTGACTGATGCTCTCGAATTGATGAACAATGAGGGCGTCACTTCTCTACCGGTTCTGGACGCTCAAAACAACGTCATTGGCAACATCTCACTTGTTGACGTTCGGGTCAGTTCCCACGGCCTGATCTATTTTCATATACTGACTGCTCTAGCTCCTTACTAAAACCACATCTTTACCGCTTCTGCGCTCCTCTTGCATCCACTTCATAGGCGTCATTCTCAGCGAGCGCGGTGTCAACGACGGCAAGGACTCATTCCCAGTATTTCATATTACCCCTTACTCCACCCTCGCACACACCGTCGCCAAACTTGTCGCTACCCGCTCTCACCGCATGTGGATCGTAGATGCCCCGTCTCCCGCATCATCTGGACCACCAACCCCATCAATCACCCCCGCCGTCATGCCTCTTCCTTCGCCCGTTGCATCTCTTCCATCGGCAGCATCAGCACCACTCTCTGCCCCGTCTCCCCTCCTCTCCGGCGCCGCTGCACCTGCTATATCAGCGAACGCCATACCAGGCGCCAGCCTATCAGGTCGCCTCAGCGGCGTCGTTAGTCTCACAGACATTCTCAACCTTTTCGCCCGTGCGAGCGGCTTGAACCCTCACGACCCTGATGAAGCACGGAGAGCAAGACGGCGCAGCAGCAGTTCTAGTATGCGTAGAAGCATAGATAGCTCGAGGAGCGAGAGTATGAGTCGGTCGTTTGGACGCAGGAGCAGTGTCAGCGATAGGGATGCGGCTCATAGGGGCTTGGGAATCGTGAGGGGCAGGGCGAGCGGCGCTGGCACGGGATAGGAACCTGGCAGTACGAGCTCAGATGAGACGATCTTCCGGCTGAGTATGGAGGATCGGAGGGAGGAGCGGAAGCCAACGCAATGGAAGGGTAAGGAGCCGATGTGAAATCATTCGGGCGCAAGAGTGGAGGATGAAAAGGAAACGTGGGTACTGGGGAGGTTCTCCGTCCCTTTTGTCACCCTGATATGGGTGACGCAAGGACAGAAAGTTTTGGGGATTTCGTCCTTTAGCTATGATGTAGCTCCTGAGTGGTTGTTCGTCGGCGTCTATCATAGGATGAACAGCGATTTTGCATGGCGCTTGGGGGAACTCATCACACAGTCCGCGTTACAAATATACTGGACATGAAGTTTACCAGGCGTCACCATGGCTGCGATCTCCTATTCCACCCGACTCACGCTTCTCATCAAGCGGATGTGTAGCATCCACAATATGATTTGGCACTGGACACATGCATCAATTCAGTCGGGTTGGCAAGAGCTGTAGACCTTATCAATTACACTAGAAATAAGCGCTTGAATTTGTCTCTGTTGCTGCCAATAAAGTCTGAATAAGGCGCATATAGCGGTGTCGCACTGCAGGTATAGGTGCGGCTGAGGACATGAGATCTCGTACATGGACGTGCGGTAATCACACTCACTATGCAGCCTCATTGCACTGCCCGACTATGACGTTCGCCTCCAGTCCTCATGCTGTCGCATTGCACTGTAGCCTTTAAGTGTGTGGGGCGGCGCCTGCGGTCCGAACACTGCTCTCAGATGAGAGCTTCTACCTCTCAAATCTCCAAATCGGTCCTTTCGGTACAAGAGGCAATAGTAATTGATTAGCTGATCAAGTCAATGTACAAACAGGGTAGAAACATGTCCGTGTCAAGCCTATGTGGTTCAGAGTAATCTACACGATCCGTTTTGCCATGCTCTCATGCTTATATAGCACACTGGCTCTAGCAGATGGTGTATCTATGGTATCTTTGCTGTCGTAACAGTGTGATGCTTCTTTATCCAAGAGCCTGACGTCTCATCACGCTGAACTCTGTAATATCAAACATCGATATCGACCCTATGAGATTTTTACACATCCAGCATACTCCTGAATCTCTGCTGCGGAGCCGGTTCCGCAAACTGCGACGTCACCTTCTGCCCTGTCTTTCCCATCCGCGTACTCGCCGTCTCACTGACTTCTCTAGCCACCGAAGGCCCGCCCGCCTTCAGATGTGTACCCGTACCCACACCCCTCCCTTTGCCCCCCTCCGGACTCTCATCCCTAAATGGATCCTGCACTGGTCTACTCTCACTCCTCTGCCTGACGTTCATGTTACCCATCTCGACGGCCCTCTCAAGGTTTCTAGCAGTCGGTCTCCCGCCACCGATTTCCGCGGTCATGTCTCTCAATCTTTGATCGTTATCAGCAAATCGGGCAACCATATTCCTGCTCCACCAGTTGGGCTTCTTCACAAGATTGAGCTCAGCATCGTGTGCACGGCCGCGGGCGACGCGCTGCGCAACAATTTGCTTGTCTTCGTTCTTCTCAAGAAAGCCAAAGCCGTTGTACGTAAGGAGGATAAGGAGGAACGGCGCGTAGCCCAGGGCGAAGGGGTAGGTGACGGGCACTGCTTGATTGAAGAGGGAAATGGACCAGGAGAAGGAGGCGGCGATGCCGTAAGCGAGGCGTATGCCTAAGAGTACCACGTTGATGAGGAGTTTTTTGGGGCATGCCGCAAGGTTGCTGTTCTTGTAAGCGCGGAGGGAGTGCGTGAGAGAGAAGAGAATGGTAGCCCACGCAGCTACTGCAAGAATCGCACCCGCTTTGTTACGGAGGTCTGTTGCCAATGGCCTTGCAATGTCCATCGTTTGCTCGGGTGAATTTTGCCTTTGCACGCCGGTCCAACTCCTCGGGATCGTAAGGAAAAAATTCAGCCACGCGAACAGATAGAAGATGAGCGGGGTGTAGAACTCTATCTTCGCCCGCCGATCGATTTGGGAAAGACCATACGGATCCGCATCCACGACCTGCCGTTCTTCCCAGCTCCCCCAATGCCGCGTGCCCTCCCACACACTCGCCAGCCCCGCCGGCACCATCAGCGTGAAGAAGAAGCATTGAAGCATAATCGGCATCTGCTGCAGGTAGTACCTATCCACATCGACGCCGGTGAACAGGCTGATCGTCGCGGAGGCGGAGACGAAGAGCATCCAGTACCACTGCCATCTTCTCCCCACTAGTCTGAATCTCTTGTCCTCGCGTAGATGCTGCGCGCCGTGCTTCTTGAGATTCATCAGCGTGAACATGATGCTTAGACCGAATAGGACGCCCAAGGCGATGCTAGTTGCGCCGCGCGAGGAGATGCCGTAGTACGGGATGTAGCATGTTGTTGCGTGGAGCCAGGTGCCGTTGTCGAGCATGCGAGGCTTGAAGGCGTCGAAGACAAGGTAGCATTCTGAGCCGTTGGAAATGGTGTTGTTTGTGTAGAAGGAGTAGTGGTGCGTGCTGAGGGCGCGGATGTTGAAGTGCACGCCGTTTATGGTTGTCATGGAAGTGTTGTCGGCGTCCGGCGTGAACGGGATGAGTGCCATCGTGGCCGATGGGCAACCGTGAGGCCTGGTTTGCGCGGAGCGATTGGGAGAGCTCTTCGATCCTTGTTGTTTACGTCGGCATCTCGTAGTAGGCGTGGGCGCGATGCGCCTGTGAATGCTCGGGAGCCTTCCGCAACGTTCCGGCGATGTTGGGTATCTTCGCGCATAAGAACAGTAATGGAACTTGCTCTCGTGCACAACGGACCTAAAAGGGTATCTCTATAACTGACTAGGGGTGGTAGCGCACCGGCGGCTCTGTGGGATGACGCATGGTGGTCGCTTTCGAGGATTACGGATCGCGGGCTGTCCTCTTTTGGCGCGAACCCAGACGTCGATCTCGTGGCCCGTGCCAAGGTGTCCCTTTCGTTTCACCAGAATATTTGCCAAACGGTGTACCCATGTGTTACAGGCTATGTTGGAGGCTATCCATTGGTGTCCTTTCCCGGCTTGGAAGAAATTGTCATGGGAAGGCATTGGTGGACATCGTACATATGGACCACTAACAGCGCTCCGACAGAATATATGTAAAGAACAATTCATGCTATCCAGAGTTGCAAATCTTATAGCCAAAACGCCACTCTTTCTGTCCGACCCAGTAAGTCAGACGCTCGCTCATTGAACTATATACAGTTGAAGTACAACCAGAACCATTCGTCAGCCATGAATCCCAATGCCTTTTCCTTTTCCAATCTCCGTTTCAAGCCATATGCGCAAAATCTTGATGCAAGACGCCTCTCGTTCTCCAATCCGTTATACACAGCTTTACATTCGGTATTGAAGGTCGACATCTTTAGTTTGAGATCAGGACAAGTTCCAACTCAATCAAGGAGACGATGACTTACCCAGGGGGTGACTGCAACTTAATTGCGGCTTCTGACTGTACTTTTGCTGGAGCTCATCGCGGATGCTGTTCAGCAATTGCACATAGCTCTGGTTCGGATTCTTCTTCAGCGAAGTGACGAAAGCCCAGGACATGGCACCGGTGGCCTCGCCCGCGATAGACGCATCAGCGCTTGGCTTTTGTCAGTACCACCACTTTTCGGAACCTTAACGAACGTGACTTACGATGTCTGTGTATCTTTCGAGCCACTCCACATGATAACATCTGCCGGGCTCGTTTTCGTCCTCAAATTCTTCTCCCTCACCTTGTCGCCGGTGGTAACCTTCTTGAACAGACTGCTAGCCGTCGACATCATGCCGCCAATATCGTTGCGAGCATATGAAGACATAATACCCAGCAATCCTTGGCCAGCTTCCTTGGCCAGATTCGGCTCCTTGACCACACCAGAAGTGGAGTAGATGTACGGCAGGTCGAGCGCAGATCCAGAGTGGCAGGAGTCGAAGATGGCCGTCAACCGCACACCTGGCTGCAGGGGGCTGACCATTATACGGTGCATCTCGTCGTCAACGATGTGGCCCGCAGTTCGGAAATCAACAGGATATATGACCTCGTCGTAACCATCGTCTTCGTCACCATCAAGATCCTTCGTCTGGCCGCCATGTCCTATTGCTGTTAGCATGACTGATGACGCGGAATTCGCCATGTCGTACCTGAGTAGTGGAAAAACAGCGAATCGTTCGGGCGAGCGTCCTTGATTAGCCAGTGCATTGCCCGCAAGATGTTGGCTTTGGTAGGCTGGCTCATGGGATTCTGCTGGTCGTCGGTCAGGAGGACCATGTCTTCCCGCTTATAATTGAAGTGGCTGTTCAAGTATGTGCTCATGTTCTTCACGTCGTTGATGCAGCCCCGCAGCTGCCCGCGCTGGCCAAAGTAGTTGATACCAACGAGCAGCGCTTTCCGACGTCCATTACAAGCCGAATACTGGTACGTATAGCCGCCGGGGGCATTGTGGCCGAAGGTTTGAGGCGTTGTTGGTGGAGGGGGTGGGCCGCCGATGCGCTGCTGCTGCATTTGAGGTGCTGGTTCTGTCAGCCGAGGCTCACAAAGAGCAGCATGCAAACATACGCGGCGGCTGATACGTTTGTTGCTGATGCTGCTGTGGAGGTGGTGCTCCATAGCCTCCATACTGCTGGGGTGGTGGGGTCTGTCAGGCGTCAGCTTCGCGATTCCTTGGATACATGTTCCTGTCGGTGACGCACCTGCTGGTATCCGTACTGTTGCGGCGGCGGGCCTTGCTGGTAGCCGCCGTTGTAGGGCGGTTGTGGCGAGGGCGAATGTTGGTATCCGCCATACTGCTGTGGAGGTCTGCCCGATAGCCGTCAGCATCCCTTCAGAATAGCGTCCGATGCCGTCACTCACGGAGCACCATAGGTCGGTGCCGGGTAGCCCTGGGGCGGACCGTAGTTCTGCTGTGGAGGCGGGGCACCGTAGTTGGGAGCGCCGTTGTGATACTGCTGCCCCGGATAATAAGACATGGCTGCGGTCGCGGTCGTAGGGTTCTCGCTGTTTGTGGCTGGTGTGAGGCGGCGCGTTTGGGGTCGATGGAGCAGAACGGGAGGGGAGCTGCCGAGGTCGGGATGCAAAGCTCGAGCGGCGAGGAGCTGTCGTTGTAGCGCGCCCGGCTCTGGTGCTCGTGCTGGAGGGGCTCGCGTGCGTGTATGGGGTCCGAAGGTGCGCGAAGAGGAGACGTGAAGTGAGAAGCTGTGCAAGCGTGCAAGCGTGCAAGCGTGCAAGCGTGCGGCTGACGGGCAGAGTGGCTCGACGATGGCTGTATGCGGATAAGACGGCGGGGTCGGGGTCTGGTTGGGCGCGATACAGGGATACAGGTCCGCGCGGCGCGACGACGGACGAGCTGCCACAAGATCGGGACGATCTGCTGCCGACGGGAAAGGAAGCGTGGACGAAGATCACCTCGAGAAGGGGACGCGCGCAAGAAGAATGGACGTTAAGGGGTAGGGCAGGGCGTGTGGGGTCCGGGCATGCCTTCTTTAGCGTGGCTTTGGACGTTGGTTTTTCCTTCACAGAAGACGGTCCTGAAGCGTCGTACATCAACACATATATAGCAATCACGGTAGCTGTTGCACCACGCGCCTGTGACGGACCCCAAAGCCACGAGAGACGCTTGCCCTCACTCGAGCCACGACAACCCAAGCCGCCCTCTCCCACACGCATTCACTGCCCTCCCCTGCCGTTCCCGTTGTGTCTTGCAGAGCCACTGCCCAGAGCATCCACCCACGCTCCGACCGTCTCTGCCTAGTCCCATGCCCGATGCACTCTTCTTACCGCTTCCAATCTACAAAGCCTTGCGTACTAACGAATCAGGCATGGGAGAATGCCATCTGCGCTGTCGTGCATAAGCGTCCTCGGAGCGAGCAAAGCCTCGCCTGGCACGCGCGTGTGCGAGCTCGTACTCGCGGTCAGGCCGAGTGTGGCACGGTGAGCGACTTCACCTTGGTCGAAGCCCGATCCGGCACTGACGACCACGACCAGTACTTCCATCTCTCAAGCGCAACCTGGAAATCAACATTTCAACCTAAACACGGTCAAATGGACTTGCGCTAACGCTCACAAGCTCATCCGCAGCGGCTATCCCAAACGTCTATACCTCCAATCCTTCCTCTCGCCCACCCCAATCCGCACCTCTTCAACACCCAGCTTTCCCAATCCGGATCCCTGCACATCTCCTCCTTGGACAAGTCTTCGTCGTGGGCTAAACGTTCCAGGCCCGCTGCAATGGGTTCTCGTGGCTTGCGTCGCGGCCCTAAGCGAACGGTCAAGACCGAGATGCCAAAGCCCACCTCATTTGCTGAGCGCTATGTACATTGATAGCATCTTGCTTTCCTGCTATCGGAAACCTTGTGCGGCATGTTGCACTGGGCTGTCTGAAGGGCTTGCAGGGCTGTATGGTGAGCCAATCAGAGGTAGGCTGAGATGTAGAGCTAGGTGTGGGCACTGTTCCATCGGTCGTGTAGTCGTAGTCGTTAGAAGCTGGGGAAGTTGTCTGAGCCTCAGTGCATGCTGATGTTGGATTTGGCGTGGGGTTATCTATTTGGAGGTGACCGTGCAGTGTAGTTACGTACTGCGTACTGTTACTCTAGCATGTATTCTCCGATTGGACTGCCCGATTGTATCTTCTCCCCCCGCCAGCTCACAAAGACTGACCACGAACTTGTCATAGTCTAAAGCTTGTCACCGTTGGACAGGCGCTTTGCAAACGCAGTAGCAAAATGTAGGCAAGCATCTGCTTTGTCCGCCTGCGAAGCATGGCCGACAGCCAACACAGCCATACCGGTCGGGTACCATCACTCTGCTCCATCATGCACTCCATCTTCTCGCAAATGCGGTGTATAGACACACGCCCCTTACTCTCTAACCATCACATCCATGCAGTCCGACCGCCTAGTACACTGATCAGTCGGCGGTCAAGGGAGCAGATTCTGCTTACGGCGCGGCTGAGCATCATTGACGCAGCACATGTACCTGCATCATCTCACCTCAGCTGAACGAGAAAGGTTCTTCCACTCCGCTCCACGTGGAAGTGGGGTTTGATCTGCTGTGTGAAGCGGAAGGTAAGCACAGCGATCATGCGTGCCTGAATTATGACGGAAGGTAATACTGCGTTAGAGGATGGGTATATGTTTACATTGCGTCTTCTCCTTCTTCTAGCCCAATCCGCCTTGGCGCCTGCGAAGTGTCGAAGCGTATCCTTGTACTCGAACGTAGAACAATGTGCTAGCATAAATTGAGCAACACTCAGACGTAAAATACATTCAATCGTTTTCCTCCCTTCGCTGGGACCAGAATAGAATCTGCAACGCGCGATCCGCTACGCTGTGAAAATAGAAACAATAAATGAGCCGTTCGTAGATAGGCCGAGGACTCAAGCTGAACGTAGAAATTACAAGGGGTATAAGATCAAGCAATCGAATTAGGTCGTTCTCTTTGCCTCAGTTTCGGCCTTGACGAATGAAGCTTCTTCAAACGCCGCACAGTACGCCGGAGAGGTGTGAGTCCTATCCGGATCAAAATTCGTTCGTCAGTAAGTACATGATGTGAAGGTTACGAAAGAGATAGATATCAGGTTGTGATGGGCTCAGAAGCTTGGAGGGCTTCGCTCGCACCATCAATAGCTTTAGCCGGCGACGGCTTGTTCGTATCGTCGAGTACACTGTCGAGTTGTTCCTCGCTGGCTTCGCGCTCCGCGTATATCTTGTTCTTTAGGGTTTGTGCAGCTGTGAGCGAGTCGATGTACGTGCGGAACTTTACGATCTCCCGTAGTAGATAAGAGGATTTGCGTTCCCAATTGGCCATGGCCTTTGCGGCATTAGGATGGCGAGGAGAGAACTGACCATGTTAGCAAGATCAGTAGTAGAATTTACGGACGACTCACTGCAATAAGCATAGGCGCCCTCATTTCATTATGGCGAGCTAGCTCGTCTTCAATGTTCTTAACGTAGTCAGTCAAGGCGCGGAGCTGATCCACTTCCATCAGGTTGCTGGCCATCATGCTCGAGGTCGGTGGGCTCCAATCGTTGAGTGAGACCTTGTCACCCGGTAGACGCGCTTTGATTGTTCCTGTTGCATGGTCCATGGAGCTGCGCATTGAACTCGCCATACTAGGACGAGGTACGTGGCCATGGGTCGATGCGTTGCTCTCCGGACGGATCAGAGCCGTGTTGATGACATTTTCACCCCAGCCATATTCGATGTTGCTGACACCTCCCATCAAGGGTTCCTTAGATAGCCTAGCAGACCAGTAATTGGCGGTGGACACGAATTCTCGAACAATATCAGGTGTGCCAACCTGGAACAGATGCACAGCTCCAGTCGGGAGTGACAAGGCCCAGACGTGTGGTCGGGTCTTCGAGTAGCCAGGCGGCGGAAGAGCGCTGGCAATGGTTTGTCGCAGAAGGAAGCTGTCAAGTGCCTCAGCGTTGTCCATCCAATTGCCGCCACCAACAACGCCACCAGCAGATGGGCGTGACTTCTTTTGCCGCATCGACTTTGCATTCATGTTGAAGGAAAAGAGTCGCATATAGCCCTTTTCGATGACAGCGAAACACTCGTTCCACGTTCTATCTTTTGCCTTCTTGTCCAATGCTTCGAGGTGGTGCTTGTGCTTCAATATACCCTCTTTTGCCCATGGTGCACCGGTGAGTTCAAGCATCTCGTCCTCAAGAAGCGGGGCGACACGAGTAAATTCTTCATCACTGGCAATGGTCATCCCTTCCTCGCGAATTATCGCTTGAGAGAGTGCATTGGCAAATCCAATGGCTTGCTGGTAGTCACCGTGCGCAAAGTGGGAGCCAAGCGATTCCATCGACATGGATGTCTGAGTCTTCCCGTACGAATACCTGCTCCATGTACTTGAGCCGGCCGGACTCCAAACGGATTGGTCGTCCAGGCTTGTACGGCTTGAAGCAACAGTTGATGTCGGATATAGTCGTGGACGCGAGCGGGTCTTGGAGTTCCAGCTCTTCCCCATGCTGCGGAAATCGGTTTGAGATCGTCCACGGTAGCTCATGTTGTCGGATGGTGCTTTGCTTAGAACGCTGGGTGTGCGGCGAAGCATGCTACTGACCGAAAGGTTATTTGTTGATGGTTGCTCGTGGACCTGCAGCGCTGAGGCTCCGTGCAAAGGTAACCGTTGCTTGCGAATGGAGTCATAGAATTCCTTGAGCACAGTTTCAAGATGCAACTCCCACCCCTTCATTGGTCCATTATACGGAGAGCCGACCAAAAGGTTACCGTCGGAAACACCAGAGTCAATCAACACGCCTTCTGAGCCACTGCGATGCGGAGGTCGAAGCGAGAGACGACTTCGAGCCCTCCTGTTTTCTACGGGCTCCTCAGCAGCATCTGCAGGAAATGCTACATTTTCGGCAGCCGGAGAGCTGGGTTCAGACCTGTCATTATTCCAAGGGTTATTCCACGGCAGAGATCCTCTCCTGAACTGGGTTGACTGAGGTCGCAGGGTTTCTTCGTTTGCGTCTTTGAGTGCATCTTTGCAAACACGGACGACAGTGGGCAGTGTGTTCTTAACGAACTGACTCCGCGTCATTCTTGCTTCAATGTCGGCGACGTGAAGATCAGTGTTGAGCAAGAGGATCGAGTAACATATAGTATGGACGACATCTGGATCACCATTAGCAAGAAGCTCCTTTATGGTACGTGGCACTTACCAGTTGCCTTGAAGCCGTGGCTAGGGTTGCATTCGCACCATCGCTCCGATAGACTCATGAGAATTCGATCGATCTGCTGGGTTTCTGCTTTCAACACAACCTTGCCGCAGAGATCTCGCATGGCGGCCAGGATGTTGAAGCCTGTCCAGTCGAACAGCGCCATGAACGCCTTCCGCGTTCGCATGCTCGATGCGGTGACATCGCCGAGATCGGCAGCTGCCGTGCCCTTTTGCACGGATGGGTCGTCGCCGTTGAAGATACCGAAAGCGCGTTCTCGGTCTGCATCACTGGGCTCGGCATCATGCACACGGTGCTCGATGATGGCAGGCATGGTTTCGGAATCTTGCGTCTGTACTTGCAAAGTAGGGAGACTCGCATCCGGTTGAGCGGGGTCGTGTGCTGGCGCGCGTTCTGGCGGAGGGACAGGCAGTTCCTTCTCAAACGATTTCTGGGCCGAGCGTGCGCCTTCCAAAGGAAGCGCCAGGTCTTCGGTCTCCTCGTCACCAGCCAACCTCTCTTCGGACGACGTGGGCTCAAGCCACACACGCCGCGACCCAGCTGCGCTCTTCTTTCGCGTGGGCGCCCGCTTCTTCTGGTTGCCGGCGGCTGTGAGAATCCACCCATCCTCCTCCACCTCGGCCTCGGACGTGAATCGAGACTGGTACAATGCCGGCGCACTGGCGTTGTCCGCCTCAGGTTTGGATAGCTTGTCGCGCTTTTCCTCACTACCGGTCTTCTTCCCCACTGCATTGGGTGGGAGTTGGAATCCGGCTGCAGTGGGGCTGCCCGTCGGCCTCGGCGTTTCATCCGCATTGCCAGACGCGCCGAGCTCGTCTGATGGTGTTGCACGGCCGCTGCGATCATCGTTGCAGCTGCTGCTGTCTGCAAGAAAGGTATCCTCCTGGGTGGTAGCAACGTTTGGCTTACGGTTCTTCAACTTCAATTTGAGTTTCGGGCTACTTGTACTGGCTGCATGCTCCGCCATGAGTTGCTCTTTGAATTGCTCCTGGCGCGATGATGGCGGCGAGGGGTTGGTGTCGCGTGATCCTGGCTTAACGCTTCGTACAGTCGCATCCTTATGCGGCTTGTATCCAGGTGAGAAACCATTCGGGCGCTCTGCTTCTACCTTATCAACGGGGTCGGGTGAGAATTGTCGAGGGTTCTGATACTGCTTGACTGGACTTGGAACGTCGCCTAGATACGGGTTCATAACCTTACGCAGGCTGCTAATGCCAGGGCTTGGCTGTGGCTGGACATCCTCGAACTTCTGTGGGGTTTGCAGTGGGGTCTGGAATTGGGCCGGCATTGGAGGCTGTTCCGGGGGCGGCTCGGTGACCGACTTCTTCCTCCGTCTGAAGAAAGAGGAGTGTTTCTTCGCTAGCGTGGGCTGTAATGGCTGCGTGGTCTGCGTTTGTGCCGAACTTGCTGTTTGTGGTGGCCTTGAGGCAGGTGATTTCAACTGTGATGCAATGTGGTTTGACCCGTGTGGTGTGGTGCGAGGCCGACCGTTAGAGTACATCGAGTCGATATCATTCGGCCGATTGGTTGATGACACCGGCGACGCGGCCATGTATGAAGCATTGGAATTAGTGGACGAATTGGAGAGTTGAGGCACCGACTTTGGCAATGCGCTGCCAAAAACTCGGCGGAAGAAGCCTGGTTTCTCTTTCGGCGCGGGAACGGGAGCAAGAGGCACGACCGTGTGTTTCCGTGTAGCCACGTTTGGCGACGGTGCGGGTGGGTCGTGGTAAGTCGGAATCGGTGGGAGATCCCTCAAGTTGGCAGCGTTGACAAATTCCTGAGCCTGGAGCCGCATGTTTGGCTCTTGGTGGCTCTTGTTTTTGCGAAGCGTTCTGTAGCTCGCGGCCGACCGAACGCTATTCTTTCGCCGGGGCGCAGGAGCCTGGGCCGGTGCAAACGCAGGTTGCGCCGGATATGTCACGGGCGACTGCGGCTCCTGGGCTCTTCTGGGCCCAGCAGGAATCGTCGGTTGAGGTGCTGCTTCGTAGTCCGGTTGATAACCAGGATACGTCGGTCGGCTTCTATCACGGATGGTGGACTCTGTCCTCACTGACAGTGCCTTGGAACCCAAATTCCCGTGATCAAAGCTGATAGAACGACGCCCGAGGCCTACACGTTGAGATCCCATAGCTCCCTTCCCAAAATCAACGCTCGAAGCGGCACTGCTCTTGCTGCCCTTCTTTCCGCCTCTCATGTGCCCTGCCTGTTGTACTTGTTCGTTTGGTAGCCGGGTTTCGGCCCAAGCCCCTCTGAGACTCTCTCGCCGGCTCATTGCATTAGGGATATTGTTACTGCTATTACTTCTCCGACCGCGTGCGTGGTGTGGGGCGAACCGATATGTCGAATCATCGGCATGCAGGTCGTAATCGGAAGAATGGGATGAGGCGTAGGTGTGACCGCGAAGGCGAGGGGCTTTCGGGGGAGCGTATGAATTGTCTGTGAAGAATAGCTGGTCGTCGTCAAGATTGCTCGTGGAGTACAGCGCTGCTGGGTACGAGGACAGAGGGAGCTGGTCGAGCGAAAGCAGCATGTTATCCACGACAGAATCCCGCGTGCGGTCGGCAAAGGACAAGTCGTGCGAGTCTCTCAACGCATCCTGCTGGCTCGTCCCGCTCCGCCTGTTGTCTACCGGGGTCTCGTCGTCGAAGAAGGTCTCCGGTTGCTTGTGGCGAGTATCCAGCGCGCGCATACCAGCGCCTGTGCCATGTGTCCTCGACGGACCCGGAGGTGTGGACGGCCGGGAGTCATCCCTCGCCCTGTCTCTGCCGCTGAAGTGCGCCATCGCCGCTGCGCCCTAGCTCTGGGGTCCGGAGTTGTATAATATCGGGGATGGGCGTCCGCCTTCTTGCATACTCCGACTGGGCAATACGGGAAACAGAAGCTCGAAACAGGCGATTCGCATACACAATGTCCAAAGTATCCAAGAAGCTGGGCCGAGCTGTGTTGTAGGGCGCTCGATGCGCAGCGGAGAGGTGCAGGTTCAACAGCGGATAGCCGCACCGTCACGGCCGCTCTCGTCGAAGGCAATCGCTCTCAGATTAACAGGCCAGCGCTGCTGGGCTTTGGGCGTGAGATGTAGCTTCGAGCAGACGGCGGGGCGTGACACGGCACCCACAAGACGCACGATTGCGGGCCAGTCGCTCCTGTGCAGGTAGCGTCGTCGCGGCTGTTTGGCGTGCCTTCAGGGGCGTGGATTGGCGCGGACACGGCAACGGCGAGATGCAGCGAGCCGGCAGCTGCTGCAGGACGAATGCAAGAGGTCACAACGAGATGAGTAGTCAGGGTTGGCGACGCGACAGCGCGCGTCGATGATGGCGCCCTTGATGGATTTTAGACTTTGCTGCTCTGCTATAGCCACCAGCAGGGCCGGATGCTGCGCCGACAAGGATGCTCCTTACTGCAAGGCTTCACACGTGGTGGTGGCCACGACTCAAGGGCACCACCGCACGACGGCGGACTCGTCGTCGGGCCGCGCGCTGATTGCTGCAAAACCAACAGCACCACTGCAGCTACCGCGAGAGGCGTCGTCCTGCTTGAGCGTCGTGCAACACGATGAAACGCACGCCTCGGCGTGTGCAGCATGACTTGCCCCTGGCGCGGTTCACCTCGCAGATCCGTCCTGTAACCCCATAAAGGCAAGTCAGGGACCGAGGCACCACGCTATTGAATGGCCTAAACGGGCGCTACACCATCGCCTGCCTCACGAGGTGGTGCGTGCACAGATACCATGGCTAGAGGTCGACCGCAGCTCTCAGACGCCCAAAGACTTCAGCTACCTGTATCGGCACAGTCTGTGCAGCCCAGCTCGAAACAAGTCATCTTTCGACGGTCCATCATGCACGTTGGGATTAGACTTGACATAGGAAATGCACGCATGATCCGCTTACTTTGATTGATCCCTACAGGTTGTTGCAAGGGTGATTCCTTGGAAGATGAGGCCGGTAAAGCTGGGGTAACGTACGAAAGAATGAGTGACGTTGAGAGTCTACATACATATGTAGCTTTGAAGGAAAACACCTTAGTAGGCAAAGGCAGAGTGGGTAGAGGGTCGTGGTCTTTCTTTCCTCTGGTCGGACTAGGGCAGGCTCTCCTGCTGTTACATACAAGACAGCAACGTCATCTGCAATGCTTCGGCAGAGGGTACCGTGGGCGATCTAAACGACTGGCAACAGCCTCACATCTTCCTACGCAATCGCCCGATAGGATAGCTACTTCGAGCGCTCTCCGCGAAGCGACCTCTGGCAAACCAATTCACGCCCCCACTCACAACCACGACCACCTGCATCCTCTCCACTTGCGACTGGATACTGCAGCAACGGCGTGGCCCAAGCATCCGGCTCATCTCGCTCTGCTCGCCGTCAGGTACGTTTCAACGCAGTCGAATCGCGTCCAACACTAACGTTTTTGGGAGCATGCGCTCGCCCATACCGCTCGCCTTTTTCCTCGTTGGCGCACTCTCCCAGGCCCCATTGCTGTCCGACCCTACGCGAAAATACGTTCTCGATGTTGTCGAAAGAGCCCTGAAAGAAGAAGATCCAGTAGTAAGGCAAGCCCTTGTCGCATCCATCGGCTTTCCTTACATCCCGACTCAGAATCGCGGCTGGAAAGGATACGGACGCGTGATCATCTTCACCAGCATCATGCTGCTGATTGTCAACCTCTTCTGCCTATACGTCCTACTCTTGTGGATCAAGTACGTCTTCCAAAAGCGCGGCATTTACCAGCGGTATCTGCGATGGTCGGCCGCACGGGACCGGCGTAAGCAGCAGGAGGATATTCTGTTTGAGCAAGCAGACAAAGAGTGCAAACGAACTTGATTAGGCATGGAGATTGGGTGACTCTGGTGTTTCCTCAAATGTGTAATACAGAGGCAGGAGGCTGGTGATGGAAGACTTTCCAAGGTTGATTGACAGGCGCGATACCCAATGTGAAACTAGACCCAGGCAGACCACTGGAAACGATTACAGCTTTGACATGTCTACCAGTCCTCAAGCGTGCATGATGCCCATTGAGTGTTGATGTTGAGCTGCAATTCCAAAGCATCTCGTATGCTGGATGCTCCATAGCATGATCCGTCCACACTGCAAGGACTTCAACACTACTGGTGTTGTCAAAGAGTTCCAGGAGTGTTATGCTTCAAGTCGCTGAGATGGATGGGCAGGTGATGATGGAGCCAGTCCGGATGCCTCCGAATCGTATCGCAGTGGGGCCGCGGCGAAATCGCGCTAAGCCACGACGCCGATTCAGGATCATGTCCCCGACTCCATGACTTTTTCGAGCTCTGAATTACCATCACATCAACATATCATCAACCATGCGGAAATCGCGTGTGCTCCGGGTAGGTGTTCGTGTTGCCGTTGACCACTCGAATGTTTTTTGCTGAGACCAGACTAGGTCTCGTCGACTCGCGACATCTGCATATTTTGCGCCACTCGTCAAGTCGCCGCAGCGGATGCTCTTTCAGCGCTTTCTCAGCGGCGACACCTCAATTCTTCGAGCAGAGCGCCACAATATGCAGAAGGGGCCCTATACAAAGAAGAGGCAGTTCCGGCTCCAGCACCAAAGCGGATGTTGACACAGGCAGAGAGGATGCAACAGTTACTTCGAGCGAGAGCTCCAGCACCGCCTTCACCGCCTTCGCCCACGCCTCCCCCGAACCGGATGCGAATGAACCACGCGCCGGGGCGAGATAACGGGAGAGCTCCCTTCCAGTCGTCCATGCCGCCGCCACGAGGGCAAAATCAGCAGAGACAGTCCATGCCCCCGCCACCGCATCTGCTATCGCGACAGCCATTGGGACAGAGACCGCCGTATCGAAGCGCTATGCCCAATGGACCGGGGCGTGGCCAGAACGACACGCGAAACTCGCCATCGTATCATTCCCCGCGAAACACTGGAAGATCAACTGCCCAAGGTTTTCAGAATACTCGTTACAATGTCAACATGGACTCGCGGGCTGCACCAGCTATAGAATCGCCAGCATTTGGAACCGAACAATTGCGCAGGAGGAATGACGCTCAGATATCTGGCAGACCTCCTGCAGGTGGAACCATGTCACAGCCGGCTCAACAGCCAAGGCCACGGCCTCCGAAAATGAGTCAAGCAGAATTGGAGGAGCTATTGGGTAGCAATTCAAAATTGAGACAACCGCGATCGCGTGCTCCATTGTCACGGCAGGCCAACGTTCTAAGGACTTGTATGCATTGTGGAAGTCAGACCCACGATAGTTTCGTCTGTCCGGACAAGCCAGTTTTCCGTCAGCCGCTGCCCTCTCGTGCCCCACGGCCAGATCACTCGAGACCTTCGGGAAATCTCACTGATGCGGCGGCAGACTTCGCCCGAAGGCATGGGCCCAAGTTTGAGAATGAACAGGTTGCATCTGAGCCTGTCGAAGAAAGGCGTCGCGATGACAGGAGGAGTCGACGATTCCGTGATGAAGATGAGGAACCAGTGGAGTCACGCAACCGGTATGAAGAGCCAGAGCGTCGCAGAACAGGGGATTACGGGAGAGGTCGTCGTATCATGCGCGAGCAAGACTTCGAGGAAGACGATAGATACGTGAATAAGGCGGAACGCAAGCGACTGCGACAGGAAGCCAAGAAGAAGACACAAGAGACAAAGGGGCCCGTGCCTGTCTATCTTCCGGAGTACATTAGTGTTGCTAACCTTGCTACTCTTCTGAAAGTACGCCTGGAAGAGTTTGTGGCGAAATTAGAAGAGCTTGGTTTTGAAGAGGTGCAGTCGGACCATATTCTGAATGCTGAGCATGCAGGCCTGGTGGCTCAAGAATATAACTTTGAGCCCATTGTACAAGCAGAGGAAGATGACGGAGATCTCCAACCAGCTCCCACGCTATCTCCAGAAGACTATGCCAACCTCCCTGCTCGACCCCCAGTTGTCACCATCATGGGCCACGTCGATCACGGCAAAACTACTATTCTGGACTATCTACGGTCAACGAGTGTTGCCGCTGGTGAATTTGGTGGCATTACTCAACATATTGGCGCCTTCAGCGTGCCATTGTCCTCTGGCAAGAAGATCACATTTCTGGACACACCTGGTCACTCAGCTTTCGAGACGATGCGGGCTCGAGGGGCAAATGTCACAGACATTGTGGTCTTAGTCGTAGCAGCTGATGATTCCGTCATGCCTCAGACGGTGGAGGCAATCAAGCATGCACAAGCAGCTGCAGTCCCAATGATTGTTGCGATCAACAAGATCGATAAGTCACAGGCTGATCCTGAAGCGGTCAAGCTTGACCTTGGGCGTCACGGTATCGAGGTTGAAGATTTTGGTGGTGATGTTCAAGCCGTATGCGTCAGTGGTAAGACCGGACAAGGTATTCCCGATCTGGAAGAAGCCATCACTACGCTTTCTGAGATGCTTGACCATCGAGCCGACCCGAAGGCTAACGTCGAAGGATGGGTCCTGGAAGGCACCACGAAGAAGTCTGGAAAAGTGGCAACTGTCCTTGTCCGCACTGGTACTCTTCGCTGCGGCAACATCCTCGTTGCTGGCAATACATGGACTCGCGTCCGTAGTCTGCGCAACGAAGCCGGTGCCATGGTGATGGAAGTTGGTCCTGGTATGCCTGTCGAAGTAGATGGTTGGCGCGAACAACCGATTGCCGGAGATGAGGTTCTTCAAGCCGCTGACGAGCAGCATGCCCAAGGCGTTTCTGAGCTGCGCGCGGAGAAGCTTGATCGCGAACAAATGGCCAAAGACATGGAAGCAATTAACGAGTCCAGACGCTTGGAGACTGAGCGCCGCGAGGCCGAAGAGGCTGCAGCCGAAGCCGAAAAGAATGGCGAAACTGTCGAAGAAGCTGCCCCCAAGACAGAGACTGGCCCCGAGATCATCTCTTTCATCGTGAAGGGCGACGTCTCTGGCTCCGTCGAGGCGGTCATTGACCAAATCTCTGCGCTCGGTAACGGCGAAGTCGGCACACGCATCCTTCGCTATGGAGTCGGTTCGCCTTCCGAATTCGACGTGGAGCATGCCGCTGATGCGAAAGGCTATATCGTCAACTTCAACACGTCAGTCTCCAATAACATCAAAGCCTTGGCAGAGAAAAAAGAAGTCAAGATCCTAGACTCGAACATCATCTACAGGGTCGTGGAGAACGTCAAGGCTCTGTTGGAGGAGAGGCTTGCGCCTAAGATTGTGCAGAAGGTCACGGGTGAGGCGGAGGTCGCGATGACATTTGAGATTGGTATAGGCGGGCGCAGGAAAATGGTCATCGCTGGTTCGAAGGTTCGCAATGGTGAGATCAAGAAGGGCTCGAGGGCGAGAGTGTTGCGGAAGGACGAGGCTGTGCACGATGGTTAGTGTCTTCCTATCCTCTTTACGAAGTTCCGAAAATTTGCTAACATGAGCTCAGGCATCATTGGGTCGCTGAAGAACCAAAAGAAGGACGTGCAGACCATGCACAAAGACACTGAGTGCGGTATCGCCTTCGACGACGGGTGGTCCGAATTCAAGGTTGGGGATAAGATCCAATGCTACGATGAGGACAGGATCAAGAGAACATTGTAAGATATGATCAGATGGGTCGCCTATAGAGACAGATGTCTGTACGATTAGAAGCGGGTTGGTCGTCAGTGGTGTACTTCTCCGCTTTCTGTGCACATCTTTGCCACATACAGGAGTTGATCTTACACATACATTGTACGACTGGCAATGTAAATATGTATCACCATTAATGATGCTAAGCGCTAGTTCGCCGTTAAATGGGTTATTCCAATCTACAGACGCAGGAATACACGCTTGTATCAAAAATGCCATTCCAGTTGCATATATACAAACATATTGATACATTACATAGTCCCCAGATTCTTCATTTCCGCAACGCAATGCCCGATAAGAATATAGGCGCAAGATGCTTGCTCAGATTCAGCCCAAACAAGCTGACGAACCATAGAATGATGGTAACAGCGATAGGCGCGAGGAGCAGCTCCGTGTGATGCAGGAAAGGCAGAGCGTTGTAGCCCAGAAAGGTGATTATGAAGTAGTAGATCAGTGCTGCGAGGTAGAGCGTGTTGGAGAGGGCGAGGGAAACCCTACCCTTGTCAGCATTCTGCAACATGCGATTCCCTCGCTAGATACTTGCGAAAAGGCAGGTAAGACTCACCAATGATCCGTCCCCACAAGCGGCATGCATAAAAATTGCGCGACATACAGAAACACCCACACCGGCACGAACGCCCTAATCGCGACATCCCAGCAATACCCGAACTCCAGCTCTTCCTTGCCCTCTCCGTCCCCGGCACTCAAGTCATACAGTCCTCGCTTCCGCCCTGGTATTATTTTGCTGTTTGGCCCGAGGAAGTACTTTATGAGGAAGAAGTGTAGGGTGGATATAATGAGCGAGGAGAGTAGAAAGTGCACGAAGATGAAGACGAGGGTTATCTTGAGGATAGAAGGGACCGAGGAGGCGTAGGCGAAGCCCCAGGCGAGGGAGGTGAGGAGCTGGAAGGCGGAGAGGAGGTAGGTGAAGGAGGGGTCTGGGCGGTGGTAGGTTTTGGAAGTTTGTTTCTGGAGAAAGCATTAGCGAGGTTGCGGGAGGGCAGGTGGAAAGGGAGAACGAATGGGGATGTACGTGGTAGTATATTGATCTGAACACTTTCTTGGGCGCGATCATCAAGGACATCATCTCCCATATTGCCATCTCGAAGTCCATCTGCGGGAACTTGAAGAGGCGCTTGAAGAAGCGCGGCATTCGGAGTTCGTTTCTTCGTGTGGAGGGTGTGCTGCCGAAATTCGCAGGTCCACCTGTTGGCCTGGGTAGCGAGATATGTGGATTCATGGTCGTGAAGGTCTATCAAGATGTTTCGGCGCTGTCTGAATGTCGTTCGTTGCAGGAGCGCGTGCTTTGCGCCTCGAAGTCGCTATGAAAGGGTATGTATCTGGTGGTAAGCGCGCGGAACGGCGTCGCGAATGTTCGCTTTTGAGTGTCAGAGTCTCAGGAAATTTGGTAAAAGAGCGCTGAGTGAATGCTGGCGTGTTCGTCGGTACACCGGTCGAGTCTGGCATCGCGGAGCACCAGCCACAGCGCCAAGAGGCAGGAGCTCGGAGAAAGCGGCGCCTTCGTTCATCGGGGCACGTCGCTTTCGCAAACCTCCCCAGCTTGAGGTCGGACCGCCGACTTTGCACAAAGGCTCAACTCGCCCTGCCCCACCAGTACAATTAATTGCGCAGACAAAGAAGCTACACACTCATAGCGCGCATTGCCTCGATCGCCCCTTCGGTGCTCGTGCGCACACGACGGTACTGCTGTAGGTGAGCTCAGCGCGACGCGCTACCTATAATCCACTGCCCCTACCCCCGATAGCATTGCCCTTCAACCTATCGCAAATGGCCGATATGGATGCCGAGATGGCCTTCCTCGAGGCGCAAAAGCAGGAGTACGACCCCGCCGCCGACTTTTCGCTCGCGCCTGAGCAGGCCGACCAGGACGAGGATGAGTACGATCCCGCCAGCGCATTCGGCAACCCTGAAGAACAGACGCGCTCTGCATCCGCGCAGTCTGTCGTCATGGCCGAATCCGCCACCAACACGCCGCAGCCCGCCGACGAGAACGCGCTTAAGGCACCGCCCACCGAAACGTCTGCCGCGCCGACGCCGCAGAAGCAGCCGCGCACAAAGGGTGGGTTTGTCGACGAGAGCGAGGACGACGAGGATGAGGTGCCTGTCGCGAAGCCGAAGGCTGGGTCTGCATTGCTGAATGCTTCTGGAGTGTCAGATTCTCCACAGCGTTCCGTTACTTTGTCTCCAAACAATACACATGCACCTCAAGCAATGTCGTCAATTAGTGCACAAGATCAGGTTGTCTCTGGTGTTCAGTCTCCTCAAGTCGCTGCTCCTGACATCGTCTCTTCACTTGCTTCTGCTATTGTTCCCAGTGGCGGCACGCCCGTTCCAGATGCTACTAAGATAGGTACCTCGGACCACTTGAAGGCCGCTCCAGCGCCAGCATCAGCTTCCGTTACACCACTACCAGCATTTCTTCCGAAGCCACGTCTTCCCCAGGACACTGTTGGCAGGCTTGAGGACCGAATTGCCGAAGATCCGCGTGGTGACATCGAAGCGTGGTTGGGTCTGATTGACGATCACCGCAAGCGACATAAAGTCGAGGAGGCGCGCGCCGTCTTTGAGCGCTTCTTTCATGTCTTCCCCTCAGCCGTAAGTCAAGATGAAATGCTATTGAACGAGACTAACACTGTCAGGCCGAGATATGGGTGCAATATGTGAACATGGAGACGGAGCTCGAGAATTTTGTCCAGGTTGAGCAAATATTCGGCCGCTCGATTCAAAACACGCCGTCGTTACTGCTTTTCTCGTCATACATCGATTACGTCCGCCGGCGGTATCCGCTCGAAGAAGGCGAGAATCGCAAAATCATCATCCAGGCTTACGAGTTCGTGCTTCCTCACGTGGGCATAGACATCAATGCCGGCAAGCTTTGGACCGACTACATCGAAATCCTCAAGTCTGGTCCTGGTATACTTGGTGGAAGCGGTTGGCAGGACATGCAAAAGATGGACATCCTGCGCAAGGCGTACCAACGTGCGATTGCTGTGCCAACAACTGCGACTATGGAGATTTGGCGCGACTACGACAGATTCGAAATGAATCTGAACAAAGTGCAGGTGCGCGATTAGTTGTCCACGTGATAGTCTACATACTGACGCGGTTCTAGGGTCGCAAACATCTCCAGGAGAAGTCAGCATCTTACATGACAGCGAGGAGCGCAGTTACTGTTGCTGAAAATATCACCCGCAGCATCAGCCGTACAACTTTACCGAAACTCCCGCCTGCGCCTGGTTTCGACGGCGCCGATGAGTTCGCAAAGCAGGTGCAGGCTTGGAGGAACTGGATCGAGTGGGAGAAGAGCGACCCGCTTGAAATCAAAGAAGACGATCGTGAGACATACAACAAGCGCGTACTTTACATCTATAAGAACGCTCTTGCAGCATTGCGCTTTTGGCCAGAAATGTGGTTCGACGCAGCAGAGTGGTCATACCAAAACAATCTGAGCGACGAGGGCAACACCTTCCTGCAGAGTGGCATGGAAGCAAATCCGGAAAGCTGCTTACTAGCGTTCAAGAGGTCAAATCAACTCGAGCTTCGCACCGATCTCGAGGATGGGGAGGCTGGAGTAGTCGAGAAGGCCAAGGTCGTCCGCGAACCTTTGGACACGGTACTCAACACTCTGTACGACCTTATCAACAAAGTCAAAAAGCGAGAAGAGCGATCTATTGCCATGGCCAAGGAGCATTTCACCGCGCAGCAAGCCGCAGAAGAAGCCGCCCGAGCTGCTTCCGAAAGAGGATCTGACATCGACGACGATGATGACGACGAGAACAGTGCAGCTGCGCGACGGCAAAGAGAAAAACAAGCCACCTTCGATGCTCAGTTACAGGGCATTTCCACGGCCGCCAATGCTGAAATACACATCCTCAAAAAAACGCTCACGTATGCCTGGATCGCTCTTATGCGAGCTATGCGTCGAGTGCAAGGCAAAGGTGGGGCCAAAGACGCGTCCATCCCGGGATTCCGAGGTGTTTTTGGAGAAGCCCGTAAGAAGGGCAAGCTTCTCAGTGACGCCTATGTTGCCAGCGCTCTTATCGAGCATCACTGCTATCAAGACGTAGCTGCAGGCAAAATCTTCGAGCGTGGAATGAAACTTTTCCCCGATGACGAAGTTTTCGCGTTAGAGTACGTTAAGCATCTTGTGAAGCTCAACGATGCAACCAGTAAGTCTTGAATCTTGAATTGATGGTGGAATTTACTGACTTTTTGTAGATGCCCGTGCCGTGTTCGAGACAGTTGTCACTCGCCTTTGCCAAAAGCCAGAGAACGTTGCGCGAACAAAGCCGCTGTTTGTCTTCTTCCATGATTACGAGTCTCAGTTCGGCGAGCTCGCTCAGATTACCAAGCTGGAACAGCGTATGGCAACATTGTTTCCTGAAGACCCGCAGTTGCTCCGTTTTACATCACGTTTCAAATCCCCCACATTTGACCCTACGGCTGTGCGCCCGATAATCTCGCCTCGGACGCAAATGAGGCCGGTCATGCCAACCAACATTCTATCCACCGTAGAGGAGCCTCTACAAGCTGCGCCTCAGGTTCCTATACCGCAGCCCGAGCGTCTGCAATCACCGGCCGCCTTCAACTCGCCACGTCTAGGCCACCTGCTCCCCGCAACAAATTCACCAAAGCGTCCCTTGGAAGATGCGGACAATGAACAGCCTCGCAAGATGATACGAGGCGAGTCTCCGCTCAAAGGAGCCGCAGGTCGTCGCCTCGACGCCGCCCGGCGCAACAATGCAGTCGGCGGTGGTAGCACACCAGTAGCTGGACCCACGCCCCTTCCGAAAGGTGTCAACTTCCTCCTGGGTATCATCCCTCCAGCACACACTTACCAAGCCACACGTTTTCGACCCGAAGCCATGGTCAATTTACTCCGCAGCATCACGCTTCCGCTGCCTAACGCCGCACCGCCGGCAGGCCCGCCAGCCGCTCACATCGGTGCACAGCTGCAGAACATACAGGCGCGCTATGGAGGTGGTCAGCCTGGGTACCCGTAGTACTTGTGAACTCTACTGTGTTTCAGGTCTCGTATTACTCTGGACCGATAGCACGCAGATTGATCCTTTTCTATTCGGAGACGATAACTTGGACGGTCTGGTTTCGAGCTTCTTTTCTTTCACACGTAATTCCGATGGTGACTAGCCATCGTACGGTTTGCAGGACGTTGCATGGGTTGGCGTTCCTTACTTGGCTTCGTCTGTCTTGGGCGTTCTCTACATCATCTCATCGACAGATCGGGTCCGGTTTTGCATTGGGCAGTGTACAGTGATACTTCGGTTTGTCTTAGGAAATCGAAACATCTGCGGTAATATGCCAAACAATAGCCCGTAGGTATACATCCGTCAAATGCAATATGTACTACATCACCCCGGTTACTTGATCGCAGGTGATTTGGAAGTGATGTACAGTGGATGTTCGTTAGGATGCTGCCTCTAGCTTGGTCCGTCCGGCTGGCTCTATGTCATCTTTGTGCACAAGGTGTGTCCGCACTGACTGCTGTATCCGATTCGACTACGATCACTTGTCTATCGACAATCCTTGCAAATAACGAGCGCTACGGACACGCTTCCCTTCTATATGCATTATTTTGCCTGGCCGATGTAGCGTAATACAATGATCTTAGCCGTCGACTCAGCGGTGAGCTCATTATCTGCGAAATGTTTCATAAAGCTTTTTCAACATTGAGAAGAGTATGGACTATATCATCAACAAATCGAGGTCTGATGCTGTGTATTGTATCTAGGTGATCTCGTCGCTTCTAACTTCGCATTCCCTTGTGTCGCCACGACATACTTCTTCCACATGCAGAACTTCGGTGGCATGGCCAGATTTCTGGCTCGAATATCTTACTGACTATATCGATCCCACGACTTTGGACCTACCAAGGGATCTTCCACATCACTTTGCCTACCACTTGCCGGTTTCCTGAGTGCGTCTATATCAGCCTAATAATCGGTCACGTCGATATCAAGCTCCATCACCACCAATACAAAACCCTAAATCTAGCCGACTTTTATTTATAGCCCCTTACTCAGAGCTCTATCACCCCAGTCTTCCCCTTCACCAGAGGTACTTCTAGATCTCTCACCGTCGGCAATACCCGCCGAAGCTCGCGGCCCCAGGTCTATATAAACAAGATTGGGCCAACCTCAATCGTTCTTCTCTCCACCACCACAACAATCCTCTTTACGCCTTGATCTCTAAGAGCTTCAGACTTGTCCGGCTTGCTGCTACTCTCATACATCTTTCTGAGCCTCAGCTACAACAGCCTACCAGCGACAACTACTGCACCACTACTTTCAGTGCTGCTTACCGCTAGGTCCTGACGAAGCTACTCTTCATCACTGTAAGTACTCCGGTCTTCTCATTAGCCTTCGCGGCCGCTCTTTCCTCAGATGAGGTTTGCCAAGCCCGGCTTGCTGTCGCGGTCACCGCGGCAATCTCCCACGCGACTGCCCGTTTGTTCTTATCCACATCGCCTTTCCCCTCTGCTTTTCGAACATCTCTTCTGCTCATCACTTCTCTTCTTGAGACTTTCGACGCATCCCACATATCGCAACACATTCTCTACGCTCCAACGTTTTGTATGTCACTGTTGCACCTCATGTTCCCCTTCAGCTACTTTTGAGTCTTTGTCACTCGCGCCATCTCATAGGTGACATGTCTAGCTTTTGGAGCTCTTTGCTGACTGCTTTCAGATTTCACAGCCTCGATCGCGATCGTCACTGATTCCCACGCTCTTACCACACCCTGGTGATCTCAAGGTATGTGCCGTGACCCGTTGCCGCAGACGTTATGCCAGCTGAGCAAACGATCCTGTAGCGTCCCCTCACGGCCCAACGTGACTCGTTTGTCATTGAGAGATTAGCTGACATGGTATTGCAGAAGCCAATATGGGTGGTCCGTCGAAGCGTCGTGCTCAGGATGAGAAGAAGAGTAGCAGCTCTTCTGGCAACTCATCGGGCCGCTCTCGTGACGCCACTGAGCGTTCTGTACCGAAGTCCATTCCCCGTCTCGACGGCAATCGTGATCCTGTCACCGTGGGCACAGGATCGAACGCGGTTGACTACTCGCGTCCACAAGACCTCAAGAATATCTCGGAGGCTCTTGGATATGCCGGCTGGTGTATCGCGCGTGGTGTAAGTACAAACGCCTTCATCCCCTGTTTCCCCACATGACCTGCACATTCCTCTGGCCCGGGCTAGGTATGCAGAGTCTTCAAACGTCTTGCAATCGCAGCAGTCACGCGCGACCTCACAGCAACACCCTCTCAGCCTCATTCTTTAAGGCATAAAAGGGCATCCCCATCCTCCTCCTTCTCCTTCTCTTCATCAGCATACCTCTTCTGCCCTTGTCAACATCAGCACAATTGCCTCTACTTTCGATCCATTCCTACCTCATCACCATTACCGAAGATCTTTGATTCAGCCCTAGCCACATCACAACTACCCGCAATCTTCGGTCCCCTCTCTTCCACATCAGTCTCCATCCACCATGACTCAATACCATCTGCCTATGGATAGCTTCACCCGCTATCGAAACTTCAACCTCGATACTGACATCCACAAGCTCGAAATTCCTGGTGAGCTTCCTCGCCGCCCGGCCAAGTTCAATGCTGTCGGCAAGCCTGTGAATGTCATGCTCAACACCTTCAATGTTGACAAGTTCCCCGCCCAGATGGTCTACCAGTACGACGTAGGTTATGCTTATTCTCATGCCACTTGCTTTTGACTAACAGTGTTCAGGTCTCCTGGGGCTCAAGCACTGATCCCACCAAGCGCGTTCTCGTCAAGAAGATCTGGCACTCGAAGGCTGCCAAAGATGCGCTTGGTGAGTCGGATTCCCTCTGGATCTATGACGGCAACAAGCTGGCTTGGTAAGCTATACCTCCTTTGATCATTCCATCGTCGTTCGTTTCCTGACAACTGCAGGTCTGGCAAGCGGCTTTCTCGAGATGAATTCCGCGTCGAAGTGGACCTGGATGAAGAGGAGGCGCAGGACCGTGCTGCTCAAGGCCACAAGCCTCGCGGTGTTAGAGATTCCGGCAAGAACAAGCACAAGCTTTACGTGAAGTTCACGCGCAAGCTCGACTTCTCCTCTTTGCAGACTTTCTTGAACGGACAGGCCGCCTACTCTACGGAGTGCATCGACACGATCAACTTCCTTGACCACCTCATGCGTCAGGGCCCCGGTCTTGTGTACACCCAGATCAAGAAGTCCTTCTTCCAGCGTGGTGAGACTCGCTTCGACCTTGGAGGTGGCGTCGAGGCATTTAAGGGTGTCTTCTCTTCTCTTCGACCTTGCCTAAACGACAAGCTTCAGAAGGGCTTGACCGTCAACGTTGACGTGGCCAATGGCACCTTCTGGCGGTCACAACCGCTCGGTCGTGCTCTGACTCAGAGCTTTGGTAACTGCACTCCTCAACAATTTGCAGCTCGCTTCCAGGAAGCTCAGCGCAACTGGAGCCACCACATGCTCAAGAAAGACCTTCGCCGCTTCAAGCGTGTTGGCGTCACGGCGACCCATGTGACGCCGCACGTCCAGTACACCATCGAAGAGTTCGCCAACAAGGATGTCAATGAGGCTACGTTCAAGGACAAGGATGGCATCGAGCTCACACTCAGGCAATACTTCCAAAAGAAGTACAATCTCAACTTGATGACTGGAGTTCCTGTGGTGAAGATGACCAAGAAGATCCGTAACAGTCCAGTCTACCTTCCCGTCGATGTGCTGCAGATCGACCCGAATCAGCGGTACAATACCAAGTTGAGCGACACTCAGACTTCGAACATGATCAAGTTCGCTGTCACCCTTCCCAGGGAGCGATGGGCTGCCGTCATGCACGGCGTGAATTTGCTCGGTTGGCAGCAAGATCGCTTTCTCAAGCATTACGGTTTGCAGATCAACCCAAACCCGGCCAAGGTCAAGGCTGTCTTGCTACCGCCACCCCAATCTCGCTTTGGTGCGAGGAGCAAGCAGGCTACAGTGGATGCGAGAGACTTGCTTCAAGGTCGCTGGCGCCTGGATGGTCGCGTGTTTGCACTTCCGAATACCGACAGGCCGATCAAGGCTTGGGGCGTCTGTGTTGTCCAGGGTCGTAATGCGGTTCCACCGGAGGCTGCGAAGAAGTTTGCCCAAGAATTCATCAAGATATACACTGCCCATGGGGGTGTAATCCAACCGCACCCTCAGCATGGCACGACGCCTTGGATTGGCCCCGGTAATCTCGCGGACGGCGGAGAGATGATCAACAAGGCATTCCAGAACACTGGCAATCGGTACCAGTCTCGACCGTCGCTCATGTTCTTCATTGTCAATGACCGCAATATCGAGGTCTATCGTCGCATCAAGAAGTCCATGGACATTCGCTTCGGTGTTGTGAGTCAGGTCATCCAATCCAAGCACGCGCAGACCGCTTCTGCCCAGTACATCTCGAATGTGTGCATGAAGGTCAACGCGAAACTCGGCGGGGCCACGAACGTCGCCATCTCTCAAGTCATTCCCAAGCTCAATCCGAAAGGCCCCCAAACCCCCACGATGGTCATCGGTGCCGACGTTTCCCACCCGGCCCCAGGAGCTGGATCTGGAGAGGCTGCTTCTTTTGCCGCTATCACCGTCTCCAACGACGCCAGCTTCACTCGATACTGGGCTGAGGTTCAGACCAACGGCCACCGCGTTGAGATGGTCACCACCTCCAACATCGAGGAACACTTTGGCCACATGGCGAAGAATTGGATGCAGCGCCTCGGCAAGGGTCAGCCGCCGAAGCGTGTGATCTATATTCGCGATGGTGTGAGCGAGGGCCAGTACGCCGCTGTTCTCAACGAGGAAGTCCGCGACATGAAGGCCGTCTTCGCGAGGCTTGGCTGCAAGGAGGCGCCCACCTTCTGTGTGATGATTGCGGGCAAGCGTCATCACATTCGCTTTTTCCCAGACCAAGGCGACCGCAACAAGAATCCCCTGCCCGGTACCTTGGTGGAGTCCGGCTGCACTCACCCGCATGAGTTCGACTTCTACCTCTGCTCACACGTTGCGATCAAGGGTACGGCTCGTCCCATTCATTACCAGTGCATCCTCAACGAGGGCGGCGCGTGGCAGGCGGCAGAGATCCAGCAGTTCCTCTTCGAGCACTCTTACCAATACATCCGCTCGACCACTCCGGTCTCCTTGCACCCAGCCGTCTACTACGCCCACTTGGCCGCCGATCGGGCCAGGGCTCATGTTAGCGATAGCCCTGTCTCATCCGGCAAGAAGGAGGCCCAAGGCCAAGAGGCGCACTCCTCTACCGGTTCCTCCAACCGCGTGATCGAGGTGGCCCCGCTGCAGGCCATGCCCGCCAACACTGGCATCCGTGAGACAATGTGGTACATCTAGACGGTTTGCTGAAGAAAGCTGAGGGGATACTCCGGGATGAAGAGATGGCCATGGCGATGGTTGGTGGTTTCGATTTGGTCTGGATGGTCTTGGTTTGCTTGTGGAAGGATATGCATTAGGCGAATGGGTTTTGCTGCATGACCCTGGTCTCTGCCCGCTCCGAGCACTAACTGCGAATCATTTCCTTCTTTAGATATCTTCTTTCTTTTCTCTTGATGGCGATGCTTAGGGCGCGTGTTTAAGACAACCCCGGGGGAATCCACGACAGGCACAAGTTAAGGTGGAGGCGGCAATTTTTCTGGCGGTTCTTGACTTTTGTGCTTTTCCCTAGGATGTGCTCTTTGAAAAAATATCGAGTCATTGATACTCAATGGAACATCATTGGAAACTCCTGGTCTTGAGGCGTGCTGTAATGGTAACGCTGCGTTTTAGACTTTCGAACGGTTTCGTCGACATGCGAATCGCAGAATCGGGTACAATGTTGAGGACCAGAGACATTCTAATTACACTAAGAAGCGCGAGAGAGTTTGGGTGTGGTATCCGTGGCGCTGAGAGGTGTTTGTAAATGAAAGGAAAGAGGCGCGCTTTGGGGTTGATGCGGTAGAGGCGGGTAAGCAGCAGCGATGTTTCAATCGGCAGAGAAAAGGGTAGCTTGGGGCGGGAACGCCTGTGCTGTTATGTGAGTTTGCAGGGTTTTGGAGTAGGTATCGGGGGCTTTGAATGGAAACATATTAGGCAGTTGAAAGGGATGATTGAAACAGATAGAGGAGGTTGTTTGGAAAACAAATTGGTGAGGAGTGATCAGATGAAAATGACGATTTGGGAAGTTTTGTATCGTTCCAGAGAGAAGAGCGAGTGTGAGAAAAGTAGTCAGATAGGACAGCATGGCTAGGCTACAGATGGTTGCCTACAACTGCGTGTAATGATTGAGAAGTGTGACTTGAAAGAGACGTTATGTTGGCGAAAGAAGAGACTATAGGAACAAACGGGGCAGCAATCATAGGCTGTGTTCTGCGCTGCCTGCCGCAGGTACCGTAGGACTCCTACAGCGACGAAAGCAGCTGGTGACTGGCTGACAGCCTCATCAAGAAAGAAGCGTAAGGAAGGGGCAGAATATTGAGAAAGCTGTGCGCTGGCAGATGTAGGCAAGAGAAGAGCTCCGTGCTTGGTGTAGCCGAGCAGGAGAGACCCAGTGCAGTTCTCCTGTCGATTCGTCTGCTACCTCTTTATAAGAGGTTAGATGCCTCTTAAAGGTAGCAGGAATTGGCAACATGAACAGTGTTTTTCTTTTTAATATCGAAGCACGAAGTGTCGCGCGCAAAGCGAAGTATGTATCGTCGAATTATTTACCTTTGCTCCACGAGCACGCCGAAGCGCACAGAAGCATCGGGGGTAAGCAGACGTCCGTAAGGGTATCTCTCTCCCCTCCATTTTCCCCTCCAGCAGCCTCATTGACAGGAGAAAGCAGAGTGAATATGAAGGGTTTCAGTTTATGTATAGAGAGAAGAAAAGGTCGACGCGAGACGCGCGCCGAATAAAATCAAGATTGACAGGATTACTCAGCGGGTGGATATGGGCGGCGCAATGCGGCATAGCGCGAGCGCGAAAAAGGGTTAATTTCTTGGTGGCGGGGTTGCGAGATGCGAGGCGGGGCTATTTGTTGTCAGTGTCAAGAACAAGAGTCATACTTGCTAGACGGCTACTGATTCGGTGAGTACCTAAGGTACCGTGGATAGACGTGGCGGGTTTGTGCACAGAATGCTAATTTTTGGTGGAGGCAGGGTACAAAGCGCCCTGCACCCTCGACGCCTTACACAACCCACCGAGATTATCACGCCCACGGTACGCACGCGAGCGCACACCTACCACAGTACATAAACGCCTCGAGCACTATCTTAGCGCGGAACGATCTCTCGTCAACGCAGCCGCGAACAGTAGTCGTAGAGCTCGAGCCTCCACCTTCGCAACGAGCCTCTCGACACTTCCAACCTACCACACATCCACAGTAGCCATGTCCACACGCGGTCGCGGTGGCAAGTTTGCTAAGCCCAAGCGCGGAGGCGGCAAGCACTTCTCGCGGGACCTACAACCGCTTAACGCAGATGGCGAGGTCGTTGGCATGTGGGGTGTACGTACTACCTAAAATCAGTATCAACGACAACAGCTAATCTGAACTCAGGAGCCTGTCAAGGAAGAATCTGAAGATGAGGAGGAGGAGGAGTCCTCGGAAGAAGATTCCAGCGGAGACGAGAACGCGAAGCCGCAGGCAGAGATGACTCGTGAGGAGCGCCGCGCTGCAGCCAAAGCCCGCAAGCAGGCCGCCATCGCAAAGCAGAACCAGAAGGTGCCCGAAGCCGGTGATCTCCCTTCGTCCTCAGAAGAGGAGTCCGACGACGACGACATGCCTGCGAACCCCAACCACACAGCGAAGGCCCGCAACCAGGCTGCCAAGGCACCCGAGCCCGTCGACGCTCCCGCTAAGGACAAGGGCAAGGGCAAGCAGGACCTGAACCAGCTCAGCCGACGTGAGCGCGAGGCTGTACAGGCACAGCAGGCGAAAGAGCGGTACGAGAAGCTACACGCTGAGGGCAAGACCGACCAGGCGCGTGCTGATCTTGAGCGCTTGACGCTTGTGCGCGAGCGCCGTGAGGCCGAAGCAGCAAGGAAGAAGGCTGAGGCTGAAGAGCGCGCTGAGCACGAGAAGGCGAAGAAGGAACAGATCGAGCGCGATGAGCGGCGGAGAATAGCTGCCATGGGCACCAAGCGCGGCGGCAAGAAGGGATCGAAAAAGTAAACCGTAGTTGTACTCTTTTACAAGGGCATTTCAATGACTGGGGTGCCGAAACGTCTTGCGAATCTTGGGGATGGTGCTCCTTGCATAGTCTGGGAGGATCGAGGGGTTCACGACTTCACGAGATACGGCGGTGCAGGATGGCGGCATGACTGTCTAGCCAGACGCCTAGAGACGTATAAAATACACGATTCCTTTTCTGGCCTCAAACGTTGTCGTCGGGCTCGCTTCCAATGCCTTTGTACCCTCACTCTGACCTTCAACTGCCTTATATTCTGACATCACTGGACAAGAATACATCGAATGCGCCAAAGAGGTATCAAGACCTCAGAAAGTTGTCGTGTGGAGGCTTGCTTTCGTGTCCTAAGTATTTGGCGCCCGAGTGTACCTCACCCAACCAATCACATAAACTGACCTCAAGACATCATCATCGTCAGCATATATCGTACTAGATTCGCCACCATGAAGAAAACAAGTACCAAACCATTTATTCTACTCATACCGACCGTGGTAGACATTATCGCGCTGACCTTCCGACAGCCATGACGTCATGGTCGAGGCAATCCCCCCAGACGAACATTCTAACTTTGAGACTTTCCGCGAGTGCTTCGGTGAACCCGTGCTGAAGGCATTGGCAAAATCAGTCGAGAAGCCAAGAAAGAAGAAGCGGGACGCACGCAAGAGCAAGGATGGCAGACCCAGCAGGGCCGGGGCAGTGAAAGAGAAGGATGCCGAGGCGAGAATTGTCAGCACGGAGGAACAAACCACAGCAGAAGATCTGGGCGAGTTTATCGATGTAAGTTTGAGGCTTACTTTTCATACAAACCTAACTGATGGAACATATAGTACCTCTCAAGCGTCATCTTTCCCTCCCTCCCCACAGATCTCCGCACCCTCTCCTTCTCAAAATACAAAGACAATCCCCAGCTACAAGATGACTACTCAACACCCCTCTCCACATCCACCGAATTACAGTTAATCAATCGGATTCCCCCAATGGCCATCGACTCTCTAACCTCTTACGCTCTCCTCCCCACCCCACCCGACGCCTTCGACCTTCACCACTTCTTCACCCCCTTCTTAACAACCTACATTACCGCCGTGACCGCTCCTCCGCCCATCTGGTCTACTACCCGCACCGCAGCGTGCGAGCTATGTCTGCGCGACTGGATCCCGCTGACGTATCATCATCTGATACCGAAGAGTACGCATGAGAGGGTGAGAAAGAGGGGTTGGCATGAGGAGGGAAGACTGAACAGTGTGGCGTGGCTATGTAGGGCATGTCATAGCTTTGTGCACAGGCTGGCGGGAAATGAGGAGTTGGCGAGGAGGTTTTATACGGTTGAGTTAATTAGTGAGGGGGGGGTGGATGGTAAGTGGATCTTTGGTTTTTGTGGAGGATGGATGGCTAATGAGTATAGGTAACCCAGAGAAGAGGGAGATTGTAGAGAGCTGGGTCAAGTGGGTGGGCGGTGTGAGGTGGAAAAGTCGGTAGGTGGGATCGAGCTCTGGGGAGCTATGATGGTATTATGGGCCTGCTTTGTAACTGAACATAGCGTTGTACGGATCCCGAATTTATGATCCAAAACCTTGATATCCAGGATCATTAATGTATGTGATCCAATAGATCTAGATCATACCTAGTAAGCCTTTTATCACTATTTATGCTTCCTTCTTATACAGGTTTACCCTATTGAAAGGGGACGATGAGTGACTTAAAAGAGATAGTACGTCACAATCCTGTATCTGTACGGATCACGCTGGAAATCTCTGCATGTCTCCCATAGGATCGGCACAACCCTAGTTCAAAGTCAAGAACGCAATGATTGCGTAAACACGCAACCGAAAGTTTAAGATGTGTAAAGCATGGATTCAACGCGGACTACCATGGTTGGATTTTGTTTTCAAATCATTCTGGATCTAATGGTGGACAAGGTAAACAGGCGATATATTCACGCAAGGTCTGGAAGCTTGACAGTTTACACTTTCAATGTGGTAATTACCAATCACATTCCAGTGGTCCTGTAGTCTGGACCAGTGGACATCTGATGTTAGACAGTCAGACGAGTAATACGTCCGAGGAGTGCATTGCATGTACTTATGCGATCCATAACTGCGCCAACGCGTTGGACTTCGGTATCGATATACCACGAGGCCTTGACTTCGGATGCACTGTCACCTCAAAATACACCGAGCTATCATGCCGACTATCCCAAGCAGGCGTATGCATACCTGACTGCGAGTTAGAGGAGAACAGTGGGCTACAGACCGGAACCGAGTTTTGTTGAATAGTCATTCCTAGGCATGGGTTCGATGTCGATTACTTTCCACAATTGTGATTTGATAGACCACTTAGGAGCTAAGATTAGACAGGCTACGAGCGATAGGCTCCGGGATGTAGTCGGAATGGACCAGCATCCGTCCTCTATCCAAGTCTCTCTACTATCTCATCGCGCATTTCCAATTACCTACTCTACGTATTCATTGTTGTATTGAACGTATGTTTAGGTGCAAGACAATCCTAAGAGTCATAGTTGCCATAGCGAATGTGCCGTCTTATACGACCCGCGAGGCGTCTACGTCGATATGGTATCGTCTAGCAATCTCTGAGTAGTGCACTAGAAACCTCGTCCTGCTTGAGCCCTTACGAAAAGACCCTGTCTATCTTCACCGTCAGTCCTATCTCAGAAGAGTGTCTCGTCAATCCGCCAAAGTCCAAATGGGAGACAGCCTGTCGGGACGATCCTGACCGTTGCTACTACGCCTGAGCCCTCGAACGTCATTCATCTAAACATGGAATTTCACGCCAAACTACCACATGCCCAAACTTCGTAGTGCACGAAGTCCGGGATGATGAGACGGATGATTGACTTTGCAGAATTTGTAAAACTCAGTGATCGAACCCTGCGTTCCACTGTCCGTTGTGTGTCGGATAAGTATCACGCATGTGCGAATGCGGGTTGCGAGTTCTATTCTGGGCACAGGTGATACGACATGTGTTGAAGTGAGCAAGCAGAAGCGAGGAATGTGAGAAATGGTGATGACACATCACTTTACTGACAGCCCCATGTCCATTTCCAGCGGACATGCATCAAGATTCTCCCTCCGCTTCCGAGACACCTGTTCCTTTCTGTCCGGCGCAAACCACTTTTCGAATGGCAAGCCTTGCGGTGGCCCCGAAGAGCCAACCATGTCACTTCGTACGCCGCACCGCCACCGATTCGACGCCACAATCTGTGGCGCAACTGCTGAGTGGCAGCTGCCGTGCACACATGAGCGTGCTGTCGTCTCACACGCAGCTCGCAGCGTCGACGGCGCTATATTTAGGCGCCAGGCAAACGTCGCGCATCCCATTTGGCTAATCAACAGGTGGATCTGATGAAGTGAAAAAGCGGTATGCGCGGCCACGAACAGAGCCGGACTGGACGCTGGCTTCGACTACATGGAGGATATCTTTCTCAGCATATCAGTAAATTCGCCTTTGTCTATTTTTTCTGTCACCAACGATAAGCCTTCAGTCCCGAAAACATGGCTTCCCATTTATCATTCCTTGACTTCCCTGCACCAGTTCGCCAAAGAATCTACGCAAGTCTTGTCGCACCTCATCCGGACGAACATGAAACAGCTATCAACTACGCTCTCAAATGGAATTGGCTCGAAAAACCAAGCAACACCACCTTCGGCGGCATCCCACAGATCGACCTATGCCGCTGTCCACGCCAGAAACCTCGCATCGTGAACATTCAGACGAAAGACCACATGTACACGCGGTACAAATGCCACGGCCCCGAAGTGAAGTTTAATCGCGGACGTGAAGACCTGTGGGTGCCATCGCAAGCGTATGCGGATAGTGGGCAGATCAATTTTCTTCGGCCGGCGAGAGATGACGATTTGCGCAGGCGACCGAATGCGAACATCTTGAGTACATGTAGGACGATATATGAAGAGGCATTGCCGATCCTGTACCGCGGGCGGAACTTTCTCTTTGTCACTGGGCCATGTCCGAGAGGAAGATATCAAGCGTACGCTACGCAAAGATTCTTCGCTGGGTTATCTACGTTCGCGCGGGTGCACGTTATGGCATTCTCGCTAATTATCGTGCCTCATGAAGAGGATTGTAGGAGTGAAGATGTTGAAAGAGCATATGGCGATCTTGCGGAATGGCTTCAGCGCAACTTGCCGTCGTTCCAGACGCTGCGAATCAAATTGTGGCATCCGCGGCTGGCAAACACCTTGGGAATTTTCGAAAACTGGTTGCGAAAGGATGGAGTAAGGATTGAGCTAGATCGAGGACAAAGTGATGATTGGGTGGAGGAGATCGAGGATGTGGAAAACTTTAGGGCTGCTCTGCTGGCGGAAAGCCACGAAAAGGCACATGGGGGGCCGACTTGGGAAGAAACACAGACAAACAATCCACGAAGGGGACAACGGAGAAGATATTTTACATCGAGGCCGGAGTCATTTCTGGGTAAGTGGCGCGGCAAAGACATAGCTTTGGGTGAAGACAGCTCTGGAGAAGATGACAATGGGGGTTATGAATGGTCCTATGCATTGCTTACTCCTGCTACTTCCAGCAAGAAGGATGGAGACTCTGCTAAATTGTTCAAGAAACGAGGAGGTTCCTCATACAAAAGAGGCGACCTACACTTGTCACGCACACCAAGCTCGGCTCTATAGGGTCCTTTTCCGGAAGTTCAGGTAGAAACTGCAGGCTACAAGATTTCACGCGAAGTATTTGGCACCGCTCTACATTTTCACATAGAGCAGAGACATGTGAAGTGCATCACAAAAACCTCCCGTGGCCTGTGCCTTCGCTTCTTGGTCTTCCAGTCCAATACTATGGCCGCTAACACATCTCGCACCACATAAACCCGTTCTCATACCCTCTGCGCGGTCAAATCATCCACACAGTCGACTAGCGCTGCCCTACATACGCAATCGAGCATATAAAAGTTCTTCGAGCAGGTCAACGAGTTGCTCGCGATAGTATCCTGCCAAGTCTACCTAGTAGCTTCAAGAAGACGGCGAATGTAAGAGTGGGCCCAGCTCTTGCGCAGACGAGGGGGTGAAAGATATATGGACTACGAGGGAATATATCGCTTAAGCTGAAGAGAGTTGCTGTCTAGAACACTCCGTAGGTGCAGAGGAAGGAACCCTAAGTGAAATTGCGAGCCGGAGATGGTTTAAGACTACCGAAGACAGTGATAGCGAAGATCCTAGTCCCAACGAGACTGATGAAGCAGACGAATTTCGGCCCCAAAATATCGACAATATAGGCCTGCCATCCTGGTCTGCAACGATAGCTGGAGCCGCATCTGACATCTTTCCCCATGAGGGTATGAATATGATGAAGATGGGTCATTGGGCTCAACGTACTCTGAGCACGGCACGTTTCGGGAGGAATATGGTAAGTGCTACCTCGAACTCAACGCCGGCTTACAGCATGGTTCGGCTGTGGACGCTCGAGAGGACTGGCACAAAGCAGTAAACTTTCGTGTCCAGAGGATGTTCAGTCAGACGTTCTGACAATGCTCGACACAACATACGCGGGAAAACATGGAGGAAGTCGGGCAGACCGTGAGCAACCGGGAACACAAGCAATTGAGGTCCTTATTGCGCGCACAATCGACATAACGACGGCAGCTCCCAGTCAAAATTTATCCATTCGGGCCTTGACTGACGCCTTGAGTAAGCTAGTCAAGGAGTTCGGTGATTATCATTCTCGACGTCCTATCTCGATCAACGGATATCTCTAGACAAACGAAGACACGATACTCCATCGCAAGGATTACCAATACACATCCGTCTCTCGCGCTTGGAACGGAATGCAAATGTTGTAGAGCGCAATGATTATTCGTTGCTTTGCGTGATGGGCGTTTAGAATGGGAATGAAATGGGCTTATGGCTTGGTCTTTGACGAAATCAGTTGGCAACAAATCTTTCCTCTGAATTCACAGTACTGACTGGATGGTATTCAGAACCGTCGGAAGCAGTTCTTTCGATAGAAATGCGTTGTCCGTCATTGCAATAAAACGCTGGTAAGGGTTCGTACAACGACAATGTCAGGAGTGTCATAAGAGGAGCTACGTGGACGAGTACTAGCTTCCCCACCGGGTCGTAAACGGACCTCAAGACGATTGGATCAGAAGTGACAGAATGCTACCGAGGGCACCGAGTGAATTGCATGTCTTTGAACCATAGGATTATCATTCTTTAGCACTGTTGCTCTAGGAGCACCATTCTTGGTTTATTAAGCACGTCAACACTATTTGCATGTTTTAGTAAGAAGCGAAAATGTAGCTCAGAGATCAGCTTTGATCGGCTTCTGCGGTGTGTCGAGGGGCTTGAAGTCCCAGTTGGTTTCGGTTGTCAAGCTCTCGCCGTCTGAGCTCTCATCGTGCTGCTTGTACCACCCATTGAAGATAAGCTGCGCGACGTTCTTCCCAGACAGTGCGCTTGTCTCCACTGTGCCAAAGTAAGCAGATGTCCCGCATTTCATGCGAGGTCATTCGATGCGAGACGCCCTGGGATATATAGGGCGTATGGTGATACTTACTGGTACTGATGAAGCTCTCGATGCTGCTCGTATACCACAATGCCTCATCGAGCTTGATCTCATCAAAAGTAACACGAGGATATTCGTACGGGTAAGAGTGGACCTCCCAGTGATTGATCCAGCTGACTGTGCCATCAATATCGCCATTCTCAGCTTCCTCTTTTGCGACCGGTAAGCCAATAACACGGGAAAGAAACTGGTGATCGATACGCTTCGGGGAGAAGACTTTGTAGATGTACTCGTTGCGAGGTTCTGACGCGTAACGATTCACACCCGAGTTGACGATGGAAATACTGAAGAACCCGGCTCGACCGACATTGCTAAGGGGTCTTCAGCAAAGGCCGTGCATATTCCATATACCAGGTATCGCCTGGCGCGTTGCTACTTACGGTTTCGAGCCATATTCTTCATCAACTTGCAGTGTCGTGAGCACGTATTCAGGGACCTGTTTGTCGTTGTCTAACCCGAAAGCGGAAGGGTCCAGCTTGTGGGGCGTCGCAAAGTGCGTCACGTGCAGCTTGACGTACGGAATTTGCTCAGGGATGTGTTCCGGCGCCGGCTCGAGGACAAGATTGGAGAACTGGAGCGGTGCGGCCAAGACAACTTCATCGAAGCTCGAGACTCGTCCGGCGGAAGACGTCAGATCATACGTGCCATCCGTCTGCCTTGAGACTCGCGTGATGGTAGTATTTAAGTGTGTTGAAATTGAGTCGGATGAGCTCAACATGTGGGAGAAGATACGCCAGTTTCCTCCAGCGATGGACATAGCGCCGTTTGTGGACAGACACACCATAGCCTCAACACCATGGATTGTGCCCAGATTGGAAGCATAGTTGACACGAGTGCTCGCCTGGACGATTTCGTTCGCGAATTTGGGCGCAATGCCCTTGTTTTGCAGGTATTGCTCGCCCGTGAGACCGGTCACCTCAGTTAAGCCAACAAGTTGCACCACGTCGCTCAGGCTCTTCCAGGGGAAAAGCGGCCGCTCGTACATCTTCAGGAACTTGTCCACAGTTTCCCTCATCAATTTATTCGCCTTAACAGGCGCATACCCGTATCTCCAGAACAACTTCGCCAGGTCCCACCAACCTCCTTCATTCATTGTAAACACCAATTCCTTCCCGTTCCATATTCCTACTTCCGGAATGTTGGCAAGTAGGTTCTCTCTTGTGTTTGTTGACAAGTTGAACGCCCTAGTCGCGTTCACGAGGATGTGGTTTACGTCGACGAAGATAGACGCGCCGAGTTCGACGGCTTGCTCAGGATCAGACCAAGGATGGATTATGGTAGACCGGCCACCGATGTGCGAATCGCGCTCAAAAACGTCAATACGTAGGGGTATCCCGGAGTCTAGAGCGAATTGTGCTAGGTGGTAGGCAGCAGATGAACCTGCCGCGCCGGCGCCTGTGTAGCGTTAGAGTTGTACATGTTCGGAGCGAGAAGGCTCGTTACCGATGATGGCGACGCGTTTGGGCGCTATTGCAGGCTGCGCGAGCTCTCCGTTTCCGCTACTGCGGAGAGCTACGGCGGTGGAGCCCAACAGCGGAAGAGCGAATTTCGGAAGACGCATCTTTAGAAGAGGCACGGCTTGAGTGAGAAAGGTAGTGACAACCTAGAGAAGTAATGATAGTGCCACAGTAGAAGAAAGATTATAAGAGAGACATGGTGGAATCAGGCTGTGGGAGCTTGTGGTGCGAAACATTGGCCGTGAGAGGATGACGGTAAACCGTAGCGTACAGGGATCAGCTCGCAGCTCTATCGATAGCACTTACTGGCACGACTCGCGGAACGATGGTGCCTGCATGGCCGCATGTTTGTACAACTTAACCGATTGCTGAATGGCACATGAAGAATACGTGAAATGGATTGTCAGAAACGAGGTGTGCTAACGTTCGGAAATAGTAAAAACCCCACGAATGCATTATGCAACTAGTACACAACCATGGAAGGTCCATCAATGCAAAGCCCAAACTCCACGCTCAATGAAAAGTAAAAGGGTATATGCTCGCCAGATAAAGAAAGTCGTAAATCGTCGTCGTCGTCATCTTGAAGCGAAAATACACCCGTAAAGTCGAAACGCCATGGACCTCAAGACCACTAACCTCCTCTTCTTCACGCAGTTTGCCCCTTCTTGAACAGGCTACGCAACCCCTTCCTCGTCTTCGTTTTCTGGTCAGCTGAAGCCTTCACAATCGGATGGCCCTTCAAAGCAGCTTCGGAGTTCAATCGCTCAGCTTCCTCGTAGTTAAACGGCACCGTCCAATTGCGCTGCGGTATCTCGCCCAGCTTGGTGCTGTCGGAAGCAAACGTGTACGTCGATGGCGTAGGGTTGTCGGTGCGACGTCTTGGTACATTTTGTTGCGCTTTCGAAAATGGCAAAGAGTGGTGAGGTGGTAGGGTTTGCATTGTAAAGTATTCCGGAGGTGTTGGCAGCGGATTGGTGAAGGGCGCGGCTTTGGTGAGTTTGGGTTGCGGCCATGTTGTCGGCCGGCCGGTGTCAATTGAAAGCATCGGCTTCTTGGATGTGGCGCCGTTGCTCTTCACTGCTGGAGCCTTCTGGGGCGGAAACGGATCATTTGGAGAGTACTCGGGCAGCGGGGACCTTGGAGGTGACGTATACGGCGAAGTCACGCTCATAGATGGCGCTTTCGACGAACCTGTGCTGGAACTGCTCATCGACCCTTTCCGAGCATTCCTCGGTCGCACCATGGCCAGTTGTGTTTGGTTTGAGCTTCCGGAAGCCTTGACGGAGACGCGCGCCACCGTTGGACCTTGCGAGCGCTGCCTTGAGCTGCTGCGCCTTTTCTTCTCCGAGTCAGTTCTCGATATTGGCCTTCCGTGCAATTGCAGTTGCGACTGGCTCAGTCGCTGATACAGCTGGTTCAAGCTGTCAACTGCCTCTCGCCTGGAGATGTCCGAGAGACTGGTCAGCGACTTGTAGTCCAAGTGCAGGTCATTGTGCTTGGAGTCTTGGTGCAGAAAGCTTGCGATGATGCTCACGAGGCCAGTATTGAACTTGATCAGTGTCTCCACAAGTGATGCGTGCGCAATTGCTGCCTTGATCAGCATGATTAGCTACTTTGGGTAGTACGGGAAAGCTTACCGTCGCCTTTCGCAAACTTGTCGCCTTTGTCGCCATAACAGCTCGCGTACTTCTCGCTGAGCTCCAAAGGTCCCTTCCTCAACGAAGTGCTCAATTGCAGCTCCGCGCCCGACGGCGCACCCAAATCCCTGTCTTTATGCTTGCTTCTCCTCTTCCTGCGCCGTTCTCTCAATCGCTTGAACACATTCAATCCATCTGTAAATGCATGTATGAGATTCGAGACGCAACTCGCGACCTCGCCGTCGCCGGCGCTCTTCCCAGCCTGAGCCTTCATCACATGTACAGGCACGCGGGAAACACGAAAACAACAAAATTCAGCTGTGGGGTTTTATAGCCACGGAACCATGGCACAAGCGAACATGGACGGACGGGACGGTGTGCACACGTCAATTGCGAGGTAGAGTCACACGTTTTAGTCCGTCGTAAAGGGAACCTAGCCAGGGACGCGGCCGTGGTCCATAGTTAACCGTCGTCGCCATCCATGCCCCGGCCTCGACCTCGCGCCCCGCTGCCCAAGTGTTGCTGCATCCCTGAGTGGTTGCGCGCACGCGTAGCCGCCCGTGTATGACTCTTGGACGGATGCGAGCTGCTGAGTGGTCAGGCGTGCAGCCGAGACGAAACATGAATCCTTGCTCGCGTCGCTGGCTTGGAATTAGAGCGCGACTAGCCATGTGTTCTGCGCGGAGAGCATAAAGCATAAAATGTGCATGTGCAGACACCAGAGCACCATGAAGGAATAGGACGACCAAGTCGTGTGCATTGTGGTATCGTACGTGAAACGTAAGCTGCTTCCTTCCCAAATCGACCCGAAGTGGTCGTAGTTGACCACCATAAGAACTATCCCAAACTCCTCGCTATGCTGTCAATGCCCATATAGTCGTACCCGAAACCGAGACTTTACCTTACTCGTCATCCGTCTCCTCCACCGTAACCGGCCTTGGTGCACTGCTACCCGCTGCCGAGGGGCGTGCACGAAGCTGGCTAGAGCCCTGGCCTTCCGAGCTGCTCCCGGCAACAGCAGAGCTGGAACCTTGAGCGTCATTGTTGCTCGCATTGTCAAAACTCCAGCTCGAGCCCAGAGAGCTTGGCTCAGAACTCTTTGGCTCAGCAGCTGAGGATGCCGGTCCGGCTCCTGAATCCGACGCAGTTGGTGGACTAGAAGATGAATGAGGCGGTGGTGCCGATGAGCGTTGCACAGTCGGGAAATAGCGACGCGCCGTCCCTGATGGACCTGCTTCTGTCGCCTGCCCATGCATGTTGCCAGCTTGTGGTGACAGAGCCATCGGTCTCAGTGTCCAACCCTCGGGAAGAGTCAACCCCTCAGGCACACCGCCATCACCCTGCCGAAGTACTGGGCCGTTTGCAAAGTACGCCTGTGGATTTGTCGGCGAGAAAGGTTGAGGGTTAAGCGAGGTGATAGGTGGTAGTTCCTGACCTGCTGATGCCGCGCCCGAAGCTTGTTGAAGGCGGTTCAACTCGGCGAGAAGAGCTTGTATATTCTCCAATTGGTGGTGCTGTACTTGCAATTGCTGCAGCGAGGCTATGATGTTCTGTTGGATGCGTAAGATGTCACCTTGGATATCGTTGGGGTGATGTGGGACGCCACCAAGAGGAAGTTGAGTAGATGTGTTTGGTAATTGAGGGATGCCCTGGTTCTGGACCTGCACCTGAGGTTGCAGAGCATTAGGCTGTTGAGCAATTTGCTGAGCAAGCCTCTCCATCAAGAGGTTGTTGTTGTTAGCGTTAGCATTGGCATCAGCGGGTCGATTCGCGGGGAGGCGCAGATTACCCAAAGCAATGCGAACGGGGCCGAAGTTGAAGACTCTCACGTTGCCTTGGGGTAGATTTGGTTGACCTATCTGAGGAGCAGGGTGATACTGGCCTGGTTGACCGGGAGCTGCTGGTGGCTGCATATTGCCAAGTAAGCCGCGAAGAGGGTCTCCTCCTGGCAATGCTGCCGGGTTTATTTGGCCTGCGTTTGCTTGATTTTGGGGGTTGGTCGGCGTTACGGGCTGTGCGAGCACAGATCTCCGGCACGTAGGACAAACCTGTTGCCGTTCAAGCCAGCTTCTCAGACAGTTGAAATGTAGGATGTGTCCACAGGGAAGTTTCTTCGGTCGCTGTCGCTCATCCATTCTGCGACGGCCAGGTTGCGCTCCATCTGCCCCTGGTTCCACCCAGGGTTGCATTTCTTCGCGACATACAATGCATGTGTTCTCGCGCTCTAGTTCGTCTGCGGTGGCGTCCGGATAGCGGGCGTTCATATCCCGGGTAGCGTTTCGGTACTGGTAGAAATCGTGGAGCCTCTTGACGAAAGAGCGCAAGGTCATGAAGAGATCGCGGACTATGTGAATAGGGATGCCATAAAACGTCAGAAGCAGGAAGAAGAAGACCATGTAGACCACAGACTTGATGGCGTCAGTCATCAGGTCAAGGAAAAAGACCCAGCGACCCTTCTCTTCCCAGCCAGGAACTTCATCGTCGTCGTCGTCCTCTTCCTCTTCCTCGGCGACAAGCTCACCAGCAGCCTCGGCTGCCTCTCTACGTTGCCTGGCTTGTTCCCGAGCCACCCTGCGAGCTTCATCCCGTACCTTCTCCTGACGGTGGGTAATAGCGAGCTCGACAAGCGACAAGCCATAGCGCAAGAGGGTCGATATCGATGCGATGGCCAGGAGCACGTACTCGAAGCCAAACATGACCATTACACCCGCTCGTGCATCCGCCAATATCGAATCGACGCAGTAAAAGACCATGAAGAGATCGTAGCCGACCGAGAGGACCAGAGAGCTCATTAGACGCGCATGGAAAAGCTTCGGATTCGCCGGAGGTTGTTGTTCCAGGAACTCCACACGGCCCTCCCCGATCCACTGCCACACCTTGCCCGCAAGCAGGCATAGGAACATAGCAAAGAACCATAAGCCGATATCATCGCGAAATATCGTCATTGCCAGCAAAGTTTCGCTCACAGCAAACCATGCCTTGTCGTACAGCTGCTCCGTCTCGATGGGGCGCAGTGGGCCGTAGAAGAGTCGCTGAAGGCCATATCCAGCGCTTCCCATGACAATCACAGCAAGGTTGGCCAGGAACAAGATCGAGCCGGTGCTCTGGGAGATGTACACGGTGGCCGAGTAGAAGTTGGGTCGCTCGACGAAGGCGCGCAATAGCACGATGTTGGCCAGTACGGCCGAGCTCTGTGGCTATTAGCTTGCGTGCTATAGTGCGCGCGCAACAAGACATACCGCAATGTAGATCTGTAACCGACTCATAGTGAAAGCCATGTTAGCGTGACTCCAAAGCGAGCGATATGCTGAGGTCCATCTGAGGGAGTTGAAGCCTCAGTCGGGTTGGTGATTATGCGGCACGTTGCCGGCACGTCTTGACACGTTTGCTGAGGCGATGTCGAAAGCCGGCAGTGACGGCGCCAAGCCCAATTCCGAGTGGTCGCGGGCCCGGGGCTTCCCTCCGCACGTGCTTTGCTCGCACTCCCATTTCACCACCTCGTCTTGAGCATCTGTCTACCAAGAAATCGCGTGATCAATAACCAATAAGTATATTTCCCTCCGAGCAGCACCGAAAGCGTCCGGAAGAGCCAGTGTCCGGCATAGCCATACCATATTCCGATCCAAGGCTTCTGTCTACCAGCCGACACTCGCTCCACTCGAGCCGCAAGCCTTGGATGCAGACTATCCACCCAGTCCAAATTTTTTCACGACCTCGTGGTACCCCAGCCCTGTGCTCTGCATCCTACTCCAAGTTTTCGGAGTCATTTCCGTACTGTAGGATGTCGTCTTCAGGTCCCTTGCGTCACCACTCCCTTACCGCCTTTGCTATACAAAGTAGCATGTTAAGTCTACTTCTTGGGCTCGATCGTGTACCTGGCGCCTAGCTATTGCGGGGGTTTACACCATACGATGCGGGGAACTATCGCGTTCACTACTGCAGGATCCCGGTCCCCTACCAGTTCTTGGCCAGGTTCTCGAAGCTCGATCTGCAAGCTTCTTGAGACGTTTGCCGAGTGCATCGCCTGCAGAAAGTACACAAAGGGCGCCCCTGTGCTGAAACAAAAACTTGCCATCCCATTAGCCCATCTCATTCTTCCGACTTCACTTGTCCTATGCAGACATCTGCAACAATCATGCTGCGGACACTACCACTGCTGGGATCCTGCCTCTCTGGGCTGCGTAGTAGCAATGCCCAACATACGAGCACTCTATCTGAGTTTTAGACGCTGGAACAATCGCATCGTTAGGAAACGATAGTCTTGTCACGCGATGGCGACCGATATCGCATTTCAGCGCACCGGCTGGGTGGACGAACGCACGTACTTGTACAACAACCCAGTCAGCATTTCCACATTGCTAATGCAACGTCAGGTCCCACGCGGTATGTTTTATGATCCAACTAGAGACGAGTACCATCTTACGTATCAATAGCGTCCAAACCATATTGATTCCAGATCTAGAGTGCTGAAGCAATATCTTGAGATATGCGATGATAATGGAGCATCTTATACAGATTAAATTCCAGTGTCTGGGGAAGGATCATCAGGCCCAGTACTTAGACAAGACTAAAAGCAGAAATAATTGAGCCTCAAAAACGTCTAGTAAGCCTTCCGCAATCGAATATCAGTCAAATCTACGCTTGATGTTATGGTATGTGCATCGACGACTCCTCGTCACCCCGCAATCAGGCCTTCAGATCCACCTCCACAGCCTGGACTTTCACCCCCTCCAACTTCGCCAATCGCTCTTCTTCCAATCGCTTCATCTCTGCCTTCACCTTCGCACTGTCTGGTACAATCCTCTGCCTATCTGCGGTGATTTTCCAACCCTCCAGTTTCTCCCTCCCCAGCGCCTTTAGCGTCTTCTGCTCTACAATGCTATACTGACCATCCTCTCGGTTGAGATTGAACGGTTCTTTCACACTCACAGGCGGATTCGTAATGACCCTCACCTTCCGCAGCGTGTTGTTGCTTGCACTATGTAGCATGAGCGGATGCAGGAGGTACACGTCGCCTACCTCTCCCGTGACTTCGACGAAAGCCTCGTCGGGCATTTGCTTCGCGATGTTGATATAAAAACTCAGATCCGTGCCTTCTGACTTAAATTCCGGGTTATCATGGCGGGACGTCATACGCGGTGACACGCCCTCAGGATGTTCATACAAGTGTTTCGCAATAATCGGGATGCCGGCAGGACAAATAATTGTGCCGCCGCCATTTGGAACGATGTCAGACCAGAGCGGTATAACGAGAAGTGCCTGCTCAGGGGAGTCGAGGTAGTGGACAAAAAAATCCCCATCGACATGCCAGTTTTTTAGATCCTGCGGCTTGATGTACTTCCCTGCGCCTTGAGATGTGCCGACGTTGACGATGAAGGAGTCTTTCCAGTTGGAGACGGAGTCGTTGACGCGGGATTCGCCGCCAAGGAGTTGGCAGATGCTAAACCAGGCTTTGGGGGCGATAGAGGAGGCGGGAAAGTATTTGTGGATGGGCATGTTTACACGGCCGGATTCGTTCTTGGTCTCCCTGTTTCATACATTGTTAGTTGCGAAATCAATGGGGGAGTTAGTATGCATACCATGTTGACATATCATTCGGATCCATGTCGAGCCGTGTCCACAACTGTGATTGCAGTTCTGCAGACTGCTCACGCGTGAAGCAGCCAGACAATTTGATCCAGCCATGCTCGAGAAAATGGTCGATCTGCTCCTGCGACAACCGATATGTTTCATGCCCCATTGTCTGAACAACAGATCCAAGTAATAAAGGCTCGATGCAGAAGTCCAGATGATCGCCAAGCGGGGTTAACAGCCTTGGAAAGGAGACAGAATTGTAGTCTGTGCAACGACACGACCAGGTCGACGGAAGTGCGAACTATTTATATCCCCTCTAATCCCGCGTCAATGCCGTTCCAACCTTACGATCATGAGGTAAGTGGGATACCTACTCGTCCTTGGCGCTTATAATAGCAGGTGCATGTTGCAATTTATCCGGCGGGTATACACACACGTGGACAATCCACAACTGGTCTTCGTCCCCTTAGTCTCATGCTTAGAAACGTCCTGCTATCGGCCATCGGAATTCGAAAAGAGTTCTCATAGGGTGATTCGCTCTTCCCTAAGAGGAATCGGCATTTCTGAGTCTTCTATGGACGTGCTTTTGTCTAATGGGGTTGAGCTACGTCTCACGTCCTTAGGGCGCAAATGTATTGCTTCATGCACGATCGGTGTTCGCAGCGCGGTATTGTGTTCGGATGACGATTTCGGCTTGAAGGGGTTCCCTTTATTACACACTTCGGGTTATTGTTTTGAATGTGTAAGTAGGAGCCATCCAATGAAGTTTATTCATATTTCGGCCGGACGAAGAGATATGGCCAGAGTCTTCAGGTCGTAGTCCGAAACTACCTTGCAAACGTGATTTCGTGTCTGAGGTATCTAAGTGCACACGGGCTGGGCTTTACAATGTCCTTAAGAGACACGGCTTGCTTAGTGGCACAGATATACCGACTCCCATGTAGGATCCAAATCGTCAGTCAGCCACCGCAAGCTTTGTGGCTTACCTCAGGTGTACGTCAGTGACCGACATCAATCAATCAGTGGCCAAGGCCCCTTGTTCTAGCTTCAATGTTTCACCGCGTTCTCGGTCCACAAAACTGTGTGTAGCAAAGTGTAGCTGTTTGGTAGGTTGGCTGAGCTACTATGTCGTTACTGTCGTGTCCTTGAAGCATGCGATCTGGGTCAAATGGTGTGACCCAACGCATGTGAGGTGGTAAAGGAACGAAAGGAAACAGGTGGTCATAGCTTTCAGCTCAGAAAGAAGAAGCCGCGGTCCGACCATGTCGTACACCGCAGATAGCCGCACCGCTATCATTATTACTTCCCCAGCGGACTTCCCTCCCAGACAACTGTCACTACATCCTTCTCGCAGGCGTATATTTGCTCCTGGCAGAAGCTGAGCTGCACAATGCCTCTCCTTAGACCCGCATTCCGGCTGTACACGCGCCAATTCCAGCGCTGCGCATACTCGACCGCACCGTCTCCCGTCATCAATGTTACAAATGTTCCCGCGCCACACTCAGGCAGCATTCGCATTTTGTCGCTCAATCGCCCGGCTGCACGCAATGCTATATCCCGCCAGTTGCTTGCAGAGTTGACACACCAAGTCAACAGCATACAAAATGAAGGAGAGACGGGCGCAACACGAGCTCTCATATTAGCTAGCGATGTAGACACAAGTTTCTGCGCAGGCGCAGACCTGAAGGAGCGCGCAACATTTACACAAGAAGAGTGAGCCTCCTCGGCCTTGATGGTAGCTTGATGCTAAATGCGCGCAAAGCACAGCAAACTTCCTAACAACATTACGTGGCACCTTGACCTCGATATCTCAGCTACGTGTCCCCACCATATCTGCGCTGGCAGCGCCCGCGTTCGGTGGCGGCCTCGAGCTCGCCCTAACAACTCACATGCGCGTTTTCGCCGCTAATACTACCGTCGCTCTCCCCGAAACCCGCTTGGCCATTATCCCCGGAGCAGGAGGGACCTACCGCCTCCCTGCTTTGATTGGCCTAGGCCGAGCGCGAGACTTGATACTCACAGGCCGAAGAGTCGGCGGACCAGAAGCATACTTCCTAGGCCTGTGCGACAGGTTGATAGACATCACGCAAGAAGAGGTACAGACAGAAGGTGCTGCGCGGAAAAAGGTACTTGAAGAAGCCGTAAAGCTTGCAAGGGAGATATGCGAGGGCGGGCCCATTGCTATCGCGGCCGCCTTAGCGGCGGTAGAGGGATGCGCGTTGGGTGAGAAAGCGGAGAATGCAGCCTATGAGCTCGTCGTCAAGACGAAGGATCGCGATGAGGCTCTAGCAGCCTTCCGGGAGAAGAGAAAACCGGTGTTCAAGGGACATTGAGTGTAGCCAGAACCCCCAGAAAATTATAAAGAAGGCAACTCCACGAAGCTGCTCATGCCTCCGTCGATTCTACTTACCATGTGTCTCTGGTCTGTGTCGTAAGCCCGCCTCACATCTTACTCTTGATCTCCTCCAACAGCTTCTGCAACTCTCCCTTATCCGCCTGCTTCGTCGGCCACACAATTCCAAGCCCCTCCTCCTTGTTCGGCTTCGGGATCAGATGGAAATGTACATGGTCAACCTCCTGGTGCGCAATCCTGCCGTTGTTCTGCAAGATATTGTAGTCCTCCACGCCTTGCGCCACGGCGATCTTCTTCGTTACGGAGAGAACTTCAGCAAGCTGGTCGTCGGGAATGTCATGGAGCTTTGCACCGTGGTGCTTGGGAATAATGAGCTATTTGAAGAGGCGTTAACTTGGGAAGCTATGGAAACAGGAGCCAGTACAGGGGAAGGGGCCAAGGGGACGTACAGAGTGGCCTCTAGAGAGAGGTCCGATGTCGAGGAACGCGAGCGTCTTCTCCGACTCGAAGAGCTTCAGGGACGGGATGTCTCCTGCGAGCGCAGATTAGCAGTCATCGGATCGGGCTATTGATGGAAATACCCTTGATGATCTTGCAGAAGATACAGGCCATTGTGGTGCTCAACGTGGGCTTCGTGTGACGTGATGTCTGGTAGCTGTTGTGAGGTTCGGCGGTTTGGAAGTGCGGGCCGAGAGGTGGGGTGGAAGGTGCCATGTGGGGTACGTGGGTGCGTGGGTACCTAGGTAGCTGCGCAGACACGTGGAGGGCAGTTCTTGCCGAGCATCTTGTGCTTTTCCGTTTCGACAACTCATCTCCTATTGTACTATACACCAAGGGTAGCATCAATTTGCTGGTACAGCTTTCAGGTGCTCCGCATCATCTTGAACTACACAGGGATTGATGCCACATTTTGGATTTTGTAATACTGGTCTTTATCATGCATATCGTCAACCCACGACGGCCAGAACATGGTTGTCTGAGTCGCGACATAGCCTTTGGTGCCCTTTCACGAGGAGCGATGAGTATCAACAGAATGGAGAACGTCGACTAGTAATCTTGGATGGTTCAAGATATCAAAAATGTGTGGAGCTTATGTAATGCGCGCTACTGTGAGGTGGACCCACCTGGGGCACCTCTATCAATCATAACTTCCAACACGCCGGGTTGTCTTCACCGACACATACTTCGGCCTTCTGTTTCTTACCATGCCTTCAAATGGTCTCGCACTCAGTATTAGAGCTGCCTACTCGTCTTGACGATGCCCTGGTGCGTTCGGAGGAAACCATCCGCGTGCCGACAACGCCAAATCCGATTCCACGGAGCGGCGCAGCGCATTACTCCGCTCTCTGGGCACCCTTCCGAGGTAATGACACGGGAACTCGTGCCTTGCAACCAGGTCTTATTGTCGGCCTCAAAGCTACACAGCACAGCTACGTCCGCGCCTGCGTTCACGAGTCACATATGAGGCATTTCCTGGTGGTGTTCAATAGCAGAGATATACCTGAATCGAGTATTGATTGGTTGGCTCAAGTCCTTTCGGTTTGAAAGGAATTGCTGCGGCACAGTTTTCAGGACTTTCAGAATGCTAATGCCCGTCGAACGAATTGCGACCCTGGAACGGCTTCTGCAAGAACGGACCCGAGAATTACGCCCAGCACGCGGAGCACGCCTTACCATGATTAGCTTGGCCAGGTCAATCCCCAGAAGTATCGAGAGCAGGAGGTGCTAAATGAAGGCTACCCGCGCTCAGAGCAGGCGAAGCTAACTATCGGGCGGAGCATCCTCCCGTGCCGTGGATCCTCCTGAAAGCGTTCACCAGCCACGCCCACATTTAGAACTAAGAGAAATGCTTGCGCAGATCGTATTTGCCCGACTCTCTTGAGCCACATTTGCCCTCAAACGGCTGAAGTATTTTCAAGGCATCTCTAGCGCAATGCCCTATCAATGCTCCGGCGGCGTTGCGGCACAGCAGCGCCATTCAGGTACGACGTGCCGCGCGAAGTTATCGAGTAATTTCTCAACACAAGCCAGAGCAACTGGGAGGAATGGATCTCGGGGTCCGCGAACTGAACTTGACGCGTACCCAAGAGAGTTGCTGCTACAAGAGCCGCACCCCAAGGTTTCGTTTTATATTGGACACCGGCCAAGTTCACGACCATCATGTTCGCTGGATTTCAAAGTAGGCCGCACAAAGTGGTTTCAGAGCACTTGCATGATCCTATTGCGCACGTGCAGGTGTTCTCACCAATTACAATGCCGCTTACCTATAAACTTAAGGCCCTTGAGTTGTCCTATCGACCTCGTTCGGAATCCGGAAATTTGCAAGACACCTCAAACAACGGACCAACAATGCGCGCGGTGTGCATCGCCCCCACGGACTACGCTTCTTGTAAACGCACGCGAACCACTCAGCACGCGCGAACTTTCACACTTCGGAGTGTGGCACAGTCAGCGCCACCTTTATGTCAGCAAACTCGACCAATAACAATTGGGACTGCCTTGTCCGTTTGTACGTGAGCCACAGTGCTCTCGTATTTTGGTGTTAAGCCTGATGACTTCTCTGACGGAGTCTTGTAGGGAGTGCTCGGATGTCTAATCTCCTGACACAGGACTCACGCAGGACTCCATACCGCAAGACAGGATGATGTACCTACCCTTCTAAGCTCAAACTACGCCTCTGAACCCCGGTCGTGGTTTCATTCTGGAAGAATGTCAGATGCGGCCCGGCTGGATCCAGATGTTCCTCTCGGGCAGGATGCCTAAACGAAAACATTGTGGTTATAAGATGGCTGATCGACGCCACTCTTCGAATCTCCACTAGCATCAGCATCAGCAACTTCTTCATCTTCTTTAGCCTATACCCAATCTTGACTACCGGTTAGTCGTCCACTCATTGCACACTTGCACTTCCTACACTCTCTTTGAAACAATGTTTTCCCGCAGCCTTTTCAGCGCCATCGCGCTTCAGACCCTCGTTTCCACCGCTATGGCCGGTAATGCCATCATCAACAACCACTGTGGTTACGATGTCACCGTCTTGTAAGCCTTCATTGAACCCAGCGCGACAGAAAAGATCTAACGTGGATACAGGAGCACCGCTACCAACGCTCAAGCCCCTATCCCTGCTGGTGGCTCCTGGTCCGAGGGCCTCCAAGGTCACCAGTCGCTCAAGATTGCCAAGGACCCCAACCTCATGTGGGCACACGGCATCACCCAGTTCGAGTACTCCGTCGCCGACACCCTCTGGTACGACACCTCGCTCATCGACTGCGTGAACTTCGGCGCCGATGGTGGCGTCGATGGCGCCAACTGCGCCGGTTACGACGCCGGTATCCGCCTGGAGGCCAGCGGCGGCACTTGCGCTGTTGCCAACCTCCCTCCCAACACGCACGACCCTGCTCAGGCCTACTTCGTCTGGAACGACGATTTGGCCACCAAGAGCTGCCTTCCTGGAGAGATTGGCGGTGACATCACCATGACTCTCTGCTCTGGTGGAGGTGCTAAGAGGAGTGTTGCTGGCCGCATCCAGTACTAGGTGGGAGGATTGGCTTTTGGAATGTTTGGATGAGGGCTATGATTTGAGTTTGATACCATATTCACATGTTTTGTATTGTTAGCTTTTGAATATAGCTGAAATTAGATTTGACAACGTCGGAACTTCTGAGCACCAACTGTCGTGACTCGTGTTACCAATATCGGTCGAGCTCTTGGTGTCAAGAGGCATAGCTCATTGCGTCTCAACACGGTTGAAAATTGGTGTGCGAATAGCAAGTCTTTCCTAGTACTGGCGAACAGACATTTTTGTCATGACCAAGCATTATATTCTCGAAGAAAGTCGAAGGTGTGTGTCGGATTGGATAGATCTCGGTGTTGGTATGTAGTGTACACTACTGATAGTGATTCACCGCTTGGCTTGGCTGGTTCCATAGCTCTATTGCAAGTAATAGTGATAAAGATCATCCGCATAGCGAGGGTGGACTTGATGCGAGTTGTACATCCAACTCTACTCCCGCTGAAATGGCTTATGAGAGGCCTCTGACATGTTGAGGAGAGCAAAACGTGCCTTTCTAGAAGGAAAGTCGAAAACCATGCCCCTATCCGATCGTATCATTCGTTTAGAGTAGTTTGACAAGATTAACACCTTGCTAGAGGCTGCACGCACGGACAACTATAGATGCGACCATATTGCTTGATTAATGTGTTGGTCATATGCAAGACAGTACTCGAAGCTTGCATGGCCCTTCAATGAGCTGTTTGAACGAATCTTGAACACCGCAATGAGACTGCTCCAAAGATATTGACTGTTGTTCGGATTATGTTGACAGTATCGGCGCTCAGGTGCGCTTCAAGCTCTGCACAAAAGAAAAGCAGCCAGATCGGTCGACATGACAAACCTCGTAGGGTGCCAGGAAGAAAAGCATGCCTTCGAAATGTATTCTTCGTATTTGCATGGGTCAGTGATTCCCGAAAGATGACCGAAAGAACGAGTCTTTGCCCAACCAGTCTTTGCATGGCTTCTCCCAAGGCAGCCTGTTCCTCTCACATTCGGACAAATTGTAGAAGTTCCATGCCACGAAGCACATGACACTGAATGCCAAGGTGATGAGCAGAAGAAGAGAGGTGACTAGGAAAGCTCGAGAGCAGGATCCGCGCGGGCCACGGGAGCCGTGAAAGTGGTGTATCTCAACGGTATGAATTGCACCATAGCCAGCGGGATACGCCGGCGGGTCCGCTTCGATGACAACCGTCTCCCGTCGTGGCTGCTTCGATTAGCGACCGAGGTGCCGCAGTTCTGGGTTTCTTACCGACATGATGTCGTTGATATTGTGCGAATGGTGGTAGCCGGGTTATCGTTCGAGAAGAGGAAGCACGCTAAGAATGTCGAGAAAGCGTGCACGTGATGGCGTGATGGCGGGGCGTTGCAAGGAACATGGACTGCAGTGAAACCAGCAGCGAGCTTACTTGTTCGTCACGTCAAGTATTATGCGCTGTCATGCACAAAGCTCAGATAGTCGACAAAATGGATTTGCTTTCGCTGTAGATGCTATATCAATTACATGAGTGTAGTCAACCCGAAGCGCATGCAAGCGTTATCGAGAAGCACACCTAGGAGACACACAAGGCATGATGCGATGAGTTTGAAGGCACGTCCAGTCGAGGCAAGTCTCTTGTGGTCTTTTTCTGCACGGGGGTATGGCTGCCTGTTACCATCGAAAGTTGGGGTCAGGTGAGCACCAGCAAACCTTGGAAGTCATCCCGACGTCCAGGTCGAGGAGACGCACCACCGACGGGGCCAGAGTATCGTGTGTGGGACTCGGCGTGGCTTTCAAGCATTTACCTGGCCGGAGCACGAGCCTGGTCGCCAATACCTGACGAATCGTCAACCACGATTATGTATCTCCGAGTGGCACACGACTTCCTGGGGCCTAGAGCATCCAAGTGGAGCATTGCGAGATGAGTTTGGTCGGCGGCGAGGACGACGGAAGAGCCGCATCCCAATTTGGAGCATCGCCGTTCCAGTCACACGGGTAACTGACTCTCTGGAGCAAAAATTTCCCCGTTCCAGATCTAGACCTGGGTCTCGGAGCGCGGTACCATGATTCTCTCGATGCGCTCGTGGGGACCATGGTGTTGAGGGCGTGGAAATGCCGAGCAAAGGCAAGCAGAGTGCCGTTGCCGATGCCGGAAGGAGCAAAGGTTGTGCAGGTTCAAGCCCCCACCACGGGGCCTGTCCCCAGCCCTGGAGTGCGACTTTGACGCAGCACTAACGATTTCCCCATGGAGAAGCACCTCCAAGAGAGGCCTCTCACGAGCGCATGCGACGCGCATCGCATCTTGCAATGGCGGTGGCCAGTCGCCGCACAAAGGAGGGCGAGCTGGCGGGAGGAAAGCCTGGAGGCAGCCAACAAAGGCCCGCTGAGACGAGCGACATCATGTGCAGGCGTTCAGGGTTCTCCACATGTCGCAGGCGGCAAAGGGGCACAGTGGCGGCGCCAACAACGCCGCGGGCAAATCATCGCACGCACACGCGCCTTCTCCAGACACGCCTCGTCCAGGCGCCTTTCAGCTCCAGCGTCGACCAGAAAGGCATGTGGCATGCGGTACGGACTTGCATGGTGCCGCAACGATCCAACCACCCGGCCCGCGGGCAGACGGGCCAATCAAGCTGGACGTGCGACACGTACTATAGTATGTCCGACAAGCTTCGCACAAGCTAGCCAAGGCAGGCGGTCAGGTGTTCAGCCGAGTGTTTTTCTCTGACGGGCAACGTGATGGGCACGGGAGGAATCCTGCAGCGGCTCGGACTCGGGGCAGGGATCCAGTGAGCGCCGGCCAACGCGAGGCGCAATCTCCAACCACACTGTCCCAGATTGCCTCCTCGGCCCTCGCCAGCCATGTCGAGCAAGCAACCTAAGGCCTCCAGACGGCGGTTGCTTGACCACGCTTGGCGACGCCCCAGCTCCACCGCACGCCTTCCCCAGCTGGGTACCCCATCCTGGCCCGGACCACCTGTTGCATCTGCATCCCGTCTGGAGTGCCATCCCCGGACCACCAAACCCACCGCCTCACCATGCCTTGGACCGTCGACACACGCTTGCAACACGCGAGCTGTTGACATGCAGTGAGACGCCGTGCAACGTCTACAGCACCCCGTCGCGATCCAATCCCCGCGCCGCCATGCCCAACCGCCGGGAGAGAGTGTGGAGGAACCCTTGTGAGGGGCCCCTCTGAATCCTTCTAGAAAGACGGGACGCGGAGCATCGCCCTAATCAGGCTAGCACCACAGGCACAATGTTACTGTACCCATGATCGAGAAGCCACCGAGCTACCGTATCACGGCCCCGGCCCCTTCATGTTAAAAGGAACAGGCCCTGCACCTGCTACCTGCCCGTCCAAGGCCTTTCAAGCTCCCTCAGTTCCATTCTCGCGACCTGGGCCTGCCTACCCATCCTCCTCTTCTTTACCACAACCTCAGCACCCATCCGCAGCCATGCCTGGTGGAGGAGTCGTTGCCGTTACCGGCACCACCGATGTCAATCGCGTCGAGGCCCCCGTCACCGTGAGGGCCTACCTCATTGTCGCCTTCGCCGCATTTGGAGGCATCTTCTTCGGATATGACACTGGTTGGATGGGTGGTGTCCTCGCCATGCCCTACTTCATCAAGCAGTACACTGGCCTCGCCTATCCAGAGGACACCGGCCTGACTGGCCAGGCCCTGGACGCCTACACCAAGAACTTTGTCGTTACCCCCTCCCAAGTCTCTCTGACCACCTCCATCCTGTCTGCCGGTACCTTCTTCGGTGCCATCGTTGCTGGTGATATTGCCGACTTCATTGGCCGTCGTCTGACCATCATCATTGGCTGCCTCATCTTCGTCGTCGGTGGTATCCTCGAGACTGCTTCTACCGGTCTGGGCGTCATGGTGGCTGGCCGTCTTGTTGCTGGTTTTGGTGTTGGTTTCATCTCGTCCATTGTCATCTTGTGAGTGCACTCTCGAGGCTTGCACTGCTCCGCAGCTGACTTGTATAGGTATATGTCTGAGATTGCTCCTCGTAAGGTTCGCGGCGCCGTCGTTGCTGGCTACCAATTCTGCATTACTATCGGTATCCTGCTCGCCAACTGCGTCGTCTACTCGACCCAGGCCCGCAAGGACACCGGTTCGTACCGTATCCCCATCGCCGTACAGTTCCTGTGGGCCATCATCCTCGGTACCGGTCTCGTTCTGCTCCCCGACTCCCCCCGTTTCTTCGTGAAGAAGGGCAAGCTCGACAAGGCCGCCGCGGCTCTCGCCCGCGTCCGTGGCCAGCCAGTTGACTCGGAATACATCCAGGACGAACTTGCTGAGATCATCGCCAACCACGAGTACGAGATGTCCATCATTCCCCAGACCAGCTACCTTGGTTCGTGGAAGTCTTGCTTCGAGGGCAAGATCAGCTCGCCATCTTCCAACGCTCGCCGCACTACTCTTGGTATAATCTTGCAGATGATGCAGCAGCTGACTGGTATCAACTTCATCTTCTACTTCGGTCCCATCTTCTTCAAACAGCTTGGCACCATCAGCAACCCCTTCTTGATCTCGCTTGTTACGACCCTCGTCAACGTCTTGTCTACCCCCTTCTCCTTCGTCATGGTTGAGAAGATTGGTCGCCGTAACTTGCTCGTCTTTGGTGCCGCTCTCATGGTCCTCTTCCAGTTCATCGTCGCCATCATTGGTGTCACTGCTGGAAAGCCGGAGAACAACAACCCCAACGCCACCCGGGCCATGATTGCCTTCATCTGCTTGAACATCGCCTCCTTCGCCACTACCTGGGGTCCCTGCGCCTGGATCGTCATTGGTGAAATCTTCCCTCTCACCATCCGTTCCCGCGGTGTCGGCCTCTCCACCGCCTCCAACTGGTTCTGGAACTGCATCATCGGTGTCATCACCCCCTACCTTGTCGCTGACCAGCCGCACTCTGCTAAGCTGGGCTCCAAGGTCTTCTTCATGTGGGGCGGACTCTGCGTCATCTCCTTCCTGTTCGCCTTCTTCTTCGTTCCCGAGACAAAGGGGCTTACTTTGGAGCAAGTCGACAAGATGTTGGAGGAGAGCACCCCCCGTACGTCCAGGGCCTGGAAGCCGCACTCCACCTTCGCCGCCGACATGCATCTTGCCGAAAAACACATCGAGGTTCCCGTCTCGACCAAGGAGGTCCACGAGCCCAAGTCCGAGGTCTAAGCTTGCTTACCTCGCGTATAACGCGTTACGGTCGGGCTACGTTGGATTGGTGGGATGAGATCCTGAGTGCATGTTTGTGATGATGCTGTATATGTAATAGTGAGAAGCCTCATTGATTGTGGTGGCTCGCGTATATCGATAGTCTATTATTATACCACGGAGCTGGCTTTTGCCTGTCTCCATACTTATCCGACATGTCCTTGATCATATCGTGAACCATGTTATTGTGTTTGCTCACTCAAGCAAATCTGCTCTGATTATCCTTGACTTCTGGTTGCGCAATGTCGCCAACGGTGTTCGCTCATTCTAAGTTTGCTCCAAAATGTAATCACGTGCTAAAAAGCTTACCTACATTTCGATGCCAACAAGCCAAGGATGAGTTATTCGAAGACACAATGCATCCAACCCCTCCGCGTCTCGCGTACCCTAGAACCGACTTCTGTCCAATCGGACCCACCTTGAGCATCCTCATGATCTTCCGACTCTGATCCAATCGGCTAGGCCTGTATACATACACATGCCTCAGGTACTGCTCCATCTCGCCTACACAAAAATAAACGCATCTTCCAATGGTACTCTGCTCGCTTCAGCAATCACCTCCTTCACTGCATTACCATGTCGGACCGAACATCCCTCAAGAGACGCCAAAGGGATGGCTCAATTTACGCGACATAACGCCCACGTGTGACGGGTACAACCTTGGAACCCCAATGGGACCCAGGCCCGAGATAGGCGATTAGCGTACACCCGGCCATAGCGCTTGCACTCTCTAGACTGCATGGACTCCCGGCCGCCTCACACCTGCGTTACACAGAAGGGAGCGGGGCGTGCAGCAGGCGAAGTCGGGCCTTTGTCTGTGCTATACGGATGTTCCCTTCGTTTTGGAATACGAGAGGTGCGACGGTCATCTATGGCTAGTCTTTCAAACATGGAAATGCTAGTGTACCTGCCATACGCAATCAAGTTAAGATTAAACAGGGCTAGCAAGTGTAATCAAGTCTTACTGTTCGGTGCCACTCAGTGTACGTTTTAGGCCCCCAATTTACGTTGCACAGGAGATAGGCTTGGAATCTTGTGCTGCCAGCTTCTCGGCCGGGTGGCACGGAAACTCAGATACTGTAGATGTGAATGACTTCGATAAGGTCTCATTGTGCGTATGGCAACTCGGAAAAGGTCGGATGATGATACGTTGAGGGACGCTGTACGTGCGTCGAGGTTACCTCAATGGCAATCTGGTCCGGCATAAGCGTTCCACGAAAGGCTTGAAGAGCACATTGAGGGACATTGTAACTGTGTTGGATCACAGAGCAGATATAGAAGACGTACGAGAAGAAGTATGCCTGATAATGTTAGCGTGAAGAGCATTGAAGGTTCGCATGTTGAAGTAGATCTACCCCATTCTCACGAAGATTCAACAGAGGCCCTCAACGCAAAGTCCCGGCAGTCTCCGCCCTAAGCAAAGGCCGGTATGCATATGCCATATTGCAACCTTCTACAAAGTACGAAGCCCTGTCCCCGTAATTGACTGCTAGCATATCTCCATCCTTCTCGGTGCATCAAGGCTCACTGCGAAGCCCCCGTAACAACCTTCTCCCTCAAAAACCCCTCCACAGCAGGCTCTTCCTTCCCGTCAATCTGCCGATCCAACCTCTTCTCCTCTTCGCTCTTCTCCGGCTTCTTCTCCTCGGCCTTCTCCTCCACTTTCTCCCCATTTCCGCCTACAAGCCCCGTCACCGCACCCGCTGCCGAGCCTACCGTCGACGTAACCGTCGCTGTGGCAGACGCAGCAAGAGACTTCGCCTGGTCAAGGTAGCCTGGCGCAGGAAGTTCCTCAGACTGCACTGTTACGTCCTTGGGCGCTTGCCCCACGGTGCCGGGCTCCATTGTTACGGTCTTGTCACCATGGCCGTGGTCATTCACCGCAGATTCGGGCGTGCCTTCTGTGAGTTGACCTGAGGCGTGTGTATGCGCTTGCTGCTCGTAGCGCGTGTCTGAAGTACCCTCACGGGTGGGCAGGTCCGACGTGTCAGCCTGCGGAGCGACCTTGGGGGTGGAAGAAGGTGTGGGGCTGTCGGAGGGCGGGTTCAGGGTATCGGGGTTGGGGACTTCGGAATCGGCGGGTTGCGTGTGCGTTCCGGCTGTTGTGAGGGCAAGTTCTTTCTCGGTAATGGGGGTGTTGACCACAGGCATGCTGGAGGTGGATTTGCCGTTGATGGGCCTGGGGATGGTGAAGACGGTTCTATGTCGAGGTTGTGCGTTTTCCTGGCCTACGGCTACAGCTATGAGCTCACCGTTCTCGCCAGTTTCCCATGCGATTGGCCCAATAGGCAATGTGTTCTTGCCGTTTTGTACATTGGGGTTCTCCCATTTGATCGCTGCGTCTATGCCCGGCTCGAGATTCGGCATCTGGCCCCACTCGAAGTCCAGGTTGCCGCCATACTTCTTGGGGATGTTATCGATGTCGATGTACTGAATTAGGGTTGGCAGGACGTTTGCGGGCGAGAGGATGAAGATCTTGGACACGGTGATGGGGTCGAACCAGCGCTTGACCCAGCCCCATACGGTAGGGAAGAAAGCAGGTGCACCAATGATGAATATCCTGTCCAGTGTCTCTGGGTAGTGTGCCGTCGCTAGAGTGGACGCATCCTGCATGTGCCCTTTTAGGTTCCAAAACTGCTTCAAGCCCACTCCGCTGATGTCCACTATATTGTTACTTTGCGAAATAGGGGTCTCGGGGTGACTTCGTTGGACGTTGGAGCATAGAGGTAGGACGAAGCGCGTTAGCGACTCGTACAGCGCGAAGAGGCGAAGGTTCTTGGTCGCTACTTTTGGTGACGTCGTTTTCGCGTTCTTCAGCTCCTTCTCGTAGGAAGAGATATTCTTCGAATTGAGCGGCGCAACTTCGAAGAGGTAGACTGGAATGCCGCGCTTGTCGCGTCGACCGAGCCATTGCGGATACTGTTAGAGGGCATCCGTCAGCTTTAGCCTCGCGCAACGAGCCAGGGTGGCATACCAGTCTGCGCGTAGCCTCGAACTCGTCTACGTCGATGTTGAAGAACAGGTCATTGATGCCATGTTCTTTACGCCAGTCTTCCGTGTCCTTGAACTGCTTGAAGGCCTCGGTGGGGACGAAACGACGCGCACGGAGGAAGCGCCTGGATGCAGTCAGTACCCCGCGCCTTTGGTAGCCTCAGATGCTCACAGCAATGTCTCATCATCGTGACTCGCCTGCGTCGTTCCGTCTGCGCTGGCGGGCGTGTAGTATCCTTGCTCCTGGGATATGCGTTTGAATTCGTTGAGCTGTGCCTGCTGGTTGTCTGAAAGATGCGCAAAATGCCCTGACGGGTACTGGAACGACTCGACGCGGGTGAGGTCTGCCATGGCGACCTTGGGCTAAGGGTGGGATAGATGTATCGAGCGAACGCGACTCCTATGGGGAGAAGTGTAGAGGATATAAGGTTACTTTAGGGCGCCATGTCGATCTGAAATTGTGGAATAGTGAGCGCCCTGCGGCGGGTAGCGGCAGCTCAGTGATGCGATGAGTCTAGTCCTAGCGCACCGTCGGGGTCTGCTTACGCCGGCCGAGTCTACCTAACAAGTAGGACATAATCCAGCTCGGCGAGCGCGCGGAAGCCCGCAAACCGTACGTCCGTGCAGGCTCTGTACGCCGCGTCGCTATACGGCCCGCGTCTAGCCAGCACGTGCACTGCTCGAACAAAGTTCCTTATCGATAAACACATTTCCATCAATTCGCCATAGGCACCGCTTGCACGACCATCACCTCCCCCTCCATCACTTCTCTCATCCATTCCCTCTCCCAGAGCCTTCTCCCACACAACCTCTCCACACACAGCCCACCATGGTCCGCCACAAAAAAGACTTCAAATCCAACAACAAGCACAAAATCGCGCCCCGCAACCGCCCACCTCCACCTCGCCGCACCACCGGCTCCGACCACGAAAACGAAAGTGATGCCGCTGACTCCGCCGTCCCCGCCCCTCCAGAGCCCCCAAGCCCGCATGCTGGGATCTCGGCCACTGCGACGCGAAGCGCTGCTCCGGCAAACGTCTTATGCGCCTTGGTCTTCTGCGCGAACTGCATGTGGGCCAGAAGTTCGCGGGCGTGGTCATCTCTCCGAAAGGAAAGAAAATCGTGTCGCGGGAAGATGCGCCTCTTCTCGAGCAATACGGTGCCGCCGTTGTAGAAGCATCTTGGAATCGTATCGAAGAAGTCCCGTTCTCGCGCATCGGTGGGCCCTGTTCGAGGTTACTCCCGTACCTTGTCGCCGCGAACCAAACAAACTACGGAAGGCCGTGGCGTTTGAATTGTGTGGAGGCCATTGCGGCGTGCTATTATATCTGTGGGCATGCGGACTGGGCGGAGGACATACTGTCGACCTTTTCATATGGAGAGGCGTTTTTAGACATCAATGCTGCACTCTTGAAGCGGTATGCAGCGTGCGCGAATGAGGAGGAGATAAAGAAGGCCGAGGAGAAGTGGTTGGCGAAGCTCGAGAAGGAGTACCAGAAGGACAGAGAAGAGAAGGAAGACGGTGAAGAAGACATATGGGCGGGAGGGAATGTGAATAGGCGACAAATCGACTTCTCTGATGATGATGACGATGACGATGAAGATGAAGACGATGACGGCGAGGCAGAAGAGGGAGGAGCTGCACAGAATCCGTACAACCTACCTGACTCGGATGATGACGAGGAGGAAATGGCTGAGCTGCGGCGGCGCGTTTTGGCCTCGAAACCATTCGCCAATCCAACGCCGAAGGAAGATGTGGAAGAAGACGAAAAGAAGCAGCCCGAACGAATAGCGACGGCAGAGCCTGCTCCAGCAGCGAAAGCTGTCGGTGAAGACGACAGCGGGTCCGCGTCTGAAGGAGGTGACGATGACGATGATTTCGATAGCTTCATGGCGGCGCAGCCTACGACTGATCGGACAGGCATCACTGGAAAGCAGAGACAGAAGGCCCTAGATAAGGTGACTGCGACATTCACGAGTACGAGTCTGAACGCGCCCAACAGACGGAGGGGCTGAATGTCAAGTAGTTGATAAGGCATACGCTTATAGCCACAAGACCAATGTGCTTCCACAATCGACTATTGTAATATTCAGCAGAGGACAAAACCGCATACTCGGGATCTTTCCTTTGACAAAAGGATAAATCGTAATCGATCAAAATGTTTGATTTGACAGGCTATGCAAGTAGCGAAGTGCTCCAGCAATGCGTAATTTTACTTCATACTCCGGTCGAAAATGAATTGCCTCTAGCATGATCGGGGCCTGTCAAAATTCAGCATCTCTCCCCACCTCTGAAGTCCAGGCATCGCAGAACGTCCAGTCGCCACGTAACGTTTAGTTTACATGGGGAAAGATGTTCTGGGCATTTGCAGGCCTCTTGAGGATCCATGTCCTCCAGGTCGCGTTCATCCAGTACCCTGTCTTGACTGGCATCCGTTTGATCGTTGCCCTGCACCTGATTTCCGCCAGCGTGATTCTTGCCAGTTACTTGGGCTTGTTGCGAGCTGCTGCTCTTGAAGAAGCTCATCACATCCTCCCACCATACACTCGTTTGCTGCCAGCCACGTCCCAAGCTTTGGTTCAACTTGCTGTTCCGCCACCAGCGTCGGATTTTTCCATGTTTCAATTCCTAACGAAGCAGACAGGTTATCGTTACTACACCGAAAATGCCTAAGCCAGTGACAACCCAACATACCCATGCCGTCCTGCCCTGTCTTTCAAGTTGTGCGGCCGTCCCGTTTGTGGCGCGGGCTAGAGGTGCGTAACGTGGTTCCTTGTGGTTCTACTTGCTGTCTGACGGTTTGGGAATCCTGAACGGATGTGCTTCGGTATTGAATACTAAGTCAAGTCAGGGCCCATTCCAAGCTACTCGGCGTGAGGCTCGGACTGGGACTTACCGTAGTCATCGAGAGAGATAGTATTGGGGTCAGAAAAGAGGAGATAAAAGTACTTCAGTGTTTCTGCCATCCAAAAGGACTGAATCAGTCAGCAAACTGTGTTGAGCATCACACATCATCTCAACTCACTTCCATGGAATCCGCCCTGGGTGGTCTTTCAGCCGACACATCCTGGAGCGCCGAATTTCCAATATCGGTGTCCGTGGCCTTCATAATCGCGGTCCACATATCCCACCCCGCAGCTTGCCAGCTTTGCTCGCCAGTAAGGCGGTACATGATGAAGACACTCTCTATTGCTTCGGGGCGTAGTACATAACGCCTGTCACCAATCGCTGTGAATCCTTTGGGCAAACGAAGGCCAGCAATGTTCTGCGTTGTATCTTTCTCGTTGTTCAGGTTGGCACGGGAAGCTACCTCGTCTTTCCACTTATTTTCGTCCCACTTGCAGTCGGTCATGTTCTCGCACTTGTAGAGATGTGATACCTCGGGCATGATGCCAGCGGGAGATGACTTGTATGCCCATACACAGGTATCCGTGAGCTTGCGACCAATCGAAACGTGGTCGCTCTTGTCGAAAAGTTTTCCTCCCAAAGCGAACATACCTCCAGCGTAGCAGGACAGGTGCTGGAATTCGGGATTCAAATACGCCTTGCCCTCCTCGGAGCGGACGAAGCCTGTGCCGAGCATGTCAGGATCTCCAGGGATCATAGGGCGATAGAGCGTGTATTTGACGGCCGCATCCATTGCCTTTTCGTACATGCTCTTGTATGTGTTGTCGGTACCGCCGAGAAGCGCGTACGCCTTGGGCAGGTATTCGTAGGCCGAATCTGCCATGGAACCGAGTGAGAAGCCAGTATCCTGTGTGAGATCGGTTCTTCTGGGGTTGACGACAATGGGCCACATGCCAGGAAGCCTTGTCTTCATTTGGTCCTTTTCGAGCACCTTCACAACACGGTTCGCCGCATCAAACCACTTTGGGTCGCCTGTTGCCTGAGAGAGGCGGACGAATTCCAGTGTGAAGGAGCCCAGTTCGGCAATGAGTACGTTCTCCTCAGCGTCTTGCTTCTCGCCCTGGCCTGCTTTGTGGAAGTCCCAGCGGGTAAGAGGCATATTGTTGGGCGTGTCGAATGCATGGTAAAGCATCTCGCCTATCTCTTTCGCTTTGTTCAGAATGCGGTCCTCCCGGCTAAGTTCCCAGGCTGAAAGCAACCCGCCCAGGTGTCGAATGTTGGTCTCAAACATGTTGACCTTCTCCATGTTGGTGTAGCCAAAGTCGATAGCCTCAACATCCTTGATGGCCGAGATGAACTCTTCTCTGGCACCCATGATCCACAGTGTGTCTAAGCTATCAACGAGAGTAGCTGCCCATCCCCCAAAGTCGTCTGTGTACCCACCAGCAATTGGGGTGAGTTCGTCGTGCAACCAGGCCTTGGCGCGGTAGTTCTTCCAGCATTTCAGGAACTGCTTCTTGACTTCTGCTTGTCTCGATTCGCGGATTTGCTTCGAAGTCGTCGGTTCGTTCTTGAAGTCGTGCTGTATGCGGGGAAGTGACTTTGGCGCATCGTTCGGCAGCGGCGTCATGTCTTTGACCGGATAGTGCATGGGGATCTTTGCCCAGTCATAGGACTTGTAGTCGTGGTGCTCAGGGCTCACAGCACCCTCGCTGGGCGGGCCCTGTCCAGGCTCATAGGGGAAGCTTAGCTGGTAGAGGAAGAACAGGAAGCCTGCAGAGAGGGCGAGGTAGGTGCCGTAGCGTCGAAGAAGAGCCATTATGAATGTGTATCAAGGTATAAACGACATGAAGAGAAGAATAATAAAAGCGACTGGGGGTGTAGTGCGATGCGGTGTCCTTCGGAGATAGAAAGCTTTGAGGCTGACGGAGCGTCGGCAGCAGGCTACCTCTGCCTGCATGTCCCTGCCAAGCCGGGAACCGTAGCCCCTGTTTGCGGACAGTGCGCTGCATAGGAATAGCATACTGCTCATCGCCCGGCACACGGCTACACGTACTGGGAAGCCTTTGTTCTGATGTTTCGGGTAGGCGCGACATTGCGCGTTGGTCTTGGTAGGGTAATCGAAGGTCTTGGCTGTGTCAATGTTGATCCGTTGCGTATGAGCAAGGGCTGCATTCCAACCTAGTTCGATGCCTCTAATTTACCTCCGAACGTACTACAAGGTTCGAATGTTCGTTTGACACGAGACCGTGCGCCGCGAGTCGATTGCACACATACTCATGACAGAAATTCATTCAGCCCAACGGCGGCACGACGCTCTCCAGCCAACAGGCCGCTCGCATACAGCGTGTGGTATTGTTTTCTTGGCCCTCTTGCGAGGAATTGCCCGAGTCAAGACCTCCAGCGTCATCCCCGAGGCCGTGCATGAACAGAGTTTCCAGGGGCACCAAGAGTCAAAGGAAAGCGGCAACTGTCGAAGAGACTGATACAGCTCGTGTAGGTTTCGACTGCATTGACGGAGAGCGGACAAATTGCTGCTGAAGTACCATCGCGCCAGTTCACTTGAAAATGTACCCCGCCCTCCAACGCGTGATCATGTGAGCTGCCCCGACTTCCGACAGAAGATGCTTCGACGGCTTTTGACTTTCCAACACATCGCAACCATGCCACACGTCGAAGTCCTCCCTAATTCAGCTACTCAAATTGCGCCAGGATGGACTTATGTAGTGGACACTGGCTATGACCCCTCCAAAATCGCCATAAACCCTAAGAACAAAAAGCGCGCTGCCGCCAATCCCAACCAGCGCGGCGAAAATGAGCTCAGCTCGCGACAGCAGACGGCCATCGCACGGCGCATAGCAGAGCTGAACCGAGACAACGATCCGAAGCAAATCATATCAATACCCGGAAAGACTTGTGCGCGCTTTCTCTTCACAGGCTTTCAACTAACGCCGCGCTGACCTGTTCTGTAGCCATTCCCAAGACGCAGAATGCCCGAAGAATTATACAATACCAGAGGCAGATCAAGCACTGGCTCGACGATGAGGAAGCTCAGCTCGCGCTGGTTCAACAGGCACCGCTACCGCGGTCCGCGACGACCGCGTCCCGCTTAGCAGCTCAACCGCTGCGACGAACTTCCACCGTACCACCTACACCCTCTGAGCTGACTCCTGCCCCGGCTGCGCCTACGCCGAACAAGCCGATGTCCTCGCGCATGGACCTCGATGATGATCCACTCCTTGCCATCGACAGCTCTATGCCACTGCCGATCAGCCAGCCCGATCTCGACGCTCTGCTTTCTGCGCCCCCGCTATCGTATGCTGCCTCGCATGTTGCTGCTCCTGCGCCAGGGGGGCCTCCGCAACGACACTTTTGCGACAACTGTGGTTATTGGGGTAAGATCAGGTGTCTGAAATGCGGGGCGAGAGTTTGTGGCATGGAATGCAAAGACGCGCATGAAGCGACTCGCTGTTTGAAGTGGACGTGAGATGTCAAGGCAGAATTCGGACGAGACGTAAAAGACAGCTCGGGATAAGAAGGTGCGTAGTAGAAGCTAACATCTGGCGTTATGGCATGCAACAGTTGAAGATACCCATGGGAAGCTCTTCATAATAGGTACGGAATGTCATGTATAGTACTTGACGCGCACAGCGTACTCATGTTGACGTTAAGATATATGTCAAGGCAAGTAAAAGCTAGCTGACCCACGTAGCTTGGAAATTGGGGCCATTGCGACCAGCGAAGATGAGGGCTGGATCGTACTTCGCAATTCTTTCGACGAAGAGGGCACCGGTGCCGTTGGGGAAGACGCCGGTTGCGATGATTGTTTTGACGGCGATGTGTGAGGCGTTGTCGGATGCTATGCCGGACGCGGTGGCCTTTTGACGGGTGTATGGAAGCGGACCTGATATACTGAATGTAGATCCAACTGAGTGGTAGGAAGTATCCGTTGGATCAACAGTCGAATCTGCAGGTTCAAGGTTTTCGATCGTCTCCACCGCGACGTGCGCCTTGTATATATCTTTCTACATAGCTGGTGCTGCGTACGGCGGTACATATCGTAACCGTATAGCCATGGCCATGCAAATGCTAAACCAAGAAAGCATAGCAATGTGATGCAATGCTACGCAAATCGCGGGATATGACGGAGCTAAGTGGTCTAAAGTACACATGGGGGGAACTCCATGGGATATGCCCACTTTTCATCGGCCAAATCGTTCGATACGTGCCACACTGTAGAACTTCGCTTTGTGCTCTGACTATCTCCAATTTGAGGAATGGAGATAGATGTTTGGATGGTGTATTGGTTTGGAAAGCGCATGGCGACCGTAGGTAACACCCTCGGGGGTTCGTGAGGCTTCTTCGATATTGCAGTATATTGAAAGTTTACATCGAACTTCAGAGGGCGAACTATTGCAGCGAATTAGGCGGGTTGGCATCAGGTTATAGCATTCTCCACGGCCTAACAATGCCATAATACGCGAAGATCGGCTCAAGGAATACCACAATGCAGACGGCGGTAGCCACCTCTGCAACTGTTTACATTCTCTACAGACCGAACTAAGTTCTTGGAAACTGATCGAAATTTTCATGGTCTCATTTGGTCTCCTCTACAGTGTAAATTCTAATCTGTTTCCTGCATAATCTCTGTATCGTATTAGCGCCTCCGCAGAACCCTCTTTCACATATCTAAACCTACCTCGCAAAGAATCTCGTCGGATACTCCACCCCCTGTGCACCACTGTTTTCTCCTCCAGGCCTGGACCACGCGCAAGAATTAGCTAGGCTCGGCTACAAGAATACAAAGCCAGCAACGGACAAGACATACTTATCCGCCGCCTTCGGCGCACTCTCCCCACCCCTCTCGTGATGCTCCCAAACCCTCGTCTGCAGCTTCTGCAGCTCTTCCTGACTCCCTACTCTGAAGCAAGGATGCCTCGAACTCATCAAAGCAAAGTCCTCCGGTTTGCCAAACGCGACGTGGACTTGCCTAGAATATCAAGTCATTAAAGAGTCTTCTAAAGAAAGGGCTAAGACATTTGGCCGAGAAAACGATCCGGTAAGAACTGGAGGGAAATGCTCATTGCTTGCAGCTAGGGTCTAGTGCTTGCGCCCTGGGATTGCTTACTGGCCGGAATTGCCAATGTCGAACCATGCGAGAGTGTCGCGCTGGAGCTGTGGGACTGCGCGCGGAGTCAGACCGAGGGTTGTGCTGTAGAAGTCGTTCGCTTGTTCTAGGGTCCCGGCGGGGGGGACGACTAGATTTACGTGGTGGAGGCCGGTTATCATCTTGTTGGATTAGTCGGGTTATTGCGAGGTTGGTCGTCTTTTAGCTGGTAATGGCGAGAAATGGGTCGGAGTCAGTCGTGGTGCGGGGCAGGTGTAAATCAATGAGATTGGCGGGGTAGTTGCAAATACGTCTTGTATGATGAGGGCTCGGGGCTTTATCCCACATCGATGGTGGAGTCACGATCTCAGGCTGGAAGGTTGTCAGCTGGGCGGCTTCTTGCCCAATCTGCAATATCCGAGGCTACTGTACATCGTTTGTAGCGGGGCAAATTACCCCGTCTTATGGCAACTCGCTGCGAAATAATTCATACGCTGCTGGCCAGTCCTACATTCTTTTCCAAAGGTCAACACAGTGTCATCAAAATGAGACAGGTTCTTGAAGATGGTTTTGACGGTTTCGTCTCATAGCTACCTATGGTACGTTCACAAACTGTCTACACATTCAAAGCTGCCATATGCTTTGTTGACTTTTCGTCGCCTACTCACACCGCGGTCACTTCCGCTCCTCGAAGAATTTCAGGTTCTCCTCGAGAAAGCCGTTCTCGGCCAACATGCCAATCCAAGCCTGAATGGCAGGGCCATAGTCCCAGCGACGTGCCTCAGCACGTTCGTCCTGCTCAAACACCTCTTGTTCTTTTTCCGTGTATTCCAACACAACTTGTCTCATCTCCGTAACCAACTTGCGATGCCGATTCAAGAGCTCCGACACACCCTCCTTGTCGATAGCAGCTTTAATACTGCTAGGGATGGGGTTTGCAGTTTGCTGTTCCTCGCTGAATGAGCCCATGAAGCTCGGACTCGGAGGCTCGCGATACTCTTCATCCATAAACTCCTTCCAGTCGGCGCTCAACGTAGTCAACCGACTGTCCACATGCTTGACTGTGTTGTCGGCTTCACATAATTTGTTGCGAAGTGGCACAAGAGAAGATTGCGTGATGGCAAAGATGCCGTAGTCGTTGTCGCCAGCTCCGATGAGCGTGTTGATGCGGTCGGAAACGGCGTCGAACCACATTTCGCCTTGCTTATTGTCGTATTCACCCATGAGTGTGGGTTGCTTGTCCATGCCGTCGAGCTTCCAGACCTTACCATCGATGGGCACGAAAGCGAGGTAGTGGTGGGCGTTCTCCTCGAAAGAGTCCACGGAGTCAATGCTTTGAACGCTGTCTTCAGAATTCCGTCGTGCTGTCCTAGAACCCGACTTCGTCTGAAGCCTCGGAGTCTTCTTCGTATCTGCAGTCTTCTTCGGAATTGCAGCCTTGCGCTTCTCCTCCTCAACCGCCCGGGTGGCTTTGCTGGCGATGTACTTGTCGTTCTCGAGCATGTCCATTTTTTTGGCGAAGGAGTTGTGGATCTTCTTGACGAAGTTCCAGCTTGCAAAGGTGTGGCCGCGCTGAAGAGGAGTCATGTTTTCGGTGAAGTCCTTGAACTGGCGCATGTGCTCGCCAATGTCAATGTTCGGATCCACAACGTTGAGGAGTGTGTGGATCATAGCGAGGGTGGCGCAACTGTTCTGACCAGGCATCTGATTGGCGAACCACACATTATCTGGACAGACACCTTCTTGCTTGTGCTGATCAAATTCACGGTGACGGAAGAGTAAGACCAGGCCATAGATTGGAGGCAGTGTGGTGAGATGGTCCGGATCCACCATGTGGAGCTCCTGGACATCGATGCCTTGAATGCCAATATTACGAAGGATGACAGAGAAGTAGGCCGGGTCGGACTCGATTTCACAGTAGCCCTGCCATGTCTCCTTGTCCACAACAGTAGCTGGGACGTTAGGTGGGCTTGGGGAGCGTCGAGTGGGCTCTTTTGGCACTGGTTTGCTCTTCTTACTGGGTGAATCATCGGGTGTCTCGGAGAGGAATCGCTTCTTTGAGCTCGGTGACCTCTCGCAAGCCCGACCATCCTGATGTGATGTCTCTGAGGTTGCGTGGGTAAGAGATGGGCTGACCTGGGGCTCCGCGGGTAGAGTGTGCTTCAAGGCATCGGTGGAGGAACCCAGATGGCCCTCAGTGGTTTCAGGCTTCCTTGGGCTGCTAGTATCGACCTTGACTGGGTTGTCGACAGTGCTGTCATTGATGGATGTCTTCTGAGAAGCCATGTCGGGTGAGTTGGTGAAAACTGAATTGGCAGATGTGTGATAGGTGGGCGAAAGTACTGAGCTTGTGCTAGACAAAAAGCAAACGCGGTTATGTCGAGCTCAAGTCAGAGGGTAGTTTAAGGAAGGTCGAAGCAAAGAAACGCGGAAGGGCATGTTGAAGACTGAGCACGGCCGCTTATCGAGGCTGCTGTGCGCGAAATGACCTAGTGTGCGAGGCGAACAATAGCTGGAGCGGCTCACAAAGGCGCAGGTGAATGGTGAATAACGACGTGAGCGTGTTGTGAGTGAGTGAACACCGAAGTTTGGTAGAGCCGGGGTGTGCTGAACGCTGATTGGCTCATCTGCGGAACTATGGCCTCGCGCTTCAGAGACGCGCCCCAAGTTTTGTTTGCCAGTAAAAGCAACACAACAGCTTGACGCCCCGCACACACGCACCCGTGCCTTTTCGCCTGCACCGTCGCCGATCGCCGAGCTCTCACCCCAACCCATGAGAGCATACAGCAGCGCGACCAGCTGCCACACGGCACAATGAACGGGACACCGCGACCACGCCCCGGCGGGTTCCCGTCAACGCCGCAACACCAGCAACAAGCTCCCAGTACCTCTTCCACATCGCGGCGACCAAATGTCAACACACCCTTACCAGATGTGCCGCGACCGTCGGCGCCACCACAACAGTCCGGCCCTTGGATACCCGCCAACATCATCGATCCAGCGCAACAGCGTCTCTACGTATGCTCGATATACATCGCACTCTGGGGATGGAAGCTGTACGATTTCTACAACTTGTCCATAGACGAGGACGAGTCCGTATGGTCTTGCATGAAGTGGTGCGGTCTGGACATGATCTTTTTCATGCTGGGCGTACCGCTGCTGGACATTCCCTGGTTGCAATGGAGCACCTCTACGTCGTTCCTTCTCTTCCTCGTCCACTCCGCGCTGGACGTCATGCTCATGTTTCGCATTGGAATACCCGTACAAGCTTGGTTCCTCTCGCTGGCTGGCTTCCTGTTCGACAGCGAGTTGGCTATCAGTGAACGCAGTGTCAAACCAGGTCCTATTCTGCACAACGCGTCCCTAATATTAGGCAAGCAAATCATCAACATCCTTCCCGAAGGGTACGTCTGTCACAATTGCACCAAAGAAGGACCACCCACTAACTGCCTGTGTAGATCTGCAGTGTTGAATCCCGACAAGCTCTCCTTCTGTCTGAACTCCACCGTTACCTCGCTCGAAATCCCGATCCTCATCAATCAGACCGAGCCGGTGGAGTTGGATCTCGTCCACCTCGACTTTGACACGAACCAGAATGAGACTATTTCAATCAGGAAGAGCGAGCTTAAGGGGCTATTGAGGAAGGCACGCAAGGCTGCAAAAAGGACAGAGCCTGAAGACCCACTTCTCCTCCTCTACACTGTGAAAAAGCCGGGTGTCTACCTGCTCAAGAAGGTCGTCGATCAGTCCAAGCTTGAGGTGCGTCCCAGGAGCACCAATGCAATCGTTGTGAAATGTCCACAGGCACGCGTGAAACCGACCAGAGACAGACGGTGCCGTAACGATCTCTCCAATGTTGAGCTGGAAGTGGCAGGTGTACCGCCTCTTTACGTTAAGTACCGTTTGACCGTCGATCGTCAGCCACGTGGGGGATCTGAGTTCCAAAACTTGCAACCAGACGAGTTTGTATCTCCACTGTCTAGACATACGTCGCAAGCATTGGTGAAGAGCGGAAGGGAAGACGTCTCATGGGCACGTTCCCAGAAGGTCACCGTGCCATTGAACGAGACCTTGGCAACTGGAAGTGGTTGGGAATACGCTGTGGAAGAGGTCCAAGACGGGCTCGGGAATTCAATCAACTTCCTCGGTAACGAGGATGAAGACCACCCGAAGACCAAGACCGCCGGCACTTACCAGGGTTTCGAAGTCCACGAACGCCCGAAGGTGTTTTTCAAGGGGTGTAATCCGCAAAACCCCATGCGAGTGGCCAAGGGCACTCGGGAGCCTTTGCCTCTTGCTTACGCATCCACTGGAAAAGGCCGGGTCGAAGCCCCGCATACGGTTCAGTGGCTCTTTACGGCTGAAGCGGACATTACTGCGGATGGGCACCATAGCGCAGATGCAGTGATAAAAGAAGACACCGTCAAGCCTGGCATCGATAAAATCCATGCATCGGATGCTGGCCTGTACACGCTCAGGTCTGTTTCCACAGAATTTTGCGGGGGTGACATACTTGAGCCTACCTCGTGCTTAGTACAGAACCCACCTGAGCCCGAACTTCAATTGGCGAGCGAAGACATTATCGACAAATGTGCCGGCAATCCTACCGGTCTACATGTCGGCATGGATTTTATCGGTACGCCACCGTTCTTTGTCAGGTACACAGAGCAGCGGAAGGGTTTTAGAGCGCAACCTCGTGATGTACAGATCGGTTCGCTCAGAGGTAGCATCGATCTGGCGCCAGAGGTTGCTGGGCACTATACATACACGTTCAAGTCCATTTCGGATGCGATATACAAAGATCGTCCTCTGCAAAACCTCGTGCTGCAGCAGGACGTAAGGCCTCCCGCCTCTGCCTCCTTTATCGAAGAGAACAGACCTAAACAGGCCTGTATCGATGACTACGCCGAGTTCGATGTAAAACTCGTCGGTGATGGACCTTTCAAGCTGGAGTACGAAGTAGTGCACAATGGTAAGCGCAGCAAACAGACGGTCGATGTCGATGGTGAGAATTACACCATCAGGACGCCGAAACTGAAGAACGGCGGGGAGTACACGGTAGCATTGATCAGCATCATCGATGGCATGCAGTGCAAGGATTTCCTCAAAAACCAAGAGGCCAAAGTACAAGTCCGACACGAACGTCCTAAAGCGTACTTTGGTCTGGTGGATGGAAAACAGTCAGTTATGGCGCTCGAGGGCAGGAATGTGGACCTCCCTCTTCGTCTTTCTGGAGTTGGACCCTGGAGCGTTGAATACGAGAACCTTGACACCAACCAAAAACAGAGGGTTCACGTGTCGGGTGCTAATGCTCCTCTCTCTATCACCCAGCAGGGTACATATCACCTCCGAGCCGTCCGTGACTCAGTCTGCCCTGGTTTCGTCGAAGAGAAGGCCAGTACGTTCAATGTGGGCTGGATCGCCCGACCACAGATTAGCATCCCAGAGACTCCGTCGATCATCTTCCAAGATGGGAGATACGTCAAGGATGCTGTTTGCGAGGGCGACGAAGATTCTTTCGAAGTGGCCCTGTCAGGTATGAGACCATACTCTGGTCTATTGCAATTTACTGATTGATTTGCAGGCAACGCTCCATTCGATGTCTCGTACAAGCAGGAATACAAGGCCAAAGGCAAGACCGCTGCACCTCGCGACAAAACCCTTCGCGCGCTGGGCGGATTGACAACCATTCGTGCCGACACGTCTAATGCAGGTACCTACGAATACACGTTCCACAAGCTCGCCGACAACCGGTATGACCACTCGAAAAAACACTTCAAGTCGCTAGTCGTACAACAAACAGTGAATCCGCGCCCTTCAGCACGCTTCGATACACCAGGTAAGACGTATAGCTACTGCAGTCGTGAGTCCGATGGTGAAGAAGTTATCCCCATGACTCTCGAAGGCCAAGCACCCTTCTACCTAGAACTCGAAATCAAACAAGCCGGCATCCCCAAGCCAGAGGTCAGCGTCCACAGAGATATCCGCACCAACAAATTCGATCTCAAGATCGAGCACCGGAAGCTCCATCTCGGCGTCTCCTCTATCACCATCCGCAAAGTGCGCGACGCCCGCGGCTGCGCCTTCAAGCCCTCTACCGCCAGTCCCCGCGTTCAAGTCAGCGTGCACGACGCGCCGACCGCCACTGCCCTCGAGGAGCGCGCAGACTTCTGCGTCGGCGAGCGCCTCAGCTTCGCCCTCAGCGGCCAGAACCCCTTTACCGTATACTACACCTTCAACGGCGAAACGCGCAAAGCGTCCAATGCCGCCACGACATTCCGCCGCCTAGCCGAGCTCCCTGGCACCTTCACCATCACGGGCCTACGCGACTCGGCATCCGACTGCCTCGCGCCGCTCGACCTCACAAAGCACATCCATCCCATCCCCTCAGTCCGTCTCTCCGGTGGACAGGTCTCCTCCGTTGACATCCACGAGGGCGGAAACACCGACTTGCATTTCCAGTTTGAAGGCACGCCGCCATTTGAGTTCACCTACACGAGATCTACGAATGCGGCGCGGGGGAAGAAGAGTAAGGTCTTGGAGATAAAGACAGAAATTAGCCATGAGAGGGAGATGTTTGTGCCTGTGCAGGAGGAGGGGACGTACGAGGTTGTAAGTATAAAGGATCGGTGGTGCGGATTTGCGAAGCAGGTCGAGGGAGTCGAGGGGAGGGGTGGGCAGAAGCTGTTGCAGTATTGAGGCATTGAGTGGCTGGATTCGGGTGGTATATGGAGAAAGACATTGGGGTATGTGATGCCTTAGTGTAGTTGTGCGAAGCATTTGTCGGCGTTTACTTGACAGGGATGGCTGGGTCTTAGTTTCTTTTGGCTACTCGATACCGGGTGGAGTAGGTATTAGACTGATGGGTACATGCTGACATGTAGTTGGTTCAGCGGAGCATGTAATATCACTTGGAATACCCTCGAAGACGATGTGCTGCCGAGAATTGATATGTATTATAAGATGAAGCGAAAGTGGGTATCTTAGGTCGCCGTCTGATTACATCCTCGAACCCTCTACACTGCTTCCCCATCGTCACCTGTAATTGCCATTCTAGTCATCAGGATATTCATCCCTGACATTACTTACGAAAATGCCGTTCTCTGCATCCCACCTTTTAAAGTGCCGCCCAGCTAATTTAAGCAGCGCTTCCGAAGGCTCAGTCCCTGGGTCACAGGGTGAGATGTTCTCCGCCGCCACGTACCTTACCGACTTGTCGCAAACCCTATGTTCGAGGATTAATTTCGAGTTCCAAAGTGTGAGAAACTAGATCAAACAGGGAGAAGACTCACATGACATGATAGAACGGCTGCACCCTTCCCCCAGGCAAGCGATCCACACCCATATTATGAATCCACTCCTCGCCCGCATCGCACACGGCATCCCACCCGGTAACAACACCTTCGTAATGATAACGCTTGTGCCGGAACAGCTGCCCTACACGGAACGCTACCTTATCTGTTTGTCCGTCTTCCCTTCGGCTGGGACGCTTGGCCATCCCGTCGATGCGGCGCATGCTCTCCACGAAGGAAATCAGACGCTGGCCTTCAGGGAGGTTGATGAACATGGGGACGACGTATTGCTGCAGGAGGGAGACGTCCCAGGGGTAGTGTGTCTGGAAATGTTCGAGAAGGTAGGGTAGATATTGTCTGCGGCGTATGGTGACACTGGAGTGGGGGAGAGTGTCGTCGTGTGGGCCGAGGATAAGCATTGCCCATATGGTGGCGTAGAAGGCGTTATCCATGTCGGGGTAGGCATTATGCCATGTGCTATGTATCCCGTATACGCCCGCCTCAGTCTGTCGGATTGTTTGCACGGAGTTCATAATGTTGCGGGCTGTGCGGAGAACCATGTCTCGTGTGTTGCTGTCGGAGAGAAAGCTTTCGTGCTGTGAAGTTGGGACGCCCATCTCGCGGAGTAAGCGTTGCAAGTCGTTTGCTAGTACTTCGTCCGAGGAGCGAAAAGGATCCAGATACATGTAGTCGAGGTCTGCAGAGCTGGTGGGCTTGTATGTACCGTCAAGGGTGTAGTCTTTGGGCGCGTAGACGAGGCAGTAGACGTGGAAAAGGAAGCCGCAAGGCCGAGCATCGAGACCTACGCGCCGGGCGAGCGCGCAGTATATTGCAACGGATATGAGAGGAAGGGAGTCGTGTGTTTCAGAGCGCAGAACGAGACCGATGAAGGAGTTGCGCAACGCGCGATAGGAGGAGTCCGCCACGCCGCGGAAGCCCCGTTCGCGTAGGAAGGAAGCCAACGTCGAAGCCTTTGCTCGGGCACTCATGGTGGGAAACTCCGGATATTGCTCTTCGACGCCTTGAGCAAGTACGTCCAAATCGTGCGTAACTGTGTCGTAGTCCACGTCCTCGCCTGTCCGCGTGAATACGTCGTATGCAGCTAATGCCTTCTCTATGGGCACCTCGACGCGTGCGTCAAGCTCTCCCCATATCTCCACTGCCATCTCCCTCTGCACTCTCTCCAAGATTGCATTCGCATAGTACCGCCTTGCCAATACATCCTCTTTCCCGTCATCACACGCACATTCCTTCAACAGCACCTCTTTTACATCGTACCCAAAGTCCGCGATTTCTTTGATGTGCCGTATACGATCTTGCTGGCTCTCCAGCACCTTATCCAGCAGTCTCAATGTCTCTCGCTCGATCCTCACGCGGCTAATGAATACGGAGCGCCAGTCGACGTCAGATAACGGGCCGGCGAACTTGGCGGCGATAGCGTGCTGCGGGTCCCACGTCTTGAAGTGTGTCTGACAAAAGTGGCGCCAGATGAGTGGTGCGTCGGCGGTGAGTTTCTTGACGAGACGGCAGGTCTGCGCGACCGAGAGGAGCGATTGAGGGTCGAGGTGGAGGAATACGGCTTCGAGGATCTCGGTCGGCAGCTCTGTGAAGGTGGGTGCCATGGTTTGTGCGAAGGCGGGACAAATTGAGGGGGTGTAACTTTCTCGATGTCTCACGGGGCGACGCGAGTGACACGAATCAGTCCGGGCTGGTTGTGGGTTGGGCGATTAGAATCATGGAGATGATTGTCGCTGCGTCACTGCTGCCAATATGGTGATTATCCGTGAAAGCCGTCAACAACGATGACGTTCGTTGGCCGGCCTAGCTGAGTAAGCTGCATTGGCATTCGACTTCCGTCATCCTAGGACGACAACACGACCCCATGAAATGGTTTGAATTCACAATAAGCCATGTTGGTACTTCTCAATATCATGGAAATGTGGTTGTGCGACAAGAATGTAATTTTCATTGTTTTTATAGCCAACCAAGTGTAGTGTGCAAGACACAATCCTTTATCCACTTCTTTTCATTCAACAGCACGATTCTAGATGCAAAAAAAGCTTTTCCCATAAGAACTGAGCCTTTGAGCGCCGTGCACCAATTCATGTTGTGGTACCGTTGGGTAGTGAAAGCCGCTCGGAACATCACAGAAGATCGCGCAGCTTTCAACACTCTACTCAGTGAAGCCCAAGCCGGCAAGCTCTTTGCGGATCGATTCCTCAGTAGTGATCTTCTTGATCTGCGTGTCCTCGAGCTTTTCGCCTCCGGCTTGTCTCATCTTCAGATCGTCGATCGCGCGAATCTTTTTCAGAAGGCTGCGAACCTTCTTGTCATGTGGGCCACCATCCCCAGGGCTCGTTACCGTCAAGTCGGGTGCCGGGCCATGGTTCTCCGTCATCAGTTGCAGCGGAGCCTGGTGAGCGGACACATTATGCTGGTTGTGTCGGTTTCCAGAACCAGCACGATGATGATGTTGCTGGCCCATCTGAGCACGATGGTTTCCATCCTCGTAACCTGATCCCTGACGCCGGTGCGGGCTGTTTCCGTAATTTCGATGCTGGGATGGACTCCTACCACCGTTGTTATTGTACGCGTTGCTTTTGCTACGGCTACGCTGCTGGCCACGAGTGTCACGTCGCTCAGGGCTTCGACCAGCATTGGCGGGGCCAGAAGGAGCGTTGATTCCATCGGCACCAAGACCAGCAGCTTTTTCTGCCGCTTCCCTCGCCTTCTTAGCTTCTCGCTTCTTCTTGTTCTTCAAAGCAGCCTTCGATAGCTCGCCCTCTGCCTCTCCGGTGCCGGTGAGGCTAACACCTCCACCAGGAGCAGCGCCAGGGGGCAGATTGTCGACAACCTCAGCACCAGCCACCTCACGGCGGCGCGGCTTTCCGAACCCATTAGAAAAAGTAGCATTGCTAGAGGATATTCCAGTGTTGGTATACGCCGCTCCTCCCTCATCTTCACGTTTGAAGAGGAGCGGGGTGGTACTCCCACGGGCGCCTGGTGGACGGTATGCGCCAGCTGGTTTGGATGGGGTCTTCACTTTGCTTAGGTAATCCACAGCTGAAGCATGGGGGCTCCCTGTTTGGAGAGGATTCTCCAACTGAGTCTTTTGAGGTCGCCAGGTCACGTGATATAACTCCGCCATGTCCTCGTTATACATTAAAGTACCGCCAATATGCCAGATGCGGATTCCATTGTCGACGCGGAGACGGGGGCTCGTGGTCGCTGTAAGAATATGTTTACCATCGGGGCTCCATTCGCAGTGAGTGCAGTTGGATGCGATGATGGTGGTAACCTTATGGTAATTCTTCTCAAGATCGTAAATGTCCATTTGGCCAGCCAAGTTTCCAAATCCAGCCACAAGAACAAAGCGACCATGAGCGGAGAATAGAATGGTGTTTCGAGGGGCAAGGTCGAAGCTGTGCTGTGGAACAGCGCGGGCGTTGAAGATAGTGGTCTTGGCAGGCATGTAACCGTACACCACTCCGAACTCTTTCGAGTTTGGCGACCAAGAGACATCATGAATGGGACCCTCTTTGTCGAGCTGGATGCGCGAATCAAAAGAGCCATTCGCGCTAAGAATGTACATATTCGTTTCGCCATAATAACTTTTGTTGGTCTTGTCAACCTCGGTCTGGGCGAGAACAATAAGACTGGTTCCTAGGTCATTCCACTTGAGTTGAACTTTGTCTCCCTTGTAGAAGGTTTTTTGCGAGATGGCCGAATTGAACTGGGGTACTTGGAAAACTTTGACAGCAGCGGGCATACCCTAATGACCCTGTTAACCAAGCATTTCGCAGACATGGCGCATGCGAACTTACCTTTCGCTCCGGGACAAAAACTGCAACCGAATGGTTCTTGCCGGGCGACACCGCGAAGTCGGTTACTCCTTCAACGCGCAACTTGTTCCAAACAGTTCTCAGGTCGTTCGATTGGTAGAATTGCACCTCGTTTGTTACAACGCGTGCGCAAAACGCCTCGTCGGACGTGTACTGCAGGTTCCAACCCGTTTGCGATTTCTGCACGTACTCCCCGATCACTGTACGGTCCTGTGCACTCTCGCCATTGCCAGCAACGGTATGCCACACCTTGAGATTCTTGACAGCGTTGCCATCTTCATCCTTGGAGGGACGCTGCCAGGTAATGATGTAAGTGCCTAGCGGAGAGAAGCCGAGCTCAAAGACATTGGGCGTAGGAAGTGTGGTGACTACTTGGCCGGAGGACGTATCGATGACCGAAACCCTGTGCAAACACGTGTCAGTGACTATTGGTCTGGGTGTCCCCAAGCTGAGCTTACTGTTCCGGTGAAGCCCATGCAAAATACCTGCTATCGGGCGAGTAGCAGCAGCACCGCAGGTTGCCTTCGGGTCTGTCCTCGTTAATGTGGTTTCTTTGCAGACGTGCAGAAGACATACCGGTCGAAGCCAGGAAGTGCCTGGTAAACGGGAGCTGCGTTGAAGACCCCGATGCCCTTTGAGGTGCGGTCTGCAGCCGTTAGCAAACGGATGGCCTGAGGGGGACGTGCACATACAAGCCAGCTGAGCGGGAGCGGCCATGACTAGTCAAAGTCACAGAAGAACAGCGAGCGAGGGCGGGTGCTGTGGGTGCGAGTTGGACGGGCGGCTGCTGTAGGTTGGCGGTGTGGAAGTGGAACAGCGAGGACTTGTCGAAGTCGGGGGCAAATTCCAGTGATTGAGGTGTTCCAGAGCAGGCACGGCACACGCAGCAATGCGGGGCGGAAAGCACACGATGCGCGGGGATTGAGGGAGATCGCGTGTGACAGCGAGCGGAGCGGAAGCTGGCGTAGAAATTCACGGTTGAGCCTCACAAAAAGCGGCCCACGGCTAGCGCGTCGCATATCACGTGGGTCGGCCTGCGTCAGAGTTCACGTGTCGGCGGGTCCCTGGCAACGGGACAACGGCCCTTGATTGTCACGTCTCGCGACGGCCGCGCCTCGATCGTGAGGAGATTCCGGCTGCACCCACGTCGGCAGAGCTTCCTCATTGTCCGCCTCGATCTCGTCACTGATCTAGATGCATTCAAACAGATCTCTGCCTTCGCTTAACGGCAACGAGCACCGAAACATGCGAGACAGGGAAGCCTGCGCTAACGGCTCATGACAGTCCCACGACGCAATTGGCATTAGCAGGGGTGGGGCATTCGTACCGCAAGCCGCGGGCTCTAAACTTCGTGGTCACAACAAACTTGAAAAGTGAACTCGGAATGCGCCGCGCAAAATATTCATGACAGCCCGCCATGTTGTACTCAGAGGCTGCTCGCCAGCGCGACCTCCAGCGGTGGGTACACTCGAGATGCCCCGCGGACCTCTTCTTGCTGATGCCTCGACAGCTATTATCAGCCATGGGTGGATGCGGCACAAGACCTTGCTGAGGACTCGGACGGGGAGGCTAAAGGCCTCGTGTACAAAGGATACCGTCCGATCCCCTCCTTCGACAAAAGCTTGACTGCTTTTGCCCAGCTCATCGTGCTGCGTTTGAATGTAAAGCGCGCAATGGTGTCGCTGATAGACTCGACGCGACAATACATCCTCGCTGAAGCGACCAGAAGCCTTTCGCTCTCTAATCAGAGTACCGACTCTGGCGACGATCTCTGGCTCGGACATGCCATAATAGCACGCAACGAGGCTGTTTGCCATCACTCTTTAGATTCAAAATACCGGGCCGTGGACAGCAGAGGCGAAACTTACACTACAAATGCCGCTATCATTCCCGATTGCCGGCTTGATCCACGCGTTTTGGACAAGGACTATGTGCAAAGCGAGCCTGGCGTCCGCTTCTATGCTGGTGTGCCAATCACCACCAAGAATGGTCATCGCATAGGCGTATTTGCTGTTTCGGACGACAAGCCGCGCGAAGGTCTAAGCGCTGAGGAGGTCAGATTTATGGAGGATATCTCAGCAGCTGTCATGGAACACCTGGAACTAGCCAAGGAGAGCGATGATCGTAGTAAAGGGGAACGCATGGTCAGAGGGCTCACTGACTTCATTGAGCGGTCGTCAACCGAAGAAGCCCGGAACAACACTACCACACGACAGACAACTTTGGAGAAGCAGACTGAAAATGCTCGTCTCGAAGCTATCACCGACGAAGACCCATTGAACGATGCTATTCCAGTGGTCAAGGAACCACAAACTCATCGCAAGCCCCAGAATGAGCGTGGTGAGTCATATTCAGCTTTCTCCGCAATCGCTCTCTCTCAAAAATCAATCACATCGCCTTAAGTGACACTCCGTGTGCTAATGTGGATTTCAGAGACCGACAAGTCTCGAATATTTCAGCGAGCTGCACGTATAATTCGCCAGTCTACTCGCGCCGACGGCGTGATCTTTTTCGACACGTCCCAAGCTCAAGGGACCATTCCTTCCTTCCACGAGGCCTCCCCAACTGTTAGCACCGATGATTGCTCCTCGACCACTGCCGGCTCTACAACAACGTATAGAAAGAAGAGGAAGGCAAAAGGTTATATGGCTACGAGCAATGATATTCATGAAGAAAACTTTGAAGCCAATCCCGGCGACAGTCATCAATGTCCAGTCGTGGGCCTGTCTTTACGCTCTGCTGAGATTGGTGTAACTGAGAAGGACTTCTCTTTTACCGAAGCAAACATGGAGCGCTATATTGCGCGCTATCCCCAGGGGAAATTCTTCAACTTCGATGAGGAAGGTTATGGCATTAATTCCAGCGACGAAAAGTCCGAGAAGTCTGAAGCCGAGCAGTCAGATAGGATGGACACTTCGACCGCAACCATCCGAAAGACGCGAACCACCAGGAAAGACCGTTTTATCCCAACTGAGCTACTCAAGGTTCTCCCTTCAGTTAGAAGTCTGATTTTTTTGCCATTGTGGGACCCGACTTCTGAAAAATGGGCAGCTTGTTCGTTTATCTGGACTATGGCCACAGGCCGATTGATGAATTCCGAAAGCGAATTCCCGTACCTGAAAGCTTTCGGAAATACCATCACAAGCGAATTCGCCCGCTGGAATGCGCAAAGGTCGGATCGAGCCAAAACGACGTTCATCGCTTCAATATCGCACGAGCTCCGGTCCCCACTCCATGGTATCTTGGGATCCGTTGAATTCTTGCGCGACAGTGTATCGTCTCCATACCAACAGTCGCTTGTCAGCTCCATTGAAACATGTGGAAGGACGCTTCTTGATACTATCGATCATGTTCTAGACTATGCTAAAATCAACAAGTTGCGAAGTGCGAATGTAAAGCGAAAGCAGAAAGGTGGAAGACGAAGCAGGCTCCCAGCTGACAATTCGATCCTTGGTGTCACAACCGTTTTCGATCTATCTCAGCTTGTTGAAGAGGTCTGTGATACGGTATGTGCAGGCCACCACTTTAGGACTCATGATATCCACCACTCCACATTCCATGATCAGGGATCGCGCTCCAGGGCGAACAGCAATGCTAGTGCAAACGCGGGAGAAGTGAACTATTCAAATGTACGCACCAAAGATCGAGTTATTGTGACGTTAAGCGTAGCTCCTTTCGTACAGTGGATCGTCAAATCCCAGCCAGGCGCTTTGCGTCGTGTCGTAATGAACTTGCTCGGGAATGCACTCAAGTACACCGATGCCGGCTTCATCACGGTTTCACTGGAGCAGGACACAGAAAAGAGTACTGCGCAATTTGTCGAGTTCACAATAATCGTTGAAGACTCTGGCAAAGGAATGTCTACCGAATTCCAAAACACAAGGCTGTTCACCGCTTTCAGCCAAGAAGATCCATTTTCCAACGGCACTGGTTTGGGTCTCAGTATCGTCAAGCAGATTGTGGAGTCCCTCAGAGGCGAAGTAGGCGTTGAGAGTTTTCCTGGGGTAGGGACTAAGATATGCGTCAGTATGAAGCTGCCAGCCGGAAACGTCGAAGACGCTCGCGTTCGGACGCACCAGACGCTCTTGGAGAGACCGAAAGAACTAGAGGGTAAATCTGCAAGCATGGTGTTGCCTGACATCTCTCTCGGGGGCGCTGGTGAGAAGCTGAGATCCGCGATGGTGAAGGCTTGTCAGAACGTGAATATCAACGCTTATGAGACTTTCGAGTCTGACAAGCAACCGGACTTCCTTATTACCGAACCTGACACTTTGTTGCGTATGCTGAGGGAGAACGAGTCGAAAGACCCCAGTAAACCAGCCCTTGCTGTCGTCTGTGTTTGTACGGATGCAGCGGAGAAGATCTGCACCGAGGTAAGTGAGCTGTTAGTCTTTGTTGATGCCCGTTTCTAGAGATCTTCGTGTTTCGATTGAGGAAACGTGAGCTTACGATGTCGTGTCTCCAGAATCATCTTCAAGAAGAGTTCCCATACCATGGGTGGATAATTGAGGTTGTTGCTCAACCATGCGGTCCACGGCGACTTACAGACTTGCTTCTCGACGGTCTGAACCGTGCTTCTCAACCTGTCGGACACCTCGACATCCGTACCCACCACGATCAAAACAAGGCGATAAACCAGGCTCCACCTTTTTCTTCTATGGTCACCGTGCACCGGAGTAATAGCGACCTTGTCCGTGGCAGCAACCAGGTGCCCTTCGCCGTGGCCGGTGCTCATTCTCCCCTGATCGCAACAAGCATGCCCAGCGACAATGAAGCACCATCAGCACAGGGACAAATAGCATATACGCCCGCCAGCGAAGGCCCATACGAATACTTTACCCCGAGCGTTCTCCTTGTCGACGACAACGCCATTAATCTTAAACTTCTCGTCGTTTTCGCGCAGCGCCAGAATTACCGTTACGCAGAAGCCGTCAACGGCCTGCAAGCTTTACAAACATACAAGAACGAAGCCCTCTCAACCACACCACCTAGCAAACCCTTCGAATTCATCCTCATGGACTTGAGTATGCCGATTATGGGCGGATTGGAGTCTACCAGGAACATCAGGCAATTCGAGCAAGAGCAGGGGTTAACGCCGAGTACGATAGTGGCGCTGACCGGCCTAGCGAGCGCGCAGGATCAACAAGAAGCAATAGATTCGGGGATTGATATGTATTTAGTCAAGCCGGTGAAGTTTGGGGATATCAAGAGGATCTTTGGAGCTAGATGAGGTCGACGGTGCGTTTTCGCCTCGACTATATGGTAAAATCCAGCGCGTTTAGCGGGCAGGTGCACATAATTGAAGTCAGACTTGGTTGACAATACTGAATTCGCTAGATATAGGGAACGGGGTGTATCGCGTATATAGTTGAATTTAAATGGTACGGTTGGCAGGACTGGTGGTAGTAACACACTCATACTCGAGAACTGCCATGCCATGGTTACTTCGGCTTTCATACAACCAATCGCTCTGACTGCTTGGCTAGCTATGGTCTCTCTAATCATTTTTAACCCTATTTACATTGAAGACTGCGTCTCCGGCTGCGCACAAGCCGGGTACATTACGAAGGTGGCACAGTCCAGTCTTTGGTATGTCCTTGAAAACCTTCGACTTCCACTCTTTCTCGTCCTTTTGTACACCACATTTTCAACCCATAACAATGACTGACTGAACAGAAGCTCCAAGCGTAGGCTCTTTGGGATCGGTCCTAGTCTTCGGCGGCTGCGGGTTTAGGTGTTCGACATGGACACCTCCAAGAACCGTATACCCGGAGTCGAATACGTTACGGGCAGCACTGTAGCCAAGGTAAAGGTTGCTGCAGCGTTCCAGGCTGCCCACCTGCGAGTGGTCCTGCATTCTGTCTCACCTGAGCCGTTCTCGGATAACGCCGAAGCTTTGATTTACACTGTCGATTTGGAGGGCACGAACAGCGTCCACTCGTGGCGGTGGACAGTGCGGGTACGAGAGCTTTGGTATACACGCCCAGTTCTTCCGTCATCCACCACAGCCGCAACGACCTTGTATTAGCGACAGAATAATCACCTGTGCGTTCCTCGCAGCGAAAGCCTGATATGCTTTTTTAGACCAAAGCCCTCGCTGAGATAGCTACCTTCGCCGCAAATGGGCCAGATCTACGTATAGTGCAGGTGTCTATTTGGCCTCCTGGTTCCCTAGGCAAAGGCGACACAGGTACAGTGACGAGCATGATTTAAAATGCGAAAGAGGCAAAGCGAAACTACAGGTCAGTAACGGGAATAATGTTATTCACTGGACGTATGCCGGGCGCTCACGCGCAGCTTCTGGTGGCTCAAGCTCTGATCCGCTCCTACTCTTCTTCCGAGGTCCCCAACGACGAAAACGTGACCGGCCAAGCTTTTGACATCACTTACCATGAACTGTGGCTGTTCTTGGACTTCTGGTGCGCGTTGAGTAAAGCGGTCGGGTATCCCATCTACAAGAATGAAATGCTGCGCATACCTGGGTGGTTCATCAAGTTTGTTGCATGTATACTTGGTAGGACGGATCCGGTTTTCAGTTTTGGGATGGAAGGACCTAATTTGAGTCAGGCGAGGGTTAGAGTCTTGACTGTAGAACGTACACTGGATGTGAGCAAAGCGAAGAAGAGGCGGGCGGGGGTACTCTGTGCGCCCTCGTGGATATGCCGCGGTCGCTCTACATGATCATTTCATCCTCACGGTACTCTCGTGGACCTAGCTCACACTGTTGCTATCTTCCAAATAAAGCCCTCCATTCATTTTCTCTATCACCGCCTGTTGGCGATATACGCTACATTGAGGCGACTTATCATAAGCGAATGTGCCTTTATCTTATTTATAATGGCGGGCACGCTTGCTTACTTGATCGCTAATGTTGCAGGTTGTATAAACGTATAAGCGTTTTTGATAGTTTAGTTCTGCTTAGAGGCAGGCTTAAATATTATGCTTATTCCTGTTTGGATATTAAAAGCCTTCGTAAACTCTTGGACACTGGCTATCTATTTGCATTCAGTCGCTAAGTCAAACATCTTGCATACGCAGAAAGCCAGCATTCTTGTGATATCCTTATAAGCATTGATGTAAGGGTACGACATGGGGTGAACAACAATGAGGACTAATCTGATAATAGGGCGTGTGTAATGAGTCTGCTTAGGCTTGCAGTTACCAAGGTTTGACAGCTCCGATGTGCTCTGGAAAGGGTCGAGAGAGACACTAATCAGGTACCGTATCACTGTCATATCGTTCTCCGGAATTTTACTGTGAGTATCGCCGAGATGAACTTGGCCATTTTATGCGGCTTCGTGATGTTCATCCCTCCATACTTGACCAAGAGTAGAATGGCGATCTATTCGATGAAGTCTACTCTTCCATCTAGCACGGTATGAGTATCTCTGAACTTCAATCTAGAGTCGTACCTATAGAGCTGAGCCCCAGACTGGCATGTAGCATTAACATGTGGAGCTAGAACCTTCGGAGAAGCAGAAGCCTATCTACAACTTATCACGGAGGTCAAAGTATCAAGTCAGACGCATGGTCATTGATCTCGGCTGTGACTTACATAGAGATAATCAAATGGAATCCCTTTTTGAACCGAATGAGCCCGCACTATGGAGTGGAACGAACTAAGCTCCAAGCTTTTCCCCGGAACAGTTGTACCGACAAGCAACACGGGGTATCTATCGCCGTATACATACAACAACACCATCATGCTGCAGGGGTCTAAGCTAATAACATATCCAGCAGTTCTGCATGACTTGTACACTTCAAGTGCATTCCTTGTTCAAATCATGCTAAAAAGCTGTTCGAATTCACAATTGCCCTTGAGCGCGAAGGATGTCCTTCTGACGCTCCCAGAGCTCCATCTCTTCCTTCATGAGCTCGTTGACCTCTTCCTTGGATGATGTAAGTTCCTCTTCGAGACTTGTGACCTGCGCACTCCTTCGTGCGGTGAGAGATTGCCGAGCAGATCCCGACCCTTGACGATTGCACGGACATGTTCGTGGACCTCGACCAAATTACGTGGCAGAGGTGTAGCGTTTGTCGGTTGAAGTTCGATCAAGCCCTCGAGAGTCAGAGTGGCTGTTGCTCGTTCTACTAGAATAGCTGACAATTAGATACGCGCTTCTATATTCCAGGTGTGTTTTCTCTCACCTGCTACAGGCGTTTTCACTTTGCTCTGAATAACATCTGAGTTCCCGGTCTGATGAATCGACTGCAGAGCCTACGGCAAGGCCTCTACAGCTTCGCATCGGCGCGCCACTTGCATTTGTATGATTATTCATCATTTTCGTCACTTCGCCAAAGCGCTGCGTCCGTCGTGGGTGAAGTCGAGTCTGCGTTTCGAGGTCAACTGTGCAGACCGTGTTGACGCAGATAGGGTGATGGCGTCGCTGGCCACGTGTAACCGTTGTATAGAGTACTGTAAGTCGAATCCCAACCTTGACCGTTCTGACATTAGCGACGATCCAGAGGTGAATAACACGGTTACAGACCACAACGCGCCACAGATTTCACTTATGGCGCTTAAATAAGATTATGTCGAGTCTATACGGGTAACACAAAGAGTGCATGTGTTCGAAAGCCTCGAAGCAGTCAGTAAGACTCTGAGTATCATTAAAATATCAGCCAAACATACGCTCTTTGTTACATTGCATAGAGCTCAATCTGGTGATAATGTATATATGACACTATATGCGCCGATATGGCAATCGTGCAAGCCAGTATCATAATTACTTTGGTGACATTCGAACAATAGCAAAGTGCATATGAAGATCAGGAAAAGTCTTACATTCGTGTATATCCAAGATATCGACCGCCCAAACGCCCAACAATCAAGGAGCTCTAAGCTCCTATTGTAATGTGCATGATTCCAATGCGACTCGGAGAGGTGGTCTAATATTTCTACTTTAGAAAAACAGGCCTGCTCTCTTGAGCCTTCTTGGCAGCGAGATCGGCAAGCTTTTGGAGCTTCTCGGCGCGCACCTGGCGGAGGTATCTGAAGAGTAGGATAAAGGAGAGCTCGATGCGCTCTTTCGTCATCATGAGGAATCCTTGAACGAGCAAGCCTTTCAGGATCTGAGGACCGATACCTTTGAACAGGCCCAGAAGACCTTCGTGTTCAATGATGTACTGCATGACTTCAATGAAGCTCTTGAAAGGCTTACCGTTCCTTGCTGGCGGTGGTTTCGACTGCAAACCGACTTTAGCAACGATAAGCGGCTGTGTGGCTATGGTAGCGAGTGCCTTGGACATGGCACCGAGGGCGAAAGCTTCCCATGGCTTGAGCGCGGTTCTATCCGGAAACAAGCCCTCTTTCAATCTCTGGTAGGCACCGTATGTGATGGCCGGGTTCACCACGAGCACCAAACTTGCCTTCAATCCTCTCCAAAGCCCCGTCCAACCGTCCTCACTGTCGATGACCTCCTTGCCTGTAGCAAGTAGACCCTTTCGCTCATGCTTGCTCGTCGTCTGTTGTCGCGTCGTGACAACAGCTACCGGGATGGTGAACAACTGGGCGACGGCTCCAGCGACGGCCCCAAGCGACAATTCAGCAGCTGTGCCTGGGGCGCTCGAATATTGCAGGTAAAGAGTGCGAACGATGGTATACCAATAGAAGTAGGCAAAGTTCGTGGAAGCGACGCCGATCAGAGCGCCTGGCATCCCAGCGTACAGTCCCGCGAGTCCCTCCGCCTTCGTGATCTTTGATATAGCATCAAGAGTGGAAGCATAGTGCTCATCGTCGGTGGAGCTGGCAGCAGCTTCGGCGTAGGACCCGGGAGCGCGCTTGACCTGGACTTGGATTTTGGTTTTTACACTGTGCTAGATATCAGCATGTGTTTGACAAAGGTTCGAGCAACCGGTATCAAAGCCCACTCACATGTCCAGTGGATATACCAATGCATTCGCGAGGACTGCGCCCGCAGAACCAGCCACGGCGTTACCCCATGGCGGTAACTTTTCCAGCTTGGACGCGCCGGCCATTGTGGGATTGTCGATTGCGGAAGTCGCAAAAGCGGAGTGACGACGTTAGGATGGCGAAGTAGCGGCGGCAGTTGGTGCGACCGGGGGCTTGTGGGGTATCTTGATATATGATGGCGAGCTTGCTATCTCATGGCCACGACAATGGGAGCCGGAGACAGACAATCAGACAGGCAGAACAGAGTAAGGGTAGAAGGGTACGGGGATGGGTAAGGTGACGTTCTAGTGTAGACGCGTCCCCGGCCGGCGTGGAGGAGCCTCTTTCCATGGCTGATGAGATCCGAGTTGGGCCGAGGTTCATACAAAGGCCGTGGTCGAAATGACATGCGCCGGCCCGTGCACTTGTGCATCTTGTCTGGCTCGGCTGCCAACCGTGGCTGTACTTCACTAAGGAGGGGAGGATGGCCGTCTCAACTGCAGGATCGTTCTTACTATATGTACCTTCCAGTAAACTGGAAAGTGACACAGCTACAAATGCCATTTGGGATGCACGTGCCCCGCTATTGATGCGCCTTGGCGTCGTTGAGCCGCAACAACAGACAGTCAATGCTACAACAACTACAGTACTCGTCTGAAAATCCGACCGCCGCATCCTCATGCAAGCCGATATCTCATACTAGCTTCGCAGACGGTCCCGTCAAGGTATCGGAAGGCTCTTTTTGCAGTCGACCGCGCCACAGAGCCATGGCGGACCAAGCAGCCCAATTAGAGGCTTTGAAAGCTGCCGCCAGCGTATGTGACACTGACATGGCAGTTTCATACACGTTCGCGACTCGAGAGCAGCCCTCACTTACTTTTCACGCAGAATAATGAGTCGCAGGTCAGGACTGCGGCGACCAAGGATGAAGCTCTCAAGCAGGCGCTTGCTGCCGCAGAAAATCTCATGAAGGCCGTGAAGCTGACCACGGACCCAAGCGAGAGGAAACAGCTGAACAACAGATTCAATGCCATGGCGGATGTTGCACGGCGCGTGAAGAGTAATGAATGGACACCGCCGAAGCCACTAGTAGCAAAGCGACCGCAGCAGCAGGAGCAGGTGGCAGCCCGTCCAAAATCGAAGGCTGACGGAATCGGAGAATGGGCTACAGATGTTGCGCAATCTTTCAACCACATCCCTGACGGCTCTCATTCTCAATCCACCTATACAACACCAAATGCATCTTCGAAGACGAGAGTGGCTACCCCATCTATCCCACCTCCGACTAAGTCATTGACAACATCCCCATCACATCACCCTACGGCGATACCCGCCCAAGAAAATCCCAACTATGAGAATCTTCGGGTGGACCATAGCGGAGGCGTCTACCAACCACAATTCGATTTGGCTGCGCGGCACGACCTGAAATTCCGGTCACGGGAAGTCATGCAAAAGGAACCACCACCGACAAGCCCAAAGACTTCGGTTTCCCACGTACGCAAACTGCGTGAGCCGACCTCCTCTCGAATGCGGACGACCAAGGAAGAAATAATACTTCTTAAGGCCTCACTTGTGAACGGCGTGAAGTGTCCGCCGTGGGACAAGATTCCTTCCGCCAACGAATTTGCCCTGAATGGCACTGAGTTCTTTATGTATGTACATGTCCTCTGCTGCGAAGATCAGGAATCGACTTTCCAACGACGCATGGTGGTGTTTTACGATTGGTGCTGACGTGACAGTGAACCTCGTGATCTTACCCTATCCCCCCAGCAGCAGCACCATTTCAAGGCCTGGACTCGTGCAAAGGATGTGGTATCGCGGGGCTCCTCAGGATCAGACGACACGCCCGTGATGTCATCGCCCCGCCCCATCGACTTGGTCCAAGACGCGGCGACAGACTGTTCGGTTGTTGCCAGCCTTTGCGCCGGTATTGCTCGAACCGAACGTGGATACGACCAGGTGCGTCGGTCATACATCTTCAACATATGGTTACTGATTCAAAAAGATCCTTTCTACAAAGCTGTATCCATTCGATCGAAATCTAGGAAGGCCGGTTATATCTTCCAACGGTAAATATATCGTTCGACTGCATTTCAATGGTTGTTGGAGAAGAGTGACCATTGACGATCGTCTTCCACTGTCGGAGACACGCGCCCTTCATGTTGTGGATCGGCGCGAACCAGCGCTGTTGTGGCCTGCTCTTCTTGAGAAAGCATACCTGACCGTTCGCGGAGGCTATGATTTTCCGGGCAGTAATTCTTGTAGTGACTTGTGGACATTGACCGGTTGGATCCCTGAGCAGGTCCGTCTGCAGGAGTGAGTTCATATTACTTTATTGCAGGATTACCTTCTGACGGCCTCAGAATCGATATCGTCCCCGACCAGCTTTGGACACGGCTTCACCAAGCATTCGCATTCGGAGATGTTCTTGCTACTCTCGGTACCGGACAAATGTCGACCAGGCAAGAGCGTGAGCTGGGTCTAGAAGGCCAGCATAGCTATGTCGTGTTAGACCTGAAAGAGACGAATCATGATCGATTCCTTCTTGTGAAGAACCCCTGGGTCGAGGGAAGAGGTTGGCTCGGACCACGCCCCACATTGGAAGAATTGTGCGCCGATTCTACTATATCTGATAGTTCGAAGGACGGCATAGCAACGTATCACCGAGACACTATACCCACAGAAGACCGGCCTAACCCTACCACATTCTGGATAGGATTGGAACAAGTGCTCAGACACTTTGAGAGCCTGTATTTGAACTGGAACCCAGGTCTTTTCCGTTACCGGCAAGATATTCACTTTGAGTGGACAGTGGATGGGTCCTCTGAAGAGGAGAATATATGCATCGTAACGCACCCGCAGTTCCTTTTCCACTCCAATGACGCAAGCCCTGTATGGTTCCTGCTAAGTCGTCACTTCCGAGCGACATCGGGCGATAGTAAAGAGGAATCGGATGCCTTCAACGACGGTAGCATACGTCAAAATACACTAATCGACACTTCCGATGATATACCCAAAGGATTCATGAGCATATTCGTATGTCCAGGCAACGGGAGTCGTCTTCACATCAAAGACACGTGTCTTGAGCGCAGTGACTATGTAACAACACCACAGTGTCTCTTGCGCTGGGATCCCGAGGCCAACTCCACCTATACGGTGGTGATAGACCAGGATGAGTTGCCTGCATCAGCATACACGTTCTCCCTCTTCGCATTTTCCAATTCCAGGATCGAGCTGGAACCTGCGATTCTTCGGTACCCTCTACAGAGGAGCGTCACCGGCGAATGGACGAAGCAAACAGCAGGAGGGGGCACTGGCTCTAGCCAGTATTTCCAAAATCCACAGTACGCCGTAGAAGTGAAAGAGCGTGGACCCCTGGCCATACTTCTCACCAGCACGAATCGGAAGAATGCTCTACACGTAAAGCTTACTCTAGGCCACGGTAAAAGAATTTATCGACTGAACAGCCGAGACGTACTCGCCGATTCGGGCGACCATCGCGTACGATGCGTCTTCGCCGAAGCCAAGGATCTGGAGCCTGGTATGTATACCATTGTCTGTTCCCTTTTCGAAGCTGGGCAGATAGGCGACTACAGCTTGCGTGTGGACAGCACCTATGAAATCGCACTTGAGCAGATACCACGAGATGGCGCAGGCCTCATGTTGAACCGGCTTGCGCCTGTGTGCTTTAGGCCAGAGGTTAATGAGGTAGTGGCTCCGATGGCAATTCGACGCCTTGCGGCGTACACTATAGTTGTCCGGTTTTTGAAAGCAACAACTTCGCGTTCTACGGGTGTATTGCCCACTACCCGCAGCCCGTTGCGATTCAGTGTGGAATACGGACGGGGTCCTGAGCGCCAGTTCCTCATCACCAGCGAACGTGGACAGTACTCGGATGCAGTCATACTCCGCACGGAGGCTATCAACATCGATCCTGAACTGTACCCGGGTGCCAACTTGTCCTTGGTCATGGATCGGCTCTCCGGCCCCGGAGGACCAGTCGAGGAGTGGTACGAAGTCGAGGTGTATACTGACGTTCCCAATGCTTGCGATATTGGAGTTTGGCGAGACAGGAGGTGATGATTGATGGAAGAGGTGCATTGAACTTCCCGAAGCTCACTCTAACAGTCCCGCACGCCTGTCTTCACCACCGACCCTCGCTGACGACACGCTCCCGATGAAGGTCGCAGGAGCTGCATGGGACTAACAAGTGATACAAATCAGATTAGAGCACGACCATGGCCGCCATCAGCGCGTCCTCCATCTCCGTCACGGTACGAGTGCAAGACGCGGCGCAAGTGGCAGAAGGCGACAGGAGTCGGCGAGAATGAATCATTGTCGGCGTTGCAGGTGAAGAGGCTGTTATTTTTCGTGTTGGCGCGCCCTGGAATCAGAGGTTGGTGTCATTTGGGCAGGTCTTCTGGTCATGGAGGAACATCGGCGAGCTAGCCAGGTCAGCAGAGGAAGTCATTGAGGAGGGTGCGATAAGCGTGGTTGTGTATGGTAGCGCGGCTCCGAGGGTCTGGCGATCAACGTGGATGCATGGTCCCGTGGCTGCGCGCGCTCGGGCCGGGTGCAAATGAAAAGGGCCCTGACGCTTCGTGTTCCAACGATTGGTCAGAGTTTCACCGCCATGATGCATCCTTGCCATGTTTCGAGACGTGCATACTGAGATAGCTATGATAAACGCGCTCTGCTGCTTCTGCTACTGTTCAGATGTTCCTGTCCTCGACTTTGGTCGTGATATTCACGTCCTCCACATCCTCCGCCGCGATACCCGTTCCCCGTACCCCGCCAACGACAAGGATCTCGGCCCATTGCGTCAGAGCTTTGCGCCACACTTGGCACCGCCTCTTCACCATCGGTAGCTTGCATTGCGTCGACACTTGTTCTAGCAGACTCGCCTTCACGCCGACCTTTGTCGTTATACTCTCGATACTCGAGCGGACAAACTACCCCTTTTTGCCGACCGGCGTAAACCCGCCTTGAACCATGGCGGAGTCTTCCGCAAACTCACTCGCCCCGACCTCGGCCGCTACCTCGAACGAGCCCTCGAGGGCTTCCACGCCCGCAAATGCCCCTGTGGAGAAGGCGCCAGATGAGGGCAGCAAACTCAAGACCTTTTTGGGCGTGTTGAGGAGGTACGATATGCTATCGAATGCTGGCCTCATCCTTTCGGGTCACACTCGAAAGGGACATCCTTGACTGAATGCGGCAGGTTTATCGGCGTGTCTGATCTCGCCGCCGTGCGTTTTTCTCTCCCAGCGCAACTTTTGGAGCCCACACCGAATCTTGGTACGTACCAATCGCGGCAACAAGTCTTGCATACAAGTACAGGTGACTATGCCCGGGATGTGTTCTGACGAGGCATAGAGTACTGGAATTACCTGGACAGGCCGGAGACGTTCATCAGGTGTGTATATTCCCAATTCTAGGATCGCAAGGCTGGTGCTAACCAGCGCAGCATCGGAGACTCGGACGAACCTCTCGGGCGCATGCTGGGAACCCTGCGCTTTTGGTTCACAAAGGACTTGGTATGCCAGCAGGCAGAACGTGACTAGTCCAGCACTGATGAGGGCAGAAATACGTCAAGGGCAAGCCGTGCAAACCCTACAATTCCACACTCGGCGAATTCTTCAGGGTATGCTTCAACCTTGCTTACCATGACAGCTTGACTAATACACGCAGTGTACATGGGATGTGGAAGACACACAACCGCAACTCAAACATGCACCAAACTCGAAGCCCTCAAGTAGCACCAGCAGCGTTGCCGGCGATAAGCGCGTGAAGCTTTCCTACCTTACCGAACAGACCTCGCACCATCCTCCCGTCTCCGCTTTCTACATTGACTGCCCTGAGAAGGGTATTTCCGCGCGAGGATTTGACCAGCTCAGCGCGAAGTTTACGGGAACCAACATTCGCGTTGTTGCTGGAGCACATAACTTGGGCATCTTCATTACGCTGGCGAATCGGGACAATGAAGAGTACCAGTTGACACATCCGGCGGCGTATCTGGGTGGTCTGCTGAGGGGTACGTTGTCATTCTCGTCCGATTGCAAAACCAAATTGCTGACTGCTACAGGCTCTCTCAGCGTCTCGGTCGCCGACTCCTGTTTCGTCACTTGCGCCAAGTCCAAGATAAAAGTCATTCTAGAGTACCAAGAGGAGGGGTGGCTCGGGCGGTCGCAGAACAAGGTCGTAGGTGTCATCTTCAAATACGACCCGAGCAACGACAACAAGACGAAGGTTAAAGACGTGGCGGATAAGGATGTGCTGGGGAGGATAGAAGGCTCCTGGCAGCAAAAGGTGTACTACACACTTGGAAGCCAGCCTTTCGCGAAAACCCCTGTATGTTTTTACCTAAAACGGATTGCGCTGTACACTTTACTGACCCGCGTTCAGGAGAAAGACAGGAACCTCCTCATCGATCTTGACCCCCTCTTCGTCATTCCCAAGAACATTCCGCCCATCGAAGAACAACTTCCCAACGAATCACGCAAGTTCTGGGAAGGTGTGACCAACGCTATCGTCAACAAGCAGTACTCGCTTGCCACGACGCTCAAGCAAGAGATTGAGGACAAGCAAAGGAAGAAAGCAGCCGAGCGAAAAGAGACTGGAAAGGATTGGCAGCCGCGCTTCTTCACTGGCGCCGTTACACCTGTCGGCAGACCGGACCTCACACCAGACGGCGAGGAGGCCCTCAAGCGCTTACACGAGGACAAGTACGCACTCGAGCCAAACAAGGAGTATGCTGCGTTTTAGTATGATCCGAGCACAATTCTTGGGTACAGCGGGAAGCATGCATGGAGTCTGGGTTGGCGGTATGAGAGTATTCTATCACATTACGCTCGCTTTGTGAGTCGGGAGCATGGATCGAGAAATTTGGGTGCGTTGCATTCATTGTATGGCGTTGGTCTGATTGAGCCTTTGCTGTTGGATTCAAGAGAGGGATATATAGCGGATCATTAGATTTTTGTGCTTGGCTACTCTGCTTGCGCATTGAAGCTGCGATCTTGAATGTAGATACGATTGACACTTTCAGATATTGTAACTGGTCACCGTGATGCTTTTGAATTGCCGTTTACCTAGCAACGCTGTGGCAGTGTTTGGATGATCTTACGACCTCATTGCTACCTCTGATTCTCGATCAATATAAAAGGCTGCAGTACCCTCAAAGGCACAATTCAATGAGATTTCCAAGATGTATCACAATATTTCGAAGTATGTTTCTTAACCTCTATAGTTGAGGGCGCTAGCAGGGTCCTTCTCCGCCCTCCGCTTCGGTACTTACAATTATAGCTTGATGCCGGCATATATGTGGGATGCGATGGCCGACGTGGTGAAGGTGATGAGAGGCCTGGGTAGGCTGTATGTCACGCTACTCGATGTGGCGCGACAGCTGGTTATTTGGGACGAGTGCGGCTGTAAACATAGCAGGTAGAGAGATGCAACGGAGGTCATGGACTCGATGGATTGGTTTGGCACGGACAGACCTTTGGAAGAAGAAAAATATGAAGCAAGACGTCAATGGAAAAAAGAAGGAAGCGGAGGCCGTGTTCGAGAATGTTTGGTGGAATTACATGAGCGAGCCGAAGAAGAGAGCGGTTGGGTCAGGGAAGTCAAGAGTGGCGGGCAAGTAAAGTGCAGAGAGGTGGGCGAAGCCGCTGGGCCGGTGACGAGGATACACTCAAGTCATGGAATAAGTTCCGTCTGACAGAACGTGCGGCCGCATTAAGAGTTACATTATATCAGCTACTCATACCCTCAAGGCCGACTTTGTAAGTGGTAACATGTTGCGAGAATAGACCTGTCCACCATATAACAAATGAAGATCATGCCACCGTTATCCCCATTGACGACGCCCAAAGGTATGCGAATTAGTATAGACCCCGCTAATGCTAGGCGTGATAAGCGTCGCAAGAATGGCCCACAAACCTGATATAGAACCACAACAGCCTGCCCGTGACTCGTACAGTACAACGGATGCGGACCGAAGTTTTCATGTACCAAGCGTCTTAAGAGAAATGAGCGAAGGCGAGTGCAACGACGATGGCGATGATAGAGCTCTTTCCAGAGCCGAAAGCCTGTTGGCCCTCGTTGTTGAACTGAATTGGCAAGCTTGGGGTGGGTGAGTAAACAGTGCCATTGTTGGTGGCGCTTGGCAACCAGCTAGTCGAGATGTTAGCCGACGTAATGCATGTATAGAGGACAGAGATGCTTACCCAGATCCGGTGGGAATGTATGCCGATGCATCCGTGCCGATGCTGGTATGTATGCCCTCAGTCTCTGTTGAGTAATTACGGCTGCTCGTTGGCAGCGGTACCGTCACAATGAGAGTCGTTTGAGAATAGGTGACGACACTCGTAATTTCCGTTGTTGAGATACCCTCTTCGGCTGAAGAAGTCGGGCCAGTGACTGTCGTTGGCTGCCCTGGAGCGGGTGGATAATTGGAAGGCTGAGTGGGACCAGTCGGAGTGGCAGTCGTTACACCTGGAGGACCTAGTGGTGAGGACGGAAGCGAAGAGGTTTTGGTGCCCTCGATGCCAGTCTTACTAGAATTGATGCCAGACCCAGAGGGAGCAGCAGTTGGCCTGGAGTTATAAGAAGTCTCGACTGGGGAGGGAACTGATGAAAAGCCTGGAGCACCGGGGCTTGAAGTGGGTGAGTTGCCATTGCTTGGGCTTGATGGGATTCCAGAAGTTGGTACTTGAGGCACTCCAGAAGTTGTACTACCAGAGCCTGGAAGTGGAGTAGGCCCTGTATACGAAGAAGAAGTGATACTGGAAGTTGGACCACCATAGCCTGGACTCGAAGCCGGGCTTGTGTACGATGAAAATGGGATACCTACGCCGGAGCTGGGCTGCGGTCGCTGGGGAACGATAGGTATCGGATTAGTTGAAGAGACGCCTGGATATGAGATTGAGGAGGCTCCGGGAATCAAGCTGATTGATATGCCAGGGACAGTGACAGTGACTGATGATACACCGGGGCCCGGAATATAAAAGCCGCTAGACATAGGAACCGTAGGTGCCGATGCCGATACTCCCGGATAAAAGGGGGACGAACCCGAACCAGACGGGACGTTGGGCGCTGTAGAAGGGAGAGCAGGGCCTGGACCGATCGGGACGCCAGAACTTGAAATGGGTACAATTACATGGCTCGAAGTAGCAGGATAACCTGGAGAAGGGGCCAGGCCAGAACCTGTTGGAATTCGAGGGAGGGAACTGGAGGGAAGAGCAGGCCCTGGACCGATTGGAATTCCGGAGCTTGGAATGGGCAATGTGCCATAGCTCGAAGTAGCAGAGTAACCTGGAGAAGGAGCGAAGTCCGAACCGGTTGGAATATGAGGTAGGGAACTGGAGGGAAGGAAAGGTCCTGGACCGATTGCAATCCCGGAGCTTGGGATGGGCAAAATGCCAATGCTCGAAGTCGCGGGAAAGCCTGGAGGAAAAGCAGAACCGGAGCCGGATGGCACGTTTGGGAACGGGGTCGAGGGCAGAACGGGTCCTGAACCGATGAGGCTGCTAGAGCTTGGAATGCGTGGTGGATTACTAGAGCCCGAATCAGAAGGTGCTCCGGGCGCACCAGAATAAGGAGCTGTAGGCGTGCCCATGGGATTGTTGGTCGACGTAACGGCCGTCGACGGCAATGAGCCCGTAGCTGAAGGCAAGACAGCGGGAAAGGTGGTTGTCCATGACGCAGTTGGTGAACCCTGCGGCTGACCGCTCGTCAGGCATATAGTCGTGGTAGTTGTAGCGAACACTGCCGATGTAACCACGGTCAAAGCGTTCGTCGGGCAATCGGAAGCATATGAGGCGCACTCGGTGATGGTGAAGTAGGAGGTAGTATAGAGAGTCGTGGTGGAGTAGACGTTGGGACCAACGACATACACCGGAGTTTTTGTGGAGAGCGCAGTGACTGCTTACTGTGAGTCAAGGCTGAAGGTTGGTGAGCAACGCTACCTTTGTCGTCCGGTCCATCTGGCGACGCAACAACACATAGGGCGCTACCAAGCAGCACAGCGATGGGTGAGGCCCTCATTGCAGACAGAGCAGGCGATTGGTGAGAGGCTAAAGGAGCGGGGTGGGAAGAGAGAGACTGGTCGCTGGCAAAGAGCGTGGGAACGAGTGTAGGTAGTTAGGTGGAGGAAACACGATGAGGAGCCACATGCTCGGGCTTTTGAGGAGGGCAGGCGGTGCCACGGTCTCTGGATGTGGAAGGAACGAGGAAGGTGCAATGACGCTCAACAACGGAGACCCGGAAAGGGCGTGGCCTTTGCCCAGCGATAAGGGACTGGTTTTAGGAAGGTAGAGAGCAACTTGGGGAGTGACAGTCAGAAGTGATGGTGCTACGTCCGTGGGTGACATTGCCTCACGTGAGCGTTCTTTCACTGCTTCGTGGAATATAAGAGCGACTCTTTGACGGAATCCATATCGGTATTGGACCTCGTATCGGCAAGATTCGAATGTCTTGGGCGTGACTCGAGCCGATGGAGGAGCTTCAGCCAGCGCACAACCCAATGTGTAAACAACGAGTGTCACGCCGATGTACCGTAGGCTGCCTAGGGCAGTGAGAGTCAATGATGCATCTGATCTATCTCTTGCTGCAGAATGGATAGCTGAGAACCCGGTAAGCCTCTGCGTGTTGACCCAGGCGACACTCCACGCTTGCCGCACTTGCAGTATTTTCGTCCCATGACAGCTGAATGGCCATTCTTTCCCTCTCCCTCGAGCACATTATCGTTGTTCACCTTCACTACCGGCGCCATGGCAACTGCAAATGGCAGACGAGCAGGTGAGATCAAAGCGCAGCTGCCGTCCGCGACTTCCAAAGTCGTTTGCCGCCTCTTCTCGAGTTGCTCCCCACCACGACACTTCTCTCCACCGCATTTTCAGCGAACATCTCGCCAGAGCATACATTCAGCCCGACATCTCTTCATCTCAATTACTCAACAGCTTCTGAGCAGCTTTTTCTCCCTCGAAATGGTCGGCCTCATGTCTGTTGCTATTGTCGTCGCTGCGGTCGCTTGCGCTGTCGTGGCCGCCACGCCTAACGACAGTAGGTTGCATTGCCCCGGGATGTTCATGACAAGTACTAATCTCTGTGCTCTGCAGACGTCTGCTTCACGGCGCCGGCTGTAACTACAACCGTGATCGTCAACGAGTGCGGCCAGTCAACGACGCCAGCTGCTTCTCCTTCCGAGTCTGAGGCTCGTAGCACGGCTCCTCTGCCAGTTGAGACGTCATGGCTGCCCTCGAGTCCTGCTCCGCCTGCGCCAGCTCCCCCCGCCTCTGCTGAGCCAGCTCCCGGTCCTTCGGGATCGTTCCCTCCAGCTCCCCCTGCATCTTCTGGCGGTTCGTCTGGCAGTGAGCCCTCGAAGCCAGGGCCTACCCCGACTGCGACCAACAAGCCGACCCCTTCCCCGTCGTATCCCGGAAGCACACCTTCGTCTTCAAGCGAGCCTGAGCAACCTCCCTCCAATGCCGCTCCTCTCTCGGGCGTATCTCTCGGCATGGGCTCCGTTGTGGCTGTTGGCATGGCAATCAATGCAGCCGTCGCTGCTCTCGTCTAAGAAGTCTCCCTGTTCGGCAGACATGGGCCCAGGAGATGGGTGGTGGGCGCCCCTCGCATTGTCATTCGAACAGGCACCAACTCGCAGGTTTTTAGCTCAGCCATAGCTTTCTAGTCGTTAATTGGGAATGTGGTGTCTCTATCTCGTGCGCAAGCGTGACAGCGTGACGTTCCTTGGCAACGATGTGGCGTAATGCAATAGACGGTAGGGGTCATGAGCGAGCCGTGTTTCGAGGGTCGAGTGTGGCTGTAGGTGTCAATGCATGCCTGCAAGACATAGGCAGGAGGATCGGCGGCTGGCTCGGCGGGATCGTGTGCCTTGTTGCCTCTTCTCTTCCTCGGCAGGCGCCCTGTGCCTCTCGACGCGTTGGCGCGGCTTGTCGCACGTAAGATTGCAAAATCTTCACCAGGCACGTTCTTCCAAGGCGCCTTCTCGATGCTTGAGGCGGACGCCGCGCCGAGCGGCTCCTCCAGGGGCTCGAACCGCGTGCCCGACGTGCGCGACGCCATTCGCTCGCCTTCCCGCGCGCACCCCCCCACGCCGTCGACGAGCTCGGCTGCTTCCTGCTTCCCTCGGCGTCCCTCGCGCGATGCACAGTCTGCGTGCGCCGCGGCATGCTGCGTGTGCAAGAGCAAGAGCGTCGCTCCAGCTGGAGAATGCGGGCGACGGCACGACCTCGTACGTTCCTCGTGTGCACGTGTGTCTCCAGCACCTCCATCGATTGGAAGGCGACGCATAGGACGGACAATTAGATGTGGTTTACGAAACATGAATCGCCTTGACCGAAATAGACCCCAGGCACACGCCGGATGACATGCCCCATTCGTTGTGCCGTGGCCAGGGCGCCGTTGCTTCTGCTCTCTCTTCCTAGGCCGACGTGATCACCAACCTGGTTCATAAGCCCTACGGTCCCGCAGCACCGGACTTTGTGATCCTGCTACCATTCTCCAGGAGACTGGTCACTTCTTCCGTGCACTCGAGTCGCCATGTCGCGCATTGTCCACAAGTGAGCTGCCAAAACGCTACTGCGACTACACACTGGCACTGACGGTGGCTGCTTAGGACCTCGGGCGGAAATGCCGCCTTCCACAATTTCCACAACGACTACGCCCACATTGCGGACCCCAACGAGAGGAGACGACTCGCTCTCGCTGAGATCGACAAAGCTCCTTTCGGCTGGTATCATATACGCGCAATAGTCGTTGCGGGTATAGGCTTCTTTACTGGCATGTCTACCCCCTCCGCCATGCACGCCATGACCTAATGTGGGACTCAGATGCCTACGACCTCTTCGCCGTCAACATGGTGGTTTCTATGCTGGGCGTGGTCTTCTGGCAGTAAGTCTCCCGGCTCATGCTGGCACATGTACATGTATGCAGTGCTCACTGTTCAGGAATGCCACCCACTCGCCAGGCAAGATACCATCCCATGCCGATACCGCCATCAAGGTCGCTACTTCCACCGGCACTGTGGTCGGTCAGGTTGCATTCGGTATCCTCGCTGATATCGTCGGTCGCAAGAAAATGTACGGCATGGAGCTCATTCTGATCATCTTCGCCACTCTCGCTCAGTCATTGTCGGCGCACTCACCAGCATGCTCGATTGTAGGCGTCATCGTTTTTTGGAGAGTCCTGATGGGTATAGGGATTGGAGGCGACTACCCTCTGAGTTCCATCATCACCTCAGAGTTTGCAACCACTAGATGGAGAGGTGCTATGATGGGATCCGTCTTCGCCATGCAAGGCATCGGACAGTTTGCTGCAGCAATGGTATCACTCATCGTGACCGAGGCATACAAGTCAACCTTGGAGCAGGCAAAGACAGTGGACAAGTGTACCGGTGCTTGCGGGCTTGCCGTTGACAAGATGTGGAGGATTGTCATCGGCTTTGGTGCCGTCCCGGGTTGCATCGCTCTGTACTATCGCCTTACCATTCCGGAAACCCCGCGGTATACCTTCGATGTTGACCGCGATGTCATTCAAGCCGGCTCCGATGTCAAAGCTTTCAAGGCTGGTATGCCAAGGGGCAACGTTGACGAGATCACACGTGCGCGTGCCAAGGACAACGATGCTCACCAGCTCGAGGTTCCGGTAGCTTCCTGGTCCGACTTCTTCAGTTGGGTCGGCAAGTGGAAGAATGGAAGCGTGCTGCTAGGGACAGCAGGCTCATGGTTCTTACTTGATGTTGCGTATTATGGTGCGTGCAGACCTTTCATTACGGCTCACCATGTCGTATTGACATGGAGAGTCCTAAGTAGTCGCAAAGACTAACTTGAGCTAGGCCTCGGACTAAACAACTCTATCATCCTGCAGCAGATCGGCTACTCTACAGGCAACGATGTTTATCAGCTTTTCCACAACCAAGCTGTAGGCAACCTGATCATCACCTGCGCAGGCGCAATACCCGGTGAGTCTCAAGTACCTTCCCTGCCCTGCCTCCTCCCTAACATATGATAGGTTACTGGGTCACCGTCGCAACGGTCGACACCATAGGCCGCAAGCCCATCCAGCTTATGGGCTTCGTCGTCCTCACCGGCATATTCGTAGCTATCGGCTTCGCGTACCACCTCCTCTCTGGAAAAGCTCTTCTCGCTCTCTACGTCATTGCACAATTCTTCTTCAATTTTGGTCCTAACGCCACCACCTTTATCATCCCTGGAGAATGCTTTCCTACGCGTTACCGCTCATCTGGCCACGGCATATCCGCCGCTTCAGGCAAAGTCGGCGCGATTATCGCACAGGTGTTGATCGGCCCACTACGGACGAGGGGAGCGGAGCCTGGTAGCTCGGATAGCCCGTGGTTAAATCATGTCATGCAGATCTACAGCGTGTTCATGTTTGCCGGTATCTTCACTAGTTTGCTAGTGCCGGAGACGAAGAGGAAGACGTTGGAGAGATTGGCGGGTGAGGTCGAGGGGACGCCGGAATACGATCCGGAGAACATAAGGAGAAGGGACGTGGAGAAGGCGGTGGAGCTAAGGGAAGGAGTACGGTCAAGAAACAGAGATAGAGTATGGGATGGGCAGTAAGTCAAAAAGTCATGCGGCAGAATGTAATATGTTCTTATCTCTTCATAGACTTCAGAAGGAGGGCTGGACCCTGATTAAGCCTTGAAATGAGCTGTCGTCCTGATCTGACCGCTGACTGGCCTTTGAAAGGATACTCCTGGCGACGTGTTGCGGTAGGGACTTGGAGGACTCCTCGATCTCCCACCAGAATCCAGGTCCGATGAGCACTTTTTTCCATGCAGTCCTTTCTCCAACCTGCTACCACAGCTCCTGCGAGGCCTCGTACGGGTCACGTACTGCCTACGAACACAGCCCCAAGTTCAACAAAGACGCCGTAACATCCTTGTTCCCCACCCTTTGTGCACTCGGCAACAAGCAAGAAATGCAACGCGACGCCAGGAAACACCCTGCTCAAACATGTAGTTCACTACTCACTTGAAAAGCTCGTCCAATTATCCAAGGTTCAAGATCAGTCTTCACTTTACCAGAAGTACTTCCGGACTTGCGAAGTCTAGCAAAGATGAGTGCACACAATAATTTTAAGTTCTCTGACAAACTCCCCGCCATGGGCGACGATGGGCTGAATGAGCTGAAGATAGAAGAAGCATGGTCGGATGAATTTTTCTCTTCTGCAAAACGGCCAGGAAGACGATGCCGATGGCAGTCAACTGCCTGCTAAAGACTCTGTTCTTCTAAATAATGAGTCTGCCTCAACTTTACAACGTAATGGACATGGGCTCGCGGTTGACCCGGTCGCTGCTGAAAGAAGACCCGCCTGGATCAAGTCGGTTGAGATGACTAGAGCTACAGGGTGGCCTAAGAAGCGGGTTACTTTTTCTGATGTTGGATCACTCAATGACAAGAAGAGAGGAGTTGAGGATGACGCCGGGAAAGACGGAGGAAAGGAAGACATTCGAAGTGAGGTTTACGACGTTGAGGCAAGCGAAGTGGCCGCTCAAGATGTAGAGAAGGAAGGTGACAGTGCTGTTGGAGAATCTAGTCCTGCCAACATAATCACGACAGATCGCAAAATATATACCAATACATCACTAAAGTCACCGACAGCTACATCCACTCCTGCGCCTACGCCTACGCCTACCCCTACCCCTACATCAACATCACCAGCCTCACCAGCCCGCAGGTCAGTCAGATTACTAGCGAAGCAGATAGCAAAGGTGGCGGCACAGATCTGCGATGATGGGTCTCTTCTCAGCGACGCAGAATCTATTCCAGAGGACGCAAATGTTGACAGTGCATCACAGGCTGCACAAACCAAATGCAAAACTACAGTCAAGCCAAATCAGACGAAACGAGCCTCAAACAAAGGGCCAGTGGACAATCCTCCGAAAGAAGGCAGCCTTTCTCTCGCAAGGGAGGGAAAGGCGTGTAGGAAGGAGGTGAGATTGGCAGGTGAGCCCGAAGACGCCGAAGACACCAACGAGCGGGCCATCACAACGGCGCAGATGCGCGATACTATCACAAGCTTGCTGGCGAACAGTTTGCAAGTACACCACCAATTCGTAGACTGCGCAACCGATCGTGCTGGTGATGCTGCTGGAGAGGCTGCGGAAGTCGCCTTTTCCAACGCATTGGGCACGAAGAAGAGGACGAAAATGCAAAGGTTAGCGGCTTTGAAAAAGCGGAAGAGTAATTAGGGTAGTATTATATTGAGGTGGGAAGTGCCTTGACGATGAGACGACGTGACAGGCGACGGCGACAAAGGAGTCCGTGACACGATCTGTACTGCGAGCTGAGGTAGATAGTCTGTATGTATGGATATACTTCGTAGTGTATAGTGTAACGATTCGTGTAGCACTACTACCTCTATGTTCTGTGTTTCAAGTAAAAGAAAAATTATCCGTGGAGCCATGGTACTACCATGCCAATTACCTAGGATCCGATCATCTCTTTCCAGTGAGACTTCTTAAACACAAGGTTGGATCAAAGTCTCCATCGTCTACAATTCTAACAGTCTCCCTGCACGCTTGCCGTCAATGTCGCACGACTTCGCCGAATCACCAAGCAAGCAAGCTGGCACCTTGTACCCTATCATATCTTACCATCAAACCAAGGACATTACTATGTGCACCCTTTGGTGTCTATGTCTTCGAGACAAACAAATAATAAGCACCCAAACACTAACACCAATCGTGACTGAACCACAAACACAAGAAACCCTTATAAGACGCACTCTACTTTTGCATTATTTCTCTACCGCAAGCTGCTTTCGAACGTACAACATGGCTCGTAGTAGAGCTCACCATGACACCCGAACCGGAAACAAAGAGTCCGACGCCGCTCCCCAGAAGAACGAGAAAAGAGTCAGGTATGCACTGAAGAAGGCTGAAGAGATGGTAGACAGTGCTGAGGCGTTTGGCCATGGAAATAAGAAAGGAATGTCCGGTAAGGGTGCAGAAAAAGCCGTGCAACCTGTCGCTGACGACGCCGACAACAACGCTGCTTCGTCCAGGTCCAAGTCGTCGAAAGCACCCAAGAACAAGACAGCAAAGGATCGCTACAAGAAGAAGAAAGCTAATTTACCACTTAATTTTTCCAGCCTTGCAAAGTATGCAGCAGAAAGAAAGAGTCAGAATGCGCAAGACTCCAGTGACGAGAACGCGGGAGCAGACGTTGGAAATCAAGGACCATCTTAAACAGATATCAATGCAGAAGTCACCCTCAGAACTATCAAAATGAGCGAACAGATTGCGATGCTATTGAAGACGAGCCAGGAGTCGTGACTCCAGACTCAGACAGTTGCGGATGACTTCACGGATCATGTTGCGTACATAGGCGATGAGAAAGATACAAAAAGTGCTCGTGACAAATTCGATGGGATCCAGAAGAGAAAAATTAAGGGAGAGAGATTGGAATGGCCGTCTCCGAAGTGGGCAAAGGGAGCGGATGCAGAGGAGTGATTGGGTGCGAAGTTGGAGTTGAAGGGTAACATATGGTAGCATCTCTCGGAAGGTTTCGAGGGTTTGGAGTCGCCAGGTAGCAATGGAACATTCTCACCATTCGTGAGCCCCTGAATCTCGAGTACGTAGCTCGCATATTCGACAGATAAGCTGTGGTGATAGATCAGTGATGACGTCGGATGAGTCGGCAAGCCAATTGCAGTGTATGACCTTCATATGGACTAGCTGAACATCCACATCCCGCGACATCAACGTCAGCTTCATGCCCTGTAGACCATCTTTAACCCCCGAGTGCTACCAGATCTCCAAGAGCTTCGAGAGATGTTGTTGATTCCGCTTCACCATCTTTGAGATCAAGGCCCGTGGAGATGTTCTAGCGTGCTCTTCTTACCGGGCCTCTCTAATTTTTTAAGGTATTCAGCCTATCAATGACACATGAATAGCTATTCGTACTACGTGTAGCCACTTTGCAATCTCTGCGAGCGTGCTTTATCGTCTCACGATATTAAAAATGCATTGCAGACTTCACATAATCTCTTCATAACAGGTTAAAAGCTTGGAAAGCGTCACATGACTCCAACAAATACACCCATTCGTCCTCATGCCAGCATCCCTCATCTGCTTCTTGCACGTGAAGCCCACACCAATAGAGCTTGGGCAAAGACTGAATTCGGAGTCGGTGAAGACTATAAAGCACGGTTTTTCTGGCTTACTTTCGTTCGTTGCCGAGGGAAGTTATAAAACTCGCGAAGGCCAGTCAAGATGCCCCACTAAAGTGAGGTTCAGACGAAGGCAAACGCGTCGTCTGCTATCACAGTCAATGCGCGAGACAGTGTAAATACACCAGGTACCGGTGTTGCTGGAACAGCTCAGCACAGCTGCGACGACGATCCACTCATAGCAGACGACACTGAGTTTGAGATAAGGAAAGGAGAGGAGCTTGTGGAGAAGACATTGAGAAGGATGCTACAAAGAACGAGGAAGCACCGCGCAGAGATGTCCGGCAACGTGTACCTGACATCGCTGAAGAGCATGGAATAACCCATCTATATGAGTTGGCGAGGTCAGAATCTCCTGGGAGCACAAAGGAAGACAAGTGCCTCCGCGACTGCGAATGCTAAGCCTGAAGATACATGATGAGACTGAGCAAGCGCAGATATATGATGAGACTGAGCAAGCGCAGATGCAGATGATGAGAACCAGCAAGCTGATGACGGTGCTAGAGACGGAGCAAGCAAGGGCGGCGAAGGGACGTGGCGAGGCTGGATTGAGGAATGCTCATGTTGCGGCAGAAGGAAAGTCCTTGATGGTTTTGAGATGCAAAGCGAGTATTGCAAACCATCTTAGGAAAAGGCATAGGTTTCAGAGTTGATTGGGGATCCAGTGGAGAGGAGGTGTGGAATCTGGGTTTCGGCGTGGTTGCCCGTCGCAACGGCGCTTCGGACGGCAAAACAGGACGCGTCTGTGCCTTTTGGAGCCAAGCGCCAACGGCTCTCTCCCGTCACGTTTAGTCGACCTCTCCCTTGACCTGCAAGACTTGACCTTCGCGCAAGCACGAACCCTTCTTCCAAACTGCCCACCATGCGTCGTTTCGCAGAGAGCACGCCGTGCCCTGCGCCGCATCTCTCCTTCGCAAGCCATCGCTACAACGACCATGCTAGCCGTCGCACGTCCATGTACGCGCCCGTCTACTCGACTGACGGCGATACCACCGCCAATATCGAATATACCACAGAAGTACAGGCAGATTTGCGCTATGCGAAGCCCAGGCGACCCGCGCGCAGCATGCGCAAGTCATCATTCAACACCGGCTTAGATATCTTCGAAGATGTTGCGCAAGAGGATGAGCAGGTCGCTTTCGAGACAAAACGGCGCAGTCGAGCGTCCGTCATGCCTGCAGGAGTTGAAAGGAGAAGCAATCTCCTAGCGCACAAGCCACAGAAGATGCATATAGCAGCGCCCCACGTGAAGGAGCCCCTACCACAAAAGCCACAGAGGAGACGAGTCTCACAGCTTCTGACGGATAGACGTGCTGTTGACGAGAACCCTACGGTGCAGCTGCAAGAGGTAGCTTTGGATAAGAGGGAGTTGCGGAAGCAAGGACCCAAGAAGGACCCCAGGCGAAGGACCATATACGTCCCATCTGATGATACGTCCGTATTTACCATCCACCCGGGGCAGCCCACGCACAAGCCACGAAATCCGCGAGAGTATTCACCCGATACTGGACTGGAACTGGTCACCCTGTCAGAAGAGGAGGCCGAAAATCTGGTACCTGCGCTGAAGCAGGAGAAGAAGGCCTTGCGCAAGTCTCTTGCTGCACCTCCGAAGCGTGCACCACTGCTGCAGACGGCGCGTCAAAGCCAGTCCTTCTCCCAGGACATACACGGCCAAGGCGGCGGAAAGGAGAATGTTCCGCCTGGAATGCAAGTGTTTGAGGGCAAGGCTGGCACGCATATCGAGTTAAACTTTGGCAAAGAAGAGCAGAAGCAGCCCGCACCGAAACCGTCCAGGGTGCATTTCAGCAGCAAGATATCGGAGACAAGCTCACAGGCGAGGACCAAGACCGAAGGCACGCAGAAGCGGTTGCGACCCCAATTCAGCCATGATGGATCGCCCGCGAAATCGATCAAGGCAAAAGCGGACAGCGTTGCATCGTCTATCCGTACAACTTCTACGCGCGCTTCGACAACGACCAAGTCTTCCGTGAGGACTGTTAAGAGCCGCGCATCTTCAAAGTCGAAGAATGTGTTGTCCTCTTCCTCTCCGTTCCACACAGACCGATCCCCACCAACAGCGCTCCGCCGGAGGAAAGTGGAACGAGGACCGACCACGATCACGTTGATGCACGAGGTCGGGAAACGAGCGCCAGCAAAAGAAAATTATCCCGTCTTGACTGAAGACCTTGCTCGACCAGAACTATACGAGGACAATTGGCTCACCTATCAGGAGATTGCCATCACCCAGCTTGTCAACTCGATGTTCGACTCGGCCATCAAAGACCCCAATGGAGAGCAGAGCACGGAACAGCTCAGGAAAAGACTGCTCGACATATATCACGGCCCTTCTATGGCGTCCTTGCATAAGCGATTACAGTCCTCGCTGCAGTATGGCGCTTTAAGCATTCCAAAGGACCTCCTGGCACATACTCTACGCCTCAAGGATGATGTCGGCCAGCGAAAGAAATTCCTCAACTTGTGGGTGAAGACATACGACCTCAATACGCTACGAGCTGCCGCTGAGGTCATCGTTGGACGTCAGCTCAGTGTTCCGTCGAGATTGTCAAGCGGGTCTACCAATTCGGATGATGGCTCTCGGGTGATGCGAGCTGAGCGAAGGGCCATCGAAAATTTTCTCGACACTTTCCTGATCCGCAACGAAGACGCTATCCGTGTCAAGAGTGGCATGGGCAGCATCGCGAGTATCGCTCGGGGTGACCCTGGCGATGAATTTGGCTCGCAGGGCTGGTCCTGGAGACGCACAGCACTTCGCAGCTTAATGCTAGTATTACTCCTCGACAAGGCCAAGAGTGCCGATGCGCTCTCCGGTTGTCTCTTCCAGTCGGCTTCGCTCTATAAGGCCTCCACCGATGTCTTGCATGCGTTGTCTACCATGCTTCTTCCATCTCATGGCGACATCACTCGCCCATTGGGGCATCTGAACTATAAAACCGAGCACGTCCAGTACCCTTTGCAGGAGTACACATATCACATCGACAACATCGCGATCGACCTCCGCGATGGTGTGGCTCTGACCCGCTTGGTCGAGCTTCTGCTTTACCCACGAACTACGCTCACGGCACAGCGAGAGGACACCATCACGATCACCATGCCGACTGGTGACGTCTTTACTAGCGCTGTGGATCTCACGTCAAAGGAAAGCTGGGTGCTTTCCCAGCACCTCAAATATCCCTCCATCAGCCGCGCACAAAGACTCTACAACGTACAGGTCGCCCTCGCGGCTCTCGACGGAGTACGTGGTCTTCCAATCCAAGTCGTCGGTGGCGTGACCCCGGAAGATATAGTGGACGGCCACCGTGAGAAAACTTTGTCGCTTTTGTGGTCACTCATAGGCAAGTACGGTTTGGGAACTCTGGTGGATTGGGCACAGCTCACCAAGGAGATCGAGAGGTTTAGAGATGCGTGGTACAACCGGCGGGACAATTACGAACAACACGATCTGGACTCTGAAGATGACGAGCGAACTTCAGGATTCACAGGTCTTGAACACCACAAGCGCCTCCTCCTGTCCTGGGCTCGCTGCGCCGCCCGTACGCACGGACTCCGCGTCACTAATCTCACAACTTCCTTCTCGAATCCCAAGATTCTCGAGGCCATTGTGGACACGTATCTCCCTGCGACGCTTCTCGACACCACAGCTTCTCTTAGCCTAGCGGCGAAACTCAAAGCAACAGGCTGCTCCACGTCCTTCATCGCGCTGTTCGCCTCGCCAAAGACCTCCATCCCATCAAAGGACTTCACTCTACTTACCCTCTCTTTCCTCGCCAGCCGCCTCCTCCCCCTCAACATCACGCACCGCGCCGCTTCCACCATCCAGCGAGCCTACCGCGCCCATCTCGCGTGCCGCTCTCTCCGCCAGCGCATTATCAAGGCGCACATTGCGCACGAGGCCGCCGTCGTTGCGCAAGCGCGTGAACGACTGCTTAACGCTGCGGTGCTGGTGCAGAGGAGGTGGAGAGCTGTATTGGAACGGAGGAAGGAGGAGTTAGAAGCACATACTATGCTATTTCAGAGTTTGGCGAGGGGGTGGGCGATTCGAAGGTGGGCTAGGAGGGTCACGGGGGTAAGGTTGGTGGGAAGGAGAAGGTGAGGAGGGTGAGGGGTGGTTGGTAGAAGGAATGATGGTGAGCGTGGTCTGGTAATGTTTAACGACCTTTACTGTTCTTTCTTTCGTATCTTAGGGCTCTTGGTGCGCTGAAATCGAGGTAGTCTTTAGGTGTAAAGGGAAAGGATTAAGCTAGATACCATTCTTATGATTGAAATGTGAATTTAGTCATTCAGTACCAGCAGGAACCAAGCTCAACATGGTGATGTCCTTGATGATGGAGCAGGGATTTCGGTGTGAGTGCAGCGGACGCTTGATGTATTTCGAGCCGGACATTACATACTCCATGATGGTACTCATCGTCCTTTTCCTTCCCTCTCGGTTTTCGCAAACATCGCTCCAAAGTATTCGTCTAGCCATGAGAGACTGCGAACGGCGTAGTAGACGAGGCACTCCTGATGCCGTTGTAGCGTCCGGAAGCGAACTTTATACGGTCAAAGTCCGATGTATAGTAACATATGCGCAACATCCATCATATTGTATATAGGTATAACAATATCGCTTAAATCACCTCGGTCCATGGAAAGACAGCATGGCGTGAAGTCGGGAGTGAGGGGAAGAGTATCGCGGTAGGCCGTGCAAACATCAAGTAAATGTGAGGACGATGTCCGGGACTTTTTTGGTGGAGACGGCATACCACTTGTAAAGGTAGTCTGTAAGAGTGGTAGAGCTAGTGATGGAGCACGGAGCTGTGAGTGACTGAACGTGGAGCCGGACATGCTGATGGTTGCTCGATGTAGCAGTAGTAGATTGTAGAGCCTGATGGAGTAGCGAGGCCGTACTTTTTTAACTTAGCAAGATACTGTCTCTTTCGTGCTTCCTGAGCTGCCAAAGAGGTGAAGAGGTCAGGGGTGAATGATCGGTTGAGCGATGCCTCTGAAAGCGAAGGAGTAGTCGCAGGCACGATTATAAGAGAGCGAGTACAGCAAAGGACAATGAGTGAGCGCTGATCGGAGCGGAGGAGCGTCGCATCGGGAGCGTGGGAGAGCCAGATTATTAAATTTGCAGCGAGCCGCAATTTCATATCTACGAGCAAAGTCGAAGTAAATTGGACAAATAGTGAAGGTAACCAAAGTCGTTGATTAGACAGCTGCGAGTCGGTAGGGAAAGCGGTAGCGTGGAGAGACTTCTTAATTAGGAAGTCGCTGCTGTCAGATTGCTGCGATCCCATCCGAGGGGGGTAAACCTCGGCGTGTCTTGTTGGCTACTGAAACAATATCGACGTGTGAGTACCTCTGCGCCTCGGTATTCTCTGCGAGTATGCGCACTGGACGTGGCTGGCGGGAAGAACGGTATGCCTGTCTAAGACTCGATGGAAATCGAGTATTGTTGTGAGCAGAACGAATGCTTCATCCAGTACGTTGGACGAAGTTGACGGTAAACCCGGAGAAAATCAGGCAAGCTATCACAGAGCGCTTTCCCAGTGCCAGATGAAATACAGGGTCGGTCCTCCGCTGTCTCCTCCCGCCCATCCAGGTTAGTCATGCTGTAAGCGGAGTGCCCACCCACCAGTTACTTGGTCTAAGCCTTGAAGCCTTCTTCGCCCTCCCTCGGACCCAGACCCTTCTTCACTCCATCTTTCAAGGTCTTCCAGTCCACTCCGTGATGTGCCTTGCCTTGTTTGCTCTTCCCAGTCGCGAAGCTATGCAAGCTGCCTATAGCAATCTTCCTCATCAGCACCGTATCCTCCGCGCCCTTCAGTGTCCTCCCTTTGCCCTCCGTCAAGAACTTTTCAATCCATTCGTCCTCCTCTTCACTGAAGGGCAAGCCAACTAGCTCGAGCGCCTTCTCCTCTCTTGGGTATATATTCTCAATTTCGTTCGGTTCTCCACCGCCCCAGGCCCGATGGTCGAGCGTCTGCTCAACAAGCGCCTCCAGCAGTTGTCTGTGCTCGTGTTCCGGTCGTGCGCGGATCCAGTAGTAAGCCTCCGTAACATTCCTCGCAGCCAGATATCTCACAAAGGGCTGCCTGATGGCGTCGGTCGCAAGCGGTGGCTTGACGCAATTGTAGTAGGCAAGCGGCAGGATATCCGTCTCATTCATGCCGCTCAACTGATGATGTCTCCGGTTCACCAGCGTGATTAGGATTTCGTCGGGGAACGTAGGTATGATAGAAGGGTGCGTCAGGTGGCCGACCGCATTATCGAACTGCAAGTGATCCAGCTCCCATATGCCCTCTATAAATGTCCAGAAACGCGTCTCGAGATGGACGTTGGTTGCGAATTGGGTGGCCCACTCTGGGCTCGTCTTGTAGTGTGGGGAAAGGTCTCGGAGAAGGTAGAAGATCAGGCAGTGTTTATAGTGCAGGGTTATGGGCGCTTCGCAGATGCGCTTGTGTAGTTCGCGCAACCCGTCGTCGCCTTTCGGAGGGTACATTTTACGCCCTACAAAGGTCACAAAGGTCAATCGACTGTTGACCTGAGAATCATGAATGCGCGACTCACATTTGATATTGAGCAGCTCTAACAGCCGCTCGAAGAAGGTCCGCCCACCGAGTGTGCTCTGGCACTCGGAAATGTCCCTTCGCAAGCCTTCAGCATAGCTCCCATAGGGAAATATTTGATCGTAATCCTCGATGTCTAGCATCTTTCAGGCGGAGTAGGTATCAATCCCCCGGTTCTGAGAGTGGATCGGGTCGCGCGCACTTTATCGGTGATGGTTGTTTGGAATGTGGAGAGCTATCTGAAGATCGCCTGGGCGCCGCGCGCTCACGTGCTGCTTACATAACGCACATACATCGACTACTAGGGGAAGACGGCTCCTTCATTGTCTGACCGTAGTCAACCGAGTTACGATCGTGTGTAGAGAGACGATCTTCTTAGATAATCTACACGTCCTTCGTGAGCTCGTTCTTCATATAAGGAGGCTAATGAGAATGGACAAAGCTACCTTGACTTGGCATGAACAACGTATGATATCTGCAAACTAATTGAACGCACCAGGACGAACACACATACCAAATTCTAAATCGCAATGCTGAGATGTTATACGAATAAGCATTGACATATGGCCAATGTTCGTAACTTGAGTGTTTAAGTCTGTTTATTCGCTTTTGCTTCGACGTCCAATTATATTACATGCATTCCCAGTATGCACTGGTATTGTTACAGACGAAAGCGCAAAAGCAGGCTGCCGCTATCCAAACGCCACCCATGCAGACGGGAGTAGAATTGCCCCTCTCGCCAAGTCAAACTATGCAAAGTCTTGAAAAATACAGGCGTAGCAGTGAGCCTTGATGTGTAGAATGTACGGTGTTCACGTAAAGGTGTGCCTAAGCATCCTCTCGCAGTCGCCCTCGTCTTTCGTTGAGTACGGTCGCCATCTTCTTCCCCACCTCATAGCTGCTGATCATGATTGCGCAGGCGGGTGCGACCTTGAGACATCGGGCTGTCCAGCCCTTGAACAATCCTGACGCACCCTGCTCCTGGAATATGTGCCAGAGGAATCGTGGCATGGATTGTTCTTCCGGTCGAAGTGCCTTGACAGCCGAGCCTGCTTCCTCTTTTGTGTGGTGTAGGACCTGCTGCCTGGTTTTTCCAACATCAAACGGTGTCGTAACGAAAGCAGCTACTGCGCCGGATCCCGCTCCGGCGACAAAGCTGTCCACCAAGGTCTCGGTTTGATTCTCCCGGCTACGTGATCGGCTCCTTCTTCTTATTCTTTCTTCGCCTCTGCCCATGCGAAACTCTGGTCCGTCACTTCTAGCTTGTGTTCGGCAACGAAGATCCGTTATGACGTTGCGGCCATATTCATAGCCCCACCAGTAGATGGCAGAGAATGGAACGTCTCTCCACAGCGTCAGGGTGAGACCTCTCCACAAGCTGCGAACTCCTTTATCTGCCACCATGTCTCGCAAGCCGTCCATGGTCTCGCTGAAGTGGCCAGCAGCCGTGGCCGTGTGAGTTGCTGCCTGCATTCTTGTCCGGAACATCTCAATCGGGCTAACAGCAATCGCGGAAAGGACGCGGGCACTCGCTCCGGCAACCAAAGGGATGTACGCGTCGGATACCATCCGTTTGAAGGGCGAGGCCTGCGCGGTCCGCATCCAGTCGTACCCGGCGAAGTAGATGACATTGGCGGGTATGGTCATAACGAGTGTCGGCGACAGCCCTCTCCAAAGCGTGCGCAGCCCTTCGTTCTGTGATATCTTGCGAAGACCGTCCCAGGTGCTGTTGATTGTTCTCCGCTCCACCTCTTCCACGGCGCAAGCGGCATGGGCAGGATTGAGAGGAGCCACCGTGGGCCCTGCAACGCATAATGGCGCCGCATTGCTTGACCAGAAAACTTCTCTGCAACATGTGGTTATTCCGAGGTTCGGGTGCAGGTCGCGGAACTGGGTGAGAGAGCCGGCCGAAAAAGCGGTAGACGGGCGATGCGACGACGCGGTCGGTATGTGCGCTTGCGATTGAAGGCGAACGCGAACAACATCGAGAGGCGTGACTGCACGGTCAAGTCAGCTTGCGTTTGCCCATGAGCAGACGGTACACATACCCAGAAGCGACGTCAAGACGCTGCCCGTGGTCGCGGACAGCATCTTCTGCACGACCGTGACCCCGTCGGCGTCGGCCACTTCCTCTTTGTTGGTAGCCATGGGCGGCTAGTTTACCTCGAGTCGGTGCGAGGCAAGTCGTTGAAATCCCAGAGGCGTGAAAAGGCGGGCGTGCGCATGTTCAGGCGGGCGGCGGTCCAAGTCAGGAGCACTAGTTATGACGCTGCGACAGAAGAAAGCTCCACGGACCAGCCCAGAGTCGGTGTTTAGCGCAAGCTCGGAAGATCTGGCAGCCCTTATCAGATGTGGCGTTGCGCACGCCATGTCATGATCCATCGCCCGCGACTCCTACACCGCGCACCCATGAGTCATCGTCCACTAGTCCAACGCAGTGGGATAAATAGACTTGGTATGTATCCTGCTAGAGTAGTCTCGCGCCCGCGATCCACCGCTTTCCGTCCCCAGAGCCGACATCGGACTTAGCCGCTGATAGCCGCCACGCACGTTGCAGTACCACGCTACCGCAGCCATGGACTCGACCGAACAGGAGCTCGAGGCCTTCCGTCAGAAATGGAGGGCCGAGGTCACTGCCAGGACCAAGGGCACGCAGCCGGCATCACCAAGGACAACGCAGGCATCGTCAAGCAGAGCGCCTAAGAATAAGGGCCCTGACGTGCCATCCCACGTGCGCCACCACAGTGAAGACGTAGACGAGGCAGCGCCTCACGCGTACCATGACCTGAGCGAGAAGCAGCATGGAAGGCGCCTGGATGAAACCAGTGCGCTCGCCCCTTCATTGGGTGCGGAACCAAAGTCTGCGCTGGACCATTACGAGAAAGCAGTAGAGAAGGAGACCCAGGGCAGTTTGGGGGACAGCTTGAATCTGTACCGGAAGGCTTTCAAGGTACGATCCCTGGCATGACCACGTCCCAACACCATGAGCTCACCCTTTCAGCTCGACGATAGCGTTCATGAAAAGTACAAGGCGAAACATTTCCCTCCCAAACCTCCACACCCAAAGCCGAAACCTCAAGACCCCAATTCCTCAAATGCCCCGGTCACGGTTCCTGATACTGCCCATCACTCCCTACAAGGCCTCCGACCGACCCTACAGTCGATGATCGAGGCTTTCTCCGCCCTCTCCATCCTAGGCGACGAGCCACCGACTGACTTCTCCCCGCCACCTCCATGTCCCATCGCCGCCACCCCTGAGGAGATCCTTGTTGAGATCCTCGAACATGTCGCCCTTCAAGACGTAGCATCATTTGCCCGCCTGAGCCAGGTCTGCAGACGCCTTGCATATCTTGTGACCACCGAAGAGCGAGTCTGGAAACGCATCGCCCTAGGTCATGAGTACGGATTCGCAGCCATGCATTATACCTGGTCCTGCCAGGTCGACGGCAAACCTCTCGGAGACGATGACCAAGGCGGTTACATTCTCGGCCCACATTTCTCAGATCCCATCGTACCCACTCCCTTTCCCCAAAACATGACCCCCCTCCTTGTACCATCAGCCTACCCAACCTATCGCACCCTTTTCCGCCGCCGACCCAGAGTCAGGTTCAACGGATGTTATATCTCCACGGTGAACTACACCCGTCCTGGCGCCTCATCCCCCACGAGCATAACCTGGAACTCGCCCATCCACATCGTGACATACTATCGCTACCTCCGCTTCCTGCGCGACGGGACTTGCATTTCCCTCCTGACAACCTCCGAACCCTCCGACGTAGTTCCTTACCTCTACGTCGAGAACATGCACAACAATCACCACAACCTTCCGTCCGCTCCGATGAAGGATGCGCTACTAGGTCGGTGGAGGCTGACGGGACCGGAAGTCCCTGGTGTTGAGGACGGCGAGAAGGAGGGCACGCTGGAGATCGAGACGGCGGGTGCAACGCCAAAGTACATGTATAAGATGTATCTAGACGTAGGTATCGCGGGGCGTGCGGCTAGAAACAATAAGCTTGGTTGGCAAGGTTATTGGAGCTATAATCGGTTGACGGATGACTGGGGCGAGTTCGGGTTGAAGAATGACCGGCCGTTCTATTGGAGTAGGGTGAAGAGTTATGGGATGAGTTGGGAGGAGAGCGGGATGAAGTGCTAAGGCTTTAGAGGTCATGGGCTAGTTCCGGACGAATGAGAGCATGCCACTTGAGTTATGGTGTCGGTTCTGTCTTGCATGCGTGATTCACTGTTTTCATTATCGTAACATGCGGCTTTTCGATGCTGCACAGCTACGTTTGCGGTATCCCTACATTTACTCCACTACGCAAGCCTCTTTTCTACCTCCTGGGCATACCTCTGCCACGACCCCGTCCGCCGAGCGCCCTCTGCGCCGCGCCCGGTGGCAGGGGCTTGTTCGGAGCTTGTGGCTGTTGCGATTCTTGGTTCCCTGAAGATTTGTTAACTTTTCGAGCTTATACTGATGGTTGAGTGCCTTACTGATCGTCTCGTCTACGCTCAAGATCAGGCACGCTGCCTCAGTGGCAGCCTGCAGAGCGTTGATTTTGACGAGACTAGGTTCCCAGACGAATTTCTCCATGTTGTTCGCAATACCTTCATCCACAAAGTCGACGCCCGCCCAGATGTTGCCTTTCTTGTGCTCAACTCGTAAGCGATTGAGGATATCCGTTGCATCGATGCCGGCGTTGTCGCACAGTTGCCTCGGGATGACTTCAAGAGCTTTGGCGAAAGCCTTGATGATAGGTTGTTGCTTGTTCCGCACGTCCTTGTCGGCAAACGCATGTAGGTAGGCGGAAACCTCCATCTCGCAAGCTCCTCCTCCTGCCACAATGTTCCTGTTCTGAATCGCGCGCTTGACAATCATGATTGCGTCGTGCAAACTTCGCTCGACTTCGGCAATGAATTGCTCAGCACCACCACGGAGTACAAGCGTGCAGGTCTTCGCTTCGGGGCAACCCTCAAAGAAATTAAATCGCTCGCCGCCGATCTGTCGCTCCTCGAACTTCTCGCAGGTACCCAGATGCTTGGGCTGAATGTCAGAGCAGGTAGACTGGATGCTGGCGCCTGTTGCCCGGCATACGCGGTCCAGGTCGTCTGATGCTACACGTCCAGCGCAGAAAACGTCTCGGTCGGCAAAGTACTGTGTTGCCAAATCGCCAATGGGAAGTTTGCTCAGCACCACCTTTGCGCCAGTCTTGTACAGCGCCTCCATCTTGTTAAAGATGATCTGCCATTCTGCGTCCACGATAGCCTGGTATTCCGAAACCTGTTCCACGCGCACCTCTGCGTTATCCTTTTCACTCTTGAGCTCCAACTCGACGTTCAAGCACACGATCTTGGGGTTGGTGAAAGCCTTGGGCTGTTGCTCGAAACCGGCATATGAGAAGGTCTTCTTGAAAGCTACGCCGTTCACGAAAAGCGAGTCCTGCAGCGCACCACCCGTGATCTTTTTAACGCCGATCAACCGCTCGTTGAGGTCATCTTGATCAAGGGAGAGAACAGCATCCACCACCATCTTGGTGAAGAAAGCAGAATTGCGGTGTATCAGCTTGCTGCTCATGGCTGTGGCAGCGAGCTTCTGAAGCGTCTCCCGCTTGTTACCCTCTGTGGTGTCGACCGCGATCTCCATGACCTTGTTGACTGCAATGTTCGATGCTCTTCGCAGGCCCTTGATAATGGTCTGGCTGCTCACACCCTGCTCAACATAGTCCTTGATCTCCTTCAATATCTCACCCGCGAGGACCACCACAGAGGTGGTGCCGTCGCCCACCTCGGAATCTTGCGAGCGCGCAATGTCGGTGAGGATGCGGGCGGCTGGATGCACGATGTCGAGGAGCTTCATCACTGTTGCGCCGTCGTTCGTGATGGTCTGGCGGCCGTTCTCGTCAACCATCAACAAATCGCCGCCATAAGGGCCCAGGGTGCCCTTGATGGTCGACTGTACTGCGAGACATGCGTTGATGTTGGACACGATCTGCCCTCGTCCTTGCGACTGGTCGGTGCCTGACAAACTTAGCTCGCTGTGCGAAGGTTGACAGAGCTTCGCTACCCACCTTCTCTCAGCACCACTATAGTGGGCGTCTGCCCGCCGAACGACATGGTGGATGTGGGGTATCGATGCAGAAGGCTACTCTAGAAACAGTGCACAGAGAAAGAGCAAAAGCAGGAGCTCGGAGACAGCAGCAAAGGGTTGGGGGGCAGTCGAAACGTTCCCCGCAGGCACCACCAAGCGCGTTGCAAAAAGTGCAGGCGCGACCGCCGGGGCTTCCGACCTGTTTTTCCGCGCCGAGACCAATGCGGCAGGGGCAATGGGGCGCGCCTTACGGACGTCCTTCCACCACCCTTCCGTGCATGAGTCGTCTCTCCATCCGTCTGTGATTGTTCGTCTGCCTTTTTGCATCCTCGCTCTCCTTGATGCTCCCGCGCATAACTAGTCCCACCCTCGAGCTTCTTTCGAGCTCTTTCTGGAGATATCGCAGACGTGCCCAGTCTGTCTCGTGACCACCTCTAGCGCACCGGCAGTTCCGTCGTCGCGTCCCGTCTTGCTGCCGTCGTTCCTGTCATAACTTGCTGTAGCTTTGATCTTGCCTTCTTGTGTTTCTTGCGCCGCCTCAGCATGCCGGCCAAGACATTTTCGAAAAAGGTGAGCACTCTGCTCTTGCCTCTGAAACCAACCCGGTATTGCTAGCTTACACCCTCACTGGCCAAACCAGCAATCAACGACATCTATCTGTCCAGATTAGCTGGCTCCAGGGAGTCAGTTGCAAAACAAGCTTCGATACCAGAAACAATAACTGCTCTGGACAACTACCCTCCTTTACTGCGCATTCCATCAGAGATTCGAAGAGAAATATTCCGCTACGTACTCCCTTCTTCCACCCAGAGGTTTACCCTTTACACCGATTGCGACTCCACCGTCATCAGCAAGAAATGGAATCGCAAGTGCAGGCCACATCCCGACAAGCTCACGCTCGACATCCTGAGAACCACTCGCCTCATTTACCATGAATGTCTGTCCATATTGTACTCAGAAAACCTGTTCCACTTTTACGCCTTCAACTATCTACCTGTTTTGGACTTCATACGACACCTGAGTCCCGAAGCCAAAAGCCTAGTTAGGAAGGTCCGCCTCACCCCTCTTACAGAGAACGGAGAAGAAGAGACGGTAAACCACAACGCATTTTGCACCGTCGTGCACGATAGCCTGCCAGGCCTCAGCGAGCTACAAGCCGATCCCCTAGTGTTTTTCTGAACTCACAACTGGGGTCGCCAAGAAGACGCGCGCCGCGGAGCTGGGGCCAGCAAGCATGCCACCGTCGCTTAATCCACTGGCCTGCATAATTCGCAATCTCAGCTCGGGGACTTTTGAACGTCGAAGCATCTATTGCATCCGACTTCAATGGTGAGGTCGTGAAGTTCCTTAGTACTTAGATCCGCCTTGGGATGGGGAGAGCACGGATGCGGAAATTAAGAGCTATGCTAGCCCATGCATTTAGCCCGAATTGGGTATCAAGACATTTCTTGTCCGTGATCGACAAAGCAGGGTTGTTGTCCGGCCATGCTGTTCACTTAGACATATTAACGATAATGTTCACGCCACTATTTCTTAGAATTTCCTGGCGGCGCTGGGGAGGAACTATAGACCTTCTAGAAGCGGGCCGTCTCCTAGGATCATACATATGTAGCGACACGCTAGGCACTCATGCATGAGCCTTTCAGGGCGACATAACCCTATCAGCTGCTCTCGAGAATCATTTTTGCATATATACCTCATATAACATGCAGTCAGCGCGCATCGTATTCTCGACTTCCTTCCATGTGTGCTGCCACTACTTACGCGCTATTATCCGCACAAGACCAGGAACTACTCCCGCTCTCATCATGAATTGCTTTACCAGATGCATATAGGCCGATTCCACAAACCGCGAAACCGAATGCAACAACGAAGAGATTCAGCGCTGTCAATAACATCTTCTTCCGACTACTCGCATAATCGCCCCGGTTAAGAAACAGCCAGAAAACACCACTCATGCCATACGAAAACCTGCACACTCCGTCAGCTCAAACTTCAACTCATAAGTCGGGTCCGACTTTTGCACTGACTCCGTTCGGAACTGCCACGGCTCGAGAAGTGAAATGAGCGCATGTGCTTACCATGATGCGAATAGGGCAGATATGAGTGAGAGCAGGTTGTTGAAATTTGGTATGGACTCAGCGATGATCCATGCAATGAGCCAGAAGGTGAGCGTAATTGCCGCCCAGGATCCAATGGAAAGTATTGTGCGTCGGCTCATGTGCTTCGTGCCACGGAAAATGCGTACATAGACGTACTTAGCCGCAACGTGGCTATAGATAACGCCTGCTAGCAGGATCTAATTCGATCAATCGTCGACAGGTGCACAGCAGACCGGGTAGGCAACTTACCGTTGGCAGGGCGATTCCATACGCAATCTTCATGACAACGTTGCTCGCGCTGCCCAGTGCAGGGCTTGTGACCTCTTGCCCAGTGTAGCGATATACCACTACAGCCACCACAAGATACAATGAAATGTCGGTAGCTTGCAGAAGGAAGAGCGCCTTGGGAAACTCTCGTGGGTCGCGAAATTCGCTAATGAAAGAGAAGAAGGCGACATGTCCAGCATAGGCAAATATGATGTTTGTCACCGCAAGGAAAGCCGCCGAAAACCCGATGGTTCGCGTTGCTTGGAGGTGCAGGTTAGCCACCGGATTAACACCCACAGCGATCATGGTCACAAAAACAGAGCCGCAAATGGACAGGAATGCTACATTGAGTAAGCACATCCGATATGCGTCCAGGGTGATATACGTAGACACTCACATCCAATACTCAAGTACGACACTTTCTTGAGCGTTCTCGGCAGGGTCAAAATCCAAAGTACAATGAATCCCACAACGCCCCACACAATTGAGCATGTTGCGTGCCCGGTTATGGCGTTCATTGCTATCGTGAAAGTGAGGATATGGCTGCCCATAACGAAGACGAGGAAGATCGTCTGCGCGGCCCCGCCAAACTCACGACCGAAGGGCCCAAGAAGCACCTCGCCCGCATCGGCGAGATTGTGGACCTTCGCAATTGCTTGGTTAGTACTCGAGTCCAATTAGGTGCAAAATACGTACATGCGGATACGCTGCTTTGAATTGGCCCAAAACATATCCGGTGTACGTCGCCAAAGCTCCTAGCCCAACGATCAAGATGACCGCAGGTACTATCCCAATCCGTGCCAGCACGGAAGGCAACGACAGGATTCCCAGCGAGATGGTCTCCGCGATCATGACTGCAGCTTATCAGTAAATGCGTGTGCTTCGTCACCAAACCGATTCACTATGTCTTACTGAGTGCTGCTTGCCTATCCTTGTCAGCGACTTATCCTCACTTCGCACAGCTCGATCGATAGTTCAGCTTACCACCATCGCAACGTCCTATATTTGACTTCTGCGCCTTCCTCATCGCCAAAAGGGTCGTCCTTCTTGGGTGCCAAAGAAGCACGCCTGTTATAGTAATCGGAAAGCGGTGGGGGTTCGTCGGCCTTCTCCAGGTCCCTTATTTGATTGCCAGGGCGTGGTTCGCTTTCCGTCGACTCCTTATACCAAGTGTGCTCATTTGTTGCGTGGTCCGAAGCCGCTGGCCGCATGCCGCGCCGTGCCGGCGGTCTGTCGCGGAGGGTCTGTCGCATTGTCGCCAGAGTAAATGAAGGCTACCTATAATACCCAATTACAGAGACTACACATCAATACGACAGCGCAATACAAGGGAACACGTCCGGTTTTTCTTTCCGAAAGAACCTATGTGCCATTGCAGGCACGGAACGTCATTGCATGAGTCCCGCATCCCGCATCCCGCATCCACGTAGCTTCTCAACGGCGACACGAACAAAGACACGATCGCCGAGGTCATACGTAATTTAACGCTAGAATGAGCTTATAGTAATCATACCTACCCCACTAAAACCTCTATGACGATGGGCAGTGAAGCTCGGTGAAGCTCACAGGTCACGAAACTCGTACAAATATAGGAACGTACCAAGCTCAATATTATCCAGGACACGGGATCTATCTACATCTTGATACGATGATTTCCACCCTGTGAAGAACTTCGCTCATGACGAGCACGCGTGACTGGGCGTGCGGTTATTAGTCGAGGGAGACCACATGCACTTTCGTAGGAATTTGGTACAAAGTACGTCATCTTAATAGACGAGTGAGAGATCGATGGCACCGAACGTCTACTTACAGAAACTCTGATGAAACTGCTAATCTATTGTATACTTGCTAGGTGCCCTGGGATTGACAGGAGCTCGTGAATATCCGCGACACTTGCGCCTGGAGGCACAGGTCTGCCCAGTAAATATGAACCATCCTCTAGGATCTTGGAACTTGGCGCTGTGCAAGTACAGAGCAACACCAAAGCGACGGAGAGAGTGTGAGTGTGGCAACATGCAGATACAGATCAGGAAAGACTCATGGGTCGAATGAGCGCTGTTAGACCCGTTCAAGTGCAAAGTGCTACCTCGTCGAGCGTCGATCCATTGTAGTTGACGGTTGTTGATACGAAGCAAAGGATGTTTAGTATGGACAAGCGGTACTGTACTCCAGCTTGCTTGCAATGAAGCCGTTGATCGTATAAACTGCATCCGTTGCTTTCTTCTACAGAGTTCGTGCTTGGACAGATCGAGTAATGGCAAAGCACAGTAAATCGTCCTATGATTCTAATGCAGCGAAGAAAGAGCTCACATAAGAGAAGGCGTGGAACCCAGCCGACCAGCGCCAGGATCTTGGTTTAAAGGCCGCAAAGGTGTTTCGTGTGCTTTCGAGCATGGGAACGGCCAGACAGGTCGGAAGACGCGTATTTAGACATGGCAGAGCGTCAAGTGGGTATTTCCAGCTCCAGGAAATATTGGTGACGCATTCAGACTGATGCCATTGTTAACATCGAAGGTGAATCTGATTTTCGAGGCTACAGGGCCGGACCGTGCATTCCGGATAACTGCAGGTGGAATGAACATGCGCTTTGCGACAATGATGCGGGCACGGCAAAAGCGAGCACATGCCTGCAAGGCCATGCATTTTCATCTTGCGGTCGTTGGACGATTGTGCTTGAGTCAATATTCATTTCTTTATCTGGTGACAATCGAGCATATGTGCTCGATGCTGATGTTCGTGAAAACCCTTCCGTCTTCCGAAGTGGATTAAAATGGCAGGATTGACGTCAATCGCTAGCCTCAATCGGTTACGGTGTGATGATACCAACCCGAGCCATGAAACTCTGGACGATATCGCCCGATGCTCATCTTATATATTATTTTTGTTTCCTGGTGGCACACAATCCATCTGTCCATAATTTCAATGCCCGCAATTTCAGTTTTCGTTGAGAAGAAGTAACGCAAGATGCCGGCGAGAAGAGAATCGTTTGGAAGGCGAGAGTCGTTGGGAGACGAGGAAAAGTCGGTCAGCTACGTCGGAGACGTCACAATCCGCGAGCGCATTGCGCATTTCACGTGGACGTGGTTCACGTTGACAATGTCGACCGGGGGAATCTCTAATCTAATCAACGTACAACCGCACAAATTCAACGGTCAAACGACGATTGGCAAGACCATCTTCATCTTCTTCATCGTAATGCTCGTATTCAACTTCACGATGATAACGCTACGATTTATCATGAATCCTGGAGCACTGAAGAGCTCTCTCTCGCATCCGACTGAGAGTCTGTTCTTTCCGTGTATGTGGTTATCACTCGCTGTTCTACTCATGAACATACAAGCATTTGGCGTTCCATCATCCGGCCCGTGGCTTATCACTACATTGAGAGTACTGTTCTGGATATATCTCGCTTGTACCTTGACTATGGCTGTTGGACACTACCACGTCCTTTTCTCGGCAGGCAAGCACATGTCGATCCACTCCATGACCCCATCCTGGATCCTTCCCGTGTTCCCAGTCATGCTTTCAGGAAGCATCGCAAGCAGTATCAGCTCTTCGCAGCCATACGAGGAGAGGCTGACAGTTATCGTTGCTGGTGTTTCTTGTCAGGGCCTCGGATTCCTCATCTCACTCATAATGATGGCACTGTATTTGGGAAGGCTCATGGCAGACGGACTACCGGCTCCAAAACTACGACCAGGCATGTTCATGGCAGTGGGTCCCCCCTCATTTACTGCCCTCGCTCTGATCGGAATGTCCAACAACATTCCACAGGGCTATGCTTACTTCGCGGAACATCCGATGGCTAGGGACGTGCTGCAGCCTCTGGCCCTGGTCTTTTCTATCTTTATATGGCTCTTCGCGTTCTTCTTCTTCGGCATAGCCTTGGTCGCTTGCCTCCAAGGAATCAAAGAATTATACTGGAGCTTAATCTGCTGGGCTTTTGTGTTTCCGAACACGGGGTTTGCGATTGCGACCATCACCATAGGAAACCAGCTCAACAGCGAAGGCATTAGGTGGGTCGGATCTATCATGACGATACTCTTAGTTGCAGTTTGGCTATTTAATTTGGCCATGCAGGTCAGGGCAGTACATAACAAGACCATGCTTTGGCCTGGAAAGGACGAAGATCGCGACGAGCTGAGGCACAAGAAAGCCTGATGAGAAGGAGCTATACAGGAACAATGGGGACTGTATGAGCCCCTGCAGTGCGAATGGCTCGTTCGGAAGGCGAGTCCGTTTCGATGGGCTGTTCGTTCGCCAGATCAAACCCGAATACCTTGAAGGATTGCCACAGGTGCAAAGCATGTTTGCTGGGTTTTCAAGGACTTGAGGTTCGCCTACAAGCAAATACAACATACCGCAGCGAGCGTAAGCTAGGTGGCAGGTGGACTGCGATGCTCGAGCCGAGTGTCTTGTTCAACGCACCACAACATATCTTACGATGGCGTTATCAAGATTGGGTATTGAGTTAAAGAGTCATACGGAAGTGATGGCCTAGGATCTTTGGCTAGACGTCGGAATCGAAACATTATTCGTCTAACCTTAAAGAGATCGAACCGAATCACCACTGCTATTCTCCTTTTAAGATTGCTGTGTGCGCTAGATGTTGACCGCATCATCTCGATGCTATCGCTATCGTTGCATTAGTAAGCGCAGCCACGGTTGCTCTCAAAGTGCCTCCCGTACTGGCGGCTGGGGGGTTGTCATGCTGGACTAGCATTGTGCCATTCGTATGGCGCCTTTCCCAATGTTCGAAATATTTCGTATGCCGTAGCATGGCGGGCGGGCAAGGAGACTAAGGACGACGGTGGTGTGTCCGCTCTTGTTCGTCTGCTGTAGGTGAGACGGGGCGCGTATCCATGTTACCCGCCTCCTCCACGGGGCGATGCCGCACTTGCGGGGTGGCCTACTGCCCCACAAGTATCATGTTACATGTCAGCAACCGTTTCGAGCGTGCATACAGTGTAGTGAATCAATGATCAGGAGCGCTTGCGGTGGATCTAAGCCCGAAGCTAGATTTACCAGCGAGCCAATGCTGGCCGACTTGCAACAACCAAGTACGTGGACCCGCTCCGCGAACGTGACTCGAACACAAGAACAACCCACTCCCATGTCCGCCAGAAGACAGCCGTCCCGCGTTGTACAGCAGCACTACATTAACCGCGGCTCGGGCCATCGAGCTGATTGCACAGTGCTCTGGTTAAAGGTCAGATAATGCCCGCCGCCCAACCGATGCAGCCTTCACTTCCACGTTTCTTTCTTTTGCATAAGCGAACCGATTCCAACTTCGCATCACGCGTGCCACTCCTATCATCTCTTTCGTCCGTTTTGCAGCGTCACAGAAAAGTGCCGCGAAATGCTCGTTCCGCTCCGCCAAGCAGCTGGCGCATACGCAAACTTATAAGTGCTCCGCTCCACCCTGGCCAGCCAAGTCTAGACCCCGCATTGGACAGGCATCGTGAGTATACCGTTGGACCGGTGCACATGGCCTTCGCTCGCCATGTGGATTCGGCAGAAAGTGATGGACATCGTTACGCCCCATTGTAACAAGGGCCAGCGGAGGGCGAATGGCGGGACGTTTAAAGGAGCCACGACTCCGTGGCAAGCCCCTCTGCTGTGCTTGTGGCTGCTTCTGTACAACTGCCGACTTTCTTAACCAGAGCTCCTGTACACCATTCGAAGCACAGAGACACGGACGCATTGTCTGTGTATATGTGGAGAAGTTTCCCGGATCTTCTCTCCACCCTACGCTCCGAGCGCACGGATAAATTCTACAGAGATTTCGCCTTGGAGTAGAGCGCCGTTCTTGTTGTGCACGTCTAACATGGCGGCCGTGGAACAGGTAAACGAGTTTTACAAGACCGGCGCGAATGCCGAGACGGACAAAGCAAGAGAAGAAAAGATTCTCTGTATGATCATTAGCTATCGGTCAATACGTATGCTGATCGATGTGCAGACAATGAGCAAGCCACGGACAGCAACGCAAGCGATTCCGCTGAGGGATTCACCTGGTCTGAAGAGGAGGAAAAGGCTGTTCGTCGGAAGTTAGACAAGGTCATCGTACCCTTGACCACCTTCTTGTATCTATTGTGTTTTCTGGACCGGTAAGTACAAGTCTAGAACTATTTTTTTAACTGCTTCGATTGCTGCCTCTTCACACCTCACACGAATGGACGAGTGTGCATCTTTGTTCGAGCTCGGTATTTGCAAGGCAAAGAGGGACGCATCGGAAATTATCGAAAAAGGATTTTAAATGCTAAATCCAGACAGTGCGAACGTCGGAAATGCGCGTATCCAGGGAATGGCGAAGGACCTGAACTTGGTTGGCGTCCGATTCAATTGGGTCACTTCCATCTTCTACATCATCTACATATTTGTAGAAGTTCCCAGCAATATCCTGTTGAAAATTATCGGGCCCAAATTTTACCTTCCGCTACTGGTATGCGGCTTCGGTCTCGTTTCCATGTGCTCGGCGTTCGTCCACAGCTTTGAAGGACTATTGACTGCTCGCGCTTTCCTTGGAATATTCGAGGGAGGTGTCATGCCGTAAGTTCGTCGTCATCTCATCAGCGATCGACCCAAACTAAAGTCACTAGTGGTATTGCCTTCTTCATCACCTGCTTCTACAAGCGAGAAGAGTTGTTGTTACGTGTTGGCATTTATGTCTCGGCAGCGTCCCTTGCCGGTGCCTTCGGCGGTCTCCTTGCTACTGTGTAAGTCTTTGCTCGTTCAGTGATTCCCATGCCATGCTGAACAGTGTAGACTGGCGCGCATCCCGCCGTGGGGCACGTCGACCATGATCATTCACACATGGCGAAATATCTTCTTTTTTGAAGGTCTCATCACAATTATTGTCGGCCTAGGCGCACCATTCTTCATGCCAAAGAGTCCTCAAGAATGCTGGTTCCTGAACGAACGCGAGCGCCGAATCGCCGTAGAACGACTAGTCATGAAGAACGGCGCGGACGAGAATGAACGAGTCCAACCTCACCACGTTACGAGGTCATTCTTGAACATCAACAACTACATCTGTGCGCTTGGGTTCTTCTTGATCAACATTACTGTTCAGGGAATCTCTCTCTTCCTGGTAAGCTTTGTCATCTTGGGTTCGGTTGCACCGAGGCTGACAACCACAGCCCACCATTTTAAGCGACCTTGGCTGGACCGCGACCAAGGCTCAGTTGTACTCAGTCCCTCCCTATGTTTGTGCTTGTATCGTTGCTATCGCAGTTGCTTTCTTCTCCGACAAAGTGAACCGCCGCGGAATTTTCCTCGCAGCGTTCACGCTTCTCGGCATAACTGGCTTTGCGATTCTACGTTGGGCGTCTAATCCCAACATTCGGTACATGGGCGTCTTCTTCATTACGCTAGGTGCTTTCCCAGGTGGTCCGGGTTTCCTGTCATGGGCTATGAACAACGCGGCGGGTCCTGCTATTCGTGCTGTTTCTGGCGCTTACGTTGTCACACTGGGAACTGCCGGAGGTGTCCTCGCCACATGGTAAGCTTGAAGAACGTATTTTGTCCGAAATCGACTAACAGTTCCTTGCAGGACATATGTCGCCAAGGACGCTCCAAAGTACCATACCGGACATACCATCAACCTTGCTGGCCAAGTTGGTGTTTTGTTCCTGTCGCTCGCCGGTATCGCTTATTGCAAGTGGGAGAACAGGCAGCGTGACTTAGGCAAGCGCGATCATCGTCTCAATGGCCTCAACGAGGCTCAGATCAGGGATCTCGGCTACAGACACCCAGATTTCCGCTACATCACTTAAGTAAGAGACGTGCGCAAGTCAATTACTGGAAGTTGCTACCAACTTCTCGGCATATGCTCATCATTGAAGAGAGTATCTAACACGCCACGAAAAAATTCAACATGTGTTTCACTTCAATGCTCATCACGTGCTTTGCTGCGTCGCTGATCTTGTATAGGTGTTCCAACGGTGATTCCCAACCAGTGTTGGGTTTGTGAACGGCTGTGGATACCATAGAACTCACGAAACGCCAAAGCATATCTACAAGAGTGCATCTTCTTAATCCACAACATTCTAAACTACTTTTCACGCAACCAACGAATATATCGTACTCGAACACACTCGTCTGTGGCAATGGTTGCGCACGGCCGACACACGAAACCCTGGAAGTCGAGTGGACCGGCAGTTGTGAGAAGTGCACTTACCTTGCGACAAAAGCAGATAAGAGTAGGCTTTTGGAAGAACTGCCAGAACGACCTGTATCGCGGCCGCACCAACGGCCTACGTCCCAGCCGAGCCCAGAGCTGCCGGAGGATCCACATCTTGCGAGGGCTTTGGAGACAGGAGAGGATACGGAGCAACGTGACAAAAACTCCAGCCAGTAGCAGCATGCGCTTAGACAAAGCCAAGTCGAGAAACTTACAGAGGCGGAAACAGCATCATCGAGAAGGCAAGATCTTGATTCTCATATCTCTTTCAGGTGCACTATGCTCTTCGCCCCGAAACCCCCAACCTACCGCCTTCCTTCGTTCTTCCTACATTCTTCCCCTTCCCACGGTGCCCATATCCTTACCCTTGGGATATTTGTCGGAGTGGTATCGACATTATCTGGCGGCGCAATCGCGATCATGCTCAGAGACCATGACGATACAGTAATCGGGTTTGATGGGGATGTTACAAATGGTGGGGGTAATTTTTGTAGCTATAGGTCTTCTATTGATGTGTGCTCTAGATATCTGTCGTTAAGTACGAGAGCTGCGTTGGAAATCATCCAGGCGGGTCGTCGTTCATCTAGATAAGGTACATGAGCGATGCGGATTTATAGGCTTAGGCTCCGCGGGAGACTGCGTGGGAGTACAGGAATATTCTAATAGCCCATGTGAATATCGCTGGGTCGAGTGACAAATCCTGAACAGCGGCACGCCTTCATGCTCGTTGTCACGCATGGGTTGTGCCTATCCCCTCTTCACGAACGCATGATCTTGACAGTTCCTACCGTTTTAACGCAACACCTCAGAACACCACCCCTTAATGTCACGAGATAGGCATATCTAAAATACTCTAGTCATCAAAGCATGCGCTTGACGTGACTCGAATCCCGGTGCGTTTTCGAACTTGTGGATGATCGCTTTCTCTATATACTCACATCTGTCTTCAAGTGCTTCGTCGCCACAATAGCGGTACCCTTAATAGACTATACCGGACCACCAATAGCGTGTGTTTCTAATCACTCCTGGATCCTATCTTGATATCTTCGACGCTGTCTCCTCTCCGAACGCACTTGTCTCACCGTAACCTAACCTACGACCCGAGGACAGAACACCATACGCATCGCGACTTTCGAATGTGGCCACTTCGGACTCTCCAGTACCGCCCGCCAAGCTTGGTGACAGTAGGACGCCCGGCGAGATTATGTTCCACGCAAGGAACAACGTAGTGCGAATCACGAGCAAGAATCATCGAGTATGATACCAAGTCGGCAAAGAAGAGATACAGGGATCACAGGGAATATGGCAAAACAGAGACGAGTGATGGAAGTATTCGGTCCGGGTGAAGTAACGGACCGAGCATAAGCCCGACTAGGAGCATTTGGACGAGGAGGAGCAATGCAAGATGAATGATATACCCGGGACTGGCCAAGGAGAGATGGACATGGGCTCTAGGACCTAGTTGATGCACGAGCTAGGCAAATAAAGCAGTCTAAACGACAAGGATGCAGTCTTCAAGGGAAGTGCGAAGGCAAAATCGTCAAGACTGTCATCGGCTATGATATTGCCAGGTGACATGCTAAGCTCGTAGAATTGCCCTACGTATGGACGGGTATAAAATGTGTGTACAAGAAACGGATCACAACATCGTGCCACACCATCACTCTTCATCCAAACCCTTGGTAAATCATAAAACAGGTGTAATTTCAGAGATCCCATGCAACTGGTCCAGAACGCCTCATCAGTGCCATTTTTTGAGAAAACACCTTTCGAGGTCTAAGCAGCCTGCGTCCAAAGCACTGTCTGGTTGAGGTTCAAATCGCACTCGTGCGGGTGCTGGAGGCAGAACTTGGGCATCAGTGGCGCAGCCTGCACGCCGCTGGCAACAAGGTACTCGCGGAAGTTGAGGATACGCTGCGTGAGCTCCGTGGTACGCTTGTTGCCGTCCTTGTCGCGGTTGCCGGACCACACGAGTTCGGCAAGTGCAGCAGCACGCGGCCACATCTTGGGACTGATGACTACATCGTCGACCTGCTCGGACCAGAGAGGGGCGATGGAACCCACAACAAGTTTCTTCTGTTCGTCAGAAAGACCCTGAGTAAAGTCGTAGTCGTAGATGCGCTGCCATGTCTTGTAAGGTGCGCACCAGGAGCCGCCGTTGCCAAGCCAATTGAAGTTGGGGGAGCCGTCGGTTGCGTTGGGGTTCACTTGTACATCGTAGCGCTGATCATTGCCCACCCAGCCGCCGTAGCCACAGTCCAGGTACATGAAGTCGGATGAAGAAACAATAACGCGGTGGCCCAATGCTGTGGCGTTGTTGATGTTTGTAAGTCCGTTGTTCCACGCCTGAATGATGACATCCTTAGGTACTTGTCCCGTGGCAGCGGCGTCAGCAGACAAAATAACATCGTCCCACATTACAAAGGTCTTGTTGGCTTGCTTCTTGAAGTTGGGGAGGGCCTTGTCAACCCAGACTTGGTAGAGATCGCCCATGGTGTGATTCTTCGCAAAGAAGTCACGCGCGAGGCTGCTGAAGTTGTAGCAGTTCATGTGCAATTCATCGCCACCAATATGGAACCAGTTGTCGGGGAAAAGCTCAGCAAGCTCTTTGTAAACCTTGCCAGTGACTTCGTAAGTCTTGTTATTGAGAATGTCAAGCTGACCTGGGTTGGGCTCGACAGCGGTGTGTGTAGGCCAATTGTCGTTGCTCCACCAGGAGTTGGTGCAAGCCAGCATGTCCTCGTTAACTTGCTTCCAGCCAGAGCTCGCGTGGCCAGGCATGTCGATTTCAGGTATGATACGGACAGCTCGGGCAGCTGCGTATTTGATAATGCTTTTGATGCTGTCTTTCGTATATATCTCATTGGCCGAGTAAGCGTCTTCGATCATGTCCGGGTAAGTTTCGAGCTCCACAGGCCAGGACTGAGCATCAACCATGTGCCAGTGCAGCACGTTGAGCTTGGAAAGGGCCATGCCGTCGATCTGCTCCAGGATTTTTTTCTTGGAGAGATAATTGCGACCAGAGTCAATCATAATTCCACGGACAGGATACAGAGGGGCGTCTTTGATGGAGACAGGAGCCTCGACAACGAGCTGGCCGCTACCATCGTTGATGACGATCTGCTGAAGGGTAGTGAATGCATGGAGCGCACCATACACAGTCTCAGCCGTGATGTCGATGGAGTTGGAGCCCTCGCCAATTTCCAGCGTGTAGGATTCATCCACACCGTGCTGAAGGGGAGCACTGGTGTCCTTGATCTGGCAGTTGACTGATGATAGGGATCCGGTTGAGTTGGTGGGCGTGCTGTATTGCCTCCTCCTGATCTTCCTCTTGGCAGCAACGGAAGCGGTCGGAAACGGCTCGAAGCTACGGACGGGTGCTTCTGTCGCCTGGGGAACCCATTTCAGGTCGGTGATGGCCTTGACTGCACGGTCGAAACCATCCTGGACGATCTGCGAGTCCACGCCGTTGAGTGTCAACGATCCGACGGAGAAAGGGCTTTCAGAACCCCATGTAATTTCTGTGGGCTTGGGCAATGGGTTCGCGGCGACAGCCTCGGCGCTTTTGGCGAAGAGGGCCGTGGCCAGCGAGGCTAGGATGAAGTCGCGCATGGCGTTGTATTAGACAAACAAGGAAATACGAAAGGATGCTAGAGAGCGTGGTATATTAGGGCGTTGGTGGGTGTTGGCACAGAACAACATGGGGAAAGGAGAGCGATATTTAAGGATAAAGGTCAGGGTATCCGTACTAGGCAGTGAACGGCATGCTGCCGGGGTATAGCGTAGACAGGGTGATGACAGGGGCTCAGCATCCAAGTGCCCGCAAGCCAGGCGCTGAAGATGCAACACGCCGCTCTGCACAATGCGATGCCACGGCGTGGACACATGGCAGCAACCATGCCGTCCGGCGTCAGCTACGCTGCTACCCAGGTGCATCTGTTGACCTCATGCATGCGTGCTAGTGCGAGGCTGTTGGCACTAAAACATACGGCTGTCACCTCAGGCCCATGTTTCGTGCAACCTCGCACTCTGCAGGGCGTGGGGTTGTGCCGTCAATCTGCATGCATGCAGGCGTCGGGTCAGATGCGTCGAGAGATCGGTGGCGCAGGCACTCAGTCCAAACTTGCGCACTTCGACCCACGCCTACACAGCTGCGCCGCACCGTGCTTGCTAAAAACAACAGTCGTTCACGCATCCCTAGCCGCTAATGGCACGCATACCTACATAGGAAAACAAGGCGTTCCACACGGCACAGGGAGGGCCATGGACGCTCATTTCCCTTGCCCGAAGGATCACAGGAGCAAATGAGCAGAGGAAGACTTGCTCGCGGGATTGCCTTGTACGGCTCTGCGAATGGCAAGGCGATGCGTTTCGGGTATACGCATTGGCTGATGATGTGCCGTTGGATATTGCCCGATCAGCAGCGGCAGCAATCTGGAGCCGGCGTCGGACATGTACACAGGTCATGTACACCCGTTTACATGCCCGCACAAGTACACATGTGGTCACAGACAAGCATCCAACTTCACAGAAGGAACGAGGAACAAGACGAAGCCTTTGATTCGACCCCTGTAGAGGCATCAGATGTCTGATGCGTCACGTGCAGCGCTCTGCTGCCCACCTGCAGTGCTAGACTCGCTGCCAACATCCGCTTGGCTCTGCACCTGCGGCGCTTCGTTTCTTGTGCCGTCCGTGGCATTGGGGCGCGCCACGCCCTTGATGCTGTGCCAGTCAGGCGCAGGTACGCTGAGTAAGCGGCAAATGTCCTTCCTTCTCTCTGTCTGAAATCATCATACAGATGTTTCCAGATGGCCCTCTCAGCACACGTCCCTTCATGGCTGCCCCCACAGTCAGGCTGCACCTCGGCGAGTCCTTCGGCCGGCCACATGATCCACGGCTTGGGCAGCGGCCAGTCGCTGAAGTGTACGAGCTTTGCCTCCTTGAGGACCTTTTCGGGATCCCACGCCTCGAATGTGTTGCCCAGATATGCCGAATGGTTACTTCGCCGGAACTCTCCCGTCAGCAGGGCGTACGGCCGATGCGGCAATACCATTGCGCTTTGCTCGAACCGATCGTTGACCAGCTCCATGTCAAACTTGTGCGCGTTGACAAGCGAAGGGTTGCCCCCCACCCGTGATGATGTCCTTGAACCGCTGAAACTCGTCGAGGTCCGGCTTTACGACCATGAGAAGGGATGTGAGCGGAGGCGGAAGCGTCTCGTACCAGTAGGCGCGTGGCATGGCAATCGGTGTGGACGGTAGCGCGAAGAGCTCGTCGAGCGAGGAGAGCAGCGTGATGTCCGAGTCAAGCGCAACGACGCGGTCGTAGTACGCGAGGGAAAATGCCAGGAACTTCGTAACGGACTTGTCCCAAGTACCCGTCCATTCATCTGTAAGGCGCACCTGTCACTTCTCTGTCTGGAAAGCGCGTTGCAAGGGAGGCGAGTGCCTGTGTGACCTACCCGTGGTCCGACCCTCAACGCTCAACAACGTAACCGGGTGTAGCTTTACGTTATACTTGTCGCGTGCCATGACCAGCAGCTGGCTGTCCCGATCTTTGGAGTCGGATATCACAAGATCCCAGCTGCTTCACATCAGATGCTGATGACTATCGCGAAGGTACCGATACTTACTGTTTGGGGTAGAACAGTACACGGTCTGCTTTGCTGCCATACTTGGCCAGCGAATCGAACAGCAGCAGTGCATGGCACAAGGTTGCGCCATCAGTCGCGTACAGACTGTAAGCATAATTCGATCCCTTTGTCGCGAATGTACTGCGATCGTTGTACGAGGGTTGGCGTGGGTACAACGTCCAACATGCCAGAACGAAGACGCCAATGTATATCCAAAAGCGGCGCCGCCATCGGAATGCCCGCGGCTCGGCGTCCCTCACAAACTGCGGGAGCTCGTCTGAGCGCCGTCGACGCATACTATATTAGTGGTAAAGATACTGGCCTTCATGGCGGGTGCATGATGCTGTGTGAAGTTGGCGGAGCGTTCGGAGGTGCTGCGCAAGGCAACTGGCCAAAGCTTACACGTGACTTTGTCACTCTTGAGTTCTACCAGTCACAACGCGACCTGTGGGATGGTCGACGCAAACTACACAGGTTGTTATGAAAGGATTCGTGCATCAACTCTCACTACCCGCGATGATATACATGAGCTACTACAACAATCTTTATACGTCACAACGAGGAACTGCGCATGGAAGAAAGACACTGGGGTATCACGGCTTGCATTGCAATCGCCTCGGCCAACACAAGTGGCGGGGCGAGGTATCGTTTTCCAAAAGCTCCATCTAAGCCCATGTCATCCAGTGTTCACTTTTGCATTTGACACCGCTAACGCCTGGGCTGTGCAGCCACGCCCTCGGGGGATGTTACTCCCACTCGAGGCAATTCATCCTCATTCAAGCTACGTATAGCCATGGAACCGTGGTCATCCTATCATTACGCCGTGCCATTGTGCGTACATTTACTCCTCGGGGATCTCGATCTCGCCGGACTCGATGTCATCGGAGATGTCCTTAGGGCTGCGGCCATCGACCTGGCAGCCGGTGCTGAAAGCAGTGCCGAGAATCTCCTTAACGGTACCCTTCAGGTCCTTGGCCATCGACTTGAAGCGCATGGTGCGGGCAATGTTGATGATCTCGTCGAGGGGAACGCTCTTGGTATGCTTGATGTTCTTCTCCTTCTTCCTATCACGCGGGGGCTCCTTCAGGGCCTTGATGACGAGCGATGAGGCGGAGGGAACGACCGAGACCTGGGCTTGACGGTTCTGAATGGTCAACTTGACCGTGACACGGAGTCCCTTCCAGTCCCCAGTGGCCTTGGCGATATCTTCACCGACCTCTACGCTGTATTAGCCCTGTTCGATATTGCGCACTTTTCAGTGTCGTCGCGAGGAACGTACTCTTGGGCGAGAGACCGAGAGGACCGATCTTGGGGGCGAGCGCGGAAGAGGCACCGACTTCACCACCAGTGGCCCGCAGGTGGATGACCTTGACCTCGGAGGGATCGAATTTAGGAGCTGCAAATGTTTAGCCAGGCTGTAGCAGCCGATCAGAGGGACGATACTCACGCATGGCTAGTGCGGGAGGTAGTCAGTCTCGACTGATCCGGGTTTTCTTTTGGAAGGGAGAGGGAGGTTAAGGAAAGAAGTTTGAATACGCGGCGCAAGAGATGATTTTGGAGGGGTGCGTGGGTGGGCCGCTTTAAGCGAGGCGCCTTTCCCGTTCGGCCCAAGCCTCCACCTTTGCCACGCCACGATCTTAAGGGTACCGCCTCGCTAGTACCTTCGGCCGACGGGGTGTTTTTCAGTCACCTGATTCTTGGCGGCTATTCTTCATTAGGAAAAAAAAAATAGGGGTTTAGTGAGTGGAAACCTAACTTTCTATATAGGAGCTATTAAAGCATAAGTATAGGTCTCTAAGATAACTATTACGGATCGGAGACGCACGCCTCTAATGGCTCTAACCTACCGAGGCTCTACCTAATGTGGCTAGCTCACACTAGCGCGCCTTGGTAGCCTTAGCAGCCTCGCACCTTATAGAGCTCCCTTAGCTCTATACTACCTACTTCTTATAGTATTATTTTACTAGTTTAGGTAGATAATACTATTATCTTATATTTATTTAGATTATTATTATGGAAAATAAGCTTAGTAAATAAGCTAATTAATTAGAATTACTATATAGGAGATTTATTATAATCCTATAAAATGGCAGTAGATAGACAAAGACACCTAGTAGGGTAGAGCTAATAAGGCTAGGGGCTAATATATTATTAGATACTAAGGAACTAGAAGGGTTAGGTTAGTAAATATATAACTATAATCCTACTAAGATAATAGGATCCTAGGAGTAGAAGAACTTAATAGAAGTAAAGAAGCTACTTATTATAATTATAGTAGGACTAAGTAAGGTAAGTAGGGAGGATTACACTTAGGATATTAGTAATAGAGGTAAGCTAGATTAAGCCCTATAGGCTAGCTAGATAGGTAGCTTATATTATCTATTATATAATAAGGTTTAGTATAAGTAGGAGACCCTAGGGACCTTAAAGACCCCTAGGACCTTAGAAGGTCCTAGGACCTTAGAGTCTAGATAGGATCTCCTAGATAATAAAGAATAATATATAGTCTAAAGGGACTTTAGAATCTTTCCTATTCTTTATAGTTAAAATTCTATAAGTTAAAATTAGAGCACCTCTTCTATATTAAGATCTATTAGTCTTCTTATATAATTATTACCTTACCTTCTATAGTAAGGTTAGGATATTCTTTTACTCCCTTATTATTATTTATCCACTCTTGTCTACTAAATACCTATAAGGTACGACCTAGGTTAGGTACGTGGAAACCCCTTATAATATATAGGTAATTATATATAGAACTATAAAGCTAAAGTAGCTTATTAATATAGAGGAACTATTATAGAAATTAGTATAAGTAAGTATATAGGTGGCTATTAATAATAATATAGTAGAGATAATTAAGAGTACTAAAGTATATTACTTAGGCTATAAGGTATTAGTAGGTATAAGTAGATAAGAGTAGTCCCCTTAGAGAGATTAAGTTACTATTAGAAAGTAGTAGGTATATTATAAGGTTATTAAAGAGGTATATTAGTATTTAATTTACTACTAGTTAGTACTATATTAGTAAAGAAAAGGTATAAAAAGAAATAAAAAGGTTTCTCTCTTATTATAAGTATTCTATATAGTCCTATAGGCCTAGATCTAGGTCTAGACCCGTATAAGCACTTATATATACTACTAATCTAGTATAATCTTATTATAAGGGGTTTCTACGTACCTAACCTAGGCCGCCCTTATAGGTATTTAGTAGACAGGAGTAAATAAATAATAAATAGAAGTAAGAGAATATTCTAACCTTACTATAGAAGGTAAGGTAATAATTATATAAAAAGACTAATAGATCTTAGTATAGAAGATATACTTTAATTTTAACTATAGAATTTAGCTATAAAGAATAGGAAATACTTAGAAATTATTCTAGACTATATACTATTCTTTCTAGTCCTTATAATTCCTTACTAACCTCTATTTCTAGGGAGTATAGCCCTAACTTAGAAGTAGTATTATAAGGGGTTTCCACGTACCTAACCTAGGTCGTACCTTATAGGTATTTAGTGGACAAGAGTAGATAAATAATAATAAGGGAGTAAAAGAATATCCTAACCTTACTATAGAAGGTAAGGTAATAATTATATAAGGAGACTAATAGATCTTAATATAGAAGAGGTACTCTAATTTTAACTTATAGAATTTTAACTATAAAGAATAGGAAAGATTCTAAAGTCCCTTTAAACTATATACTATTCTTTATTATCTAGGAGATCCTATCTAGACTCTAAGGTCCTAGAACCTCCTAAGGTCCTAGGGGTCTTTAAGGTCCCTAGGGTTTTCTACTTATACTAGACCTTATTATGTAATAGATAATATAAGCTACCTATCTAGCTAGCCTATAGGGCTTAATCTAGCTTACCTCTATTACTAATATCCTAAGTGTAATCCTCCCTACTCGCCTTACTTAGTCCTGCTGTAATTGTAACACTATACTATAAAGCTAGACTTACCTATTATTCTATCTAGAATAAAGTCCTTAATCTTCTACTACTAAGTAGTAATAAACTTCCTATTCTCTAACCCTTACTATAGAGGCTTACCTATATAGCTAGTTAGTAATATATTATATAGTAATAGTATACTTAACTTACTAATAAAATCTATAAACTTATTCTCTAGTACTATAAGCTTTAGTATTCTTTTACTAGGGGTAAGGGTTTAGTAAAGTCTAAGGTAGTATATAACTTTTTAAAGCTACTTATATAAGCTTATCTCTATTAGGTCTATATTATTAATAGAAATAAAGTTTTTACTAGCGTATACTAGGTTAAATTCTAGACCTAGGATATTATAAGGGGTTTCTACATACCTAACCTAGGTCGTACCTTATGGGTATTTAGTGGACGAGAGTGGATAAATAATAATAAGGGAGTAAAAGAATATCCTAACCTTACTATAGAAGGTAAGGTAATAATTATATAAGAAGACTAATAGCTCTTAATATAGAAGAGGTGCTCTAATTTTAACTATAGAATTTTAACTATAAAGAATAAGAAAGATTCTAAAGTCTCTTTAGACTATATACTATTCTTTATTATTTAGGAGATCCTATTTAGACTCTAAGGTTCTAGGACCTCTTAAAGTCCCTAAGGTCTTTAAGGTCCCTAGGGTCTCTTACTTATACTAGACCTTATTATATAATAGATAATATAAGTTACCTATCTAGCTAGCCTATAGGGCTTAATCTAGCTTACCTCTATTACTAATATTCTAAGTATAATCCTCCCTACTTACCTTACTTAGTTCTACTATAATTATAATATTATCCCCCTCCTTAGGAGTATTATTCTAATACCCTAGTCTAGCTTCCTATAGTATAGCTAGCCTATTAGTGCCTATTAGATATATAAAGGTGCGCTAGCCCTCTTACCTACTTAGGTTATACCCTAACCTAGATTTTCCTTTCTATCCTAAATATGCCTAAAGCCCCTTACTTATTAGTTTAGAAATATTATACTTATACGCTAAAAGTTAAATTCTAAAGCCTTAAGATGTCGCTTAGTTATAAGTATTATTAGAAGTTAAAACTTTACTATTTTATAGATGTGACCTTAGGTTAATATACTAGTTATATCTTAGCTTATACTAATTATAGCTTATAGGTCCCTAAGGATAATTAGACCTTAGTTTATAAAAAGAAGGAGTAGAAGTAGTTAGCTCTTTTTTAGGTATATACTAAAACTACCTACCTTAAACTAGAGTTAGCTAAGGTTAAGGTAAAGGAATATTCTTTTACTTATTATAATCTCTAAGTTACTAATGTAATAGATTAGTTATAAGAGAAGGGCTTAGTAGAGGGTAGGGCTTTTAGTAGTACTTATATACTATTACTATTTTTACTTTTACTTACTAATTCTACCTAGCTATAGGCTAACCCTTCTTTTAATTTTTTAGCTTTTACTACTACTTTTCCTAACCTAGTTCCTACTATACTAGTGTATAATCTTTCTAAGGGTATCCCCTTTCTAGGTAGAAGTCCTCTAGTAATTCCTTATAGTTTATAAGGTTTCTTATTAGCTCCTATATATTATACTATTCTAGCTATCCTTTCTATTTAACTAGGTATCTCTACTAACCTTTAACTATTTTTAGGTCCTTAATATCCTTAACTTTATACTTATCGTCTTCTAGTTCTAGCTAGGTCTTAATTAGAGCGTCTAGCAGTACTAGTTCTAGAAGGTTTTTATAAAAGGTGTTATATACTTTAGTACCTATAGGTAGAAGTAATTTATTTATAACTAGTCCTCTAACTTCTTATATTTTAAAGGGGCCTACCTATAGGTAATCTAGTTTTTTACTTTACCTTTTAGTTTTTAGATTTTTTTATAATAGGAAAACTTTATCCCCCTTCTTAAAGGTTAGTCCCTTAATCCTTTATTTATTTACGTTTTTAGATACTAAGAGGGATTTTTATATAATTCTTTTATATAAGATTTTATAAAGTTCCTTTATTCTCTAAGCTTTATTATAAGCTCCTATAGAAAGACTTTCTACATCTCTAGGATTCTAATAAATAATTAGTTTATATCTATAGTTAGTATAGTGTAGAGAGTACCCTATTAAGCCTAACCTAGAGCTATTATACGCTAATTACGCTATAGGTAAGAGTTCTACCTAATTATCTTACTATTTATTTACGTAGAACTAAAGGTACTATTCTAGTATCTAGTTTATTTATTCTATTTATCTATCTATTTAAGGGTGGAAACTTATTAAGAGTTTTCTATATATTTCTAATATTGTGGTAAACGTATTCTAGTATTTAGATATAAAGAGTTTATTACAGTCTATAATAAATTCTTTAGGTAGGCTATATTCTACAAATAGCACGTTATCTACCTTATATACTAGTTCTTCTACTAATATAGACTCTTCTATAGGTCTAAACTTAGTGGCTTTTATAAGTTAATCTACTATAACTATAATAGTATTACAT